TTTACTGGTCTTGGATGTTTTAAATGCTATTTATAATTGTTATTTATTTATTGATTGCATGTTGCTGAGAGAGTGCCAAGGCACATTGTGTTTCATTGCTGTGGTACCCTGTACTAAATATGCATAGGACAATAAACCTGAACTGAACTGAACTGAACATCAGACACATCCTGTCACAGACAGATGCAGAAAAACTAATCCATGCATTTGTTACTTCAAGGCTGGATTACTGCAACTCTTTATTATCAGGTTGCCCCAATAAGTCCATTAAAACGCTCCAATTAATTCAGAACGCTGCAGCACGAGTACTGACAGGAACTAGAAAAAGAGATCACATCTCTCCTGTACTAGCTTCTCTGCACTGGCTCCCTGTAAAATGTAGAATAGAATTTAAAATCCTCCTCCTCACCTATAAAGCTCTTCATGGTCAGGCCCCTTCATATCTTAAAGAGCTCATAGTACCCTATTACCCCTCTAGAACACTACGTTCTCTGAATGCTGGGCTACTTGTGGTTCCTATAGTCTCTAAAAGTAGAACAGGAGCCAGAGCCTTCAGTTACCAAGCTCCTCTCCTGTGGAACCAGCTTCCAGTTGTGGTTCGGGAGGCAGACACCCTCACCACATTCAAGAGTAGGCTTAAGACATTCCTCTTTGATAAAGCTTATAGTTAGGGCTGGATCAGGTGAGTCCTGAACCATCCCTTAGTTATGCTGCTATAGGCCTAGACTATCGGGGGATTTCCCATGGTGCACTGAGCTCCTCTCTTCTCTCTCTCTCTCTCTCTCTCTCTCTCTCTCTCTCTCTCTCTATCGACAGCAACAGGGTGTCCTTCAAACATTGAACCTCCTCCTGATTGGTGACCAAAATATTTAGATCATCTGCATAAACAGAAACAGTAGGAGGACGATGAAGATTTGAGGACCCAGGCAGTGAGAGACCACTGAGCCGATCCCTCAACCTGAACAGCAATGGTTCAATAGCTAGGCTTTACAGTTGTCCTGAGATTGGACAACCCTGTCTTATCCCACACTGTACAGAGATTGGCCGACTCAGCCGTGCCCCCATCTTCTTTCATGAGTCTAGCGGACTAACCATGAAGTCAGATTAACTAGTTTATTAGCTACAGCTATAGGTGTGTAGGTGGAGGTCTGCCAAGATGATGACAGCTGACCTCACTGACCTTTAGACCTCTGGGGGACGTCAGACAGACTGTTTATGATACAGTGTGACGTTCCTACAAATATTTCACAGTAAGTTCTTGTGCTTTCTGGTCTCGCAGGTTCTAATGGATCCTGGTGGAGCCTCAATATCACTGATATAATTGTTATTATTATTATTACTAGTATTATTACTACAGTTACTATTATTAATATAGTCACCGCTCATTGTCCCCCATCGTTGTTGTCGTCGCCATCATTTTCTTCATGTTCATCATCAGTCACTGCTATTAGTGTGGTTGTTGCTGTGCACCTGTCCATCTGTCTGTCTGTCTGTCTGACTGACTGTCTGTCTGTCTCTGTCTATCTCTCTCTCTCTCCCACCCACCTAGAGCCGAAGGATCTGTCCCGAGGTTTCTGCCTTTTAACAGGCAGTGTTTCCTTGCTGCTGTCTCCAAGGTCTTGCTCATGGTGGTACTGTTGGGTCTCTGTAAATAATGTTATAAAGAGTTCGGTCTAGACCTGAGGGGTATTGCACAAAACCAAGATAAGGGATTAAGCCGGGATATGTTGGTTATCCTGGCTTAATTTAGCCTCAAGTCGGTTGCATGAAAGCAGGTCAAACTTATCCCGGCCAAGTTACTATGGTGATTTATTCTCTGCAGCTAGCCTGCTCCAGACCAGACTAACAGCCAGGCTAAGATAAGATATAATTTTAATTATCCTGCATTAAAATATTACATATATATTGTCATTTCTCATTTCATTTAAATCTGTTGGCTGTTTGTAATTGCAACAGTCTTTTTATATTGATTCAAGTGGTAGTATTATTACTCAGGACAAGTGTTATATTGCTATGCTAATGAAGACTGCTCATCAAACTGCATAAATATGTGTTTATTGCAGTAATTGAGATTACAAAACACAGCTGATGAAGTTGCAAAGGTGTTTTCAATGAAATCTGTGACAAGGGCAATATAGTATATATATTATGGCATGCCGTTTAGGAAATTCATCTTTGAATATATTGAATGAATCTTTGAATATATGGAATGAAACTTTGAATATATTGAATGAATCTTTGAATATATGGAATGAATCTTTGAATATATTGAATGAATCTTTGAATATATGGAATGAATCTTTGAATATATTGAATGAATCTTTGAATATATGGAATGAATCTTTGAATATATAGAATGAAACTTTGAATAAATTTAATGAAACTTGACTGGTCATCAAGGCACTGCTGCCATCTTGTAGAAGTGAGAATGAGTCAGTCAGGAACCTTGTGGCAGAAATACTGAGTAATGAGGACATTATTAACTCATTGGCAAGTGCTTGTACGGGCCAAAATCCTTCCCATAGTACCCGTGCCCAATACCGTTCTCCTGACGAAGAAGTTCACTTCCTTTTTAATGGTGGCAGGCCGACTACAACAGGCCTCAGGCTAAATCCTGACAGAAAAAGCAAAAAAGTTTTCCAGTTTAAGAAAGTATTGTAATATTTCAACTGATGCCATTTTGTAAAACCAACTAATTCAGAAGGCTATCACTTTGATGAAAAGGATACATCTAGGTTTTCAATTTCATTCAGTATTCTCACATTTTTATCAGTATATCCAAGCTTCATTCCATATATTCAAAGATTCACAGATTCATTCCATATATTCAAAGATTCATAGATTCATTCCATATATTCAAAGATTCATTCCATATATCCAAGATTCATTCCATATATTCAAAGATTCATTCCATATATCCAAGATTCATAGATTCATTCCATATATTCAAAGATTCATTCCATATATTCAAAGATTCATTCCATATATTCAAAGATTCATTTCCTAAACGGCATGCCATAATATATATATACATATATATATATATACATATATATATATTATTCACTCCTGTTCCCTCTTCATAATGGCTTGCCCTTTTTTGGAGGATGTACTGGATGAAGAAGCCCTAATCCTCAGAGGAGCATTTAGTCATGAAAGAGTCTTCTGGGACAGGTCAGACCCATTGGCCGTTGGAGAGGACTATCTCATTGAGAGATACAGATTCTCAGGTGATGGACTAAGATATTTATGTAGGCTGCTGGGTCCAAAAATACAGCACCAGACGGCAGGAAGCCATGCTCTCACTGTACCACAGATGGTCTGTGTTACATTGAGATGTTCTGCAAGTGGGAGCTTCCTTTATTCTGTTGGGGATGCAGAGAACCTCAATAAAGGAACCATTTGCAGCACATATCCTGGCTTGGTGGGCCCCCTGTGCCAGTTCTATGGGCTTTTTTTAACTGCTACAATCATACAGACATTCAACATGTCAGCAGACACCTAATCTATTCACCTCATTTATTCACTGTTATCTACTTTATAGTCACTGACCAGCCTGCAAAATGTTCTTGTATTTAACTTTAACTTGCTGCCAGGTCCTTTTATGGCCAGACAAGTTTGTTCTTTATGAAGGATAGAAAGATAAAATAGATAAAAATAGATTAAATGACACACATTGTGGATAATTGTTTGCACTTAATCATACTCTACATTTAAGTAACATGAACCTCTACTTGCCACATTTAAAGCAAAGTGTACAACAGTTGATTAGTGGACTTAAAGTAACTCCTTTAGTCCTTTAATTGGAGCCTAATGATGACAGTTCCAGTGGAGCACTGTTTATTCATTGTACAGTTTTGGACTACTTAAGCATTAAGCCGGTCCGCTATTGTCTGCCAGGCTTTCTCTCTTTCTTTAATTATGGCATTGGTATTGCCTTTGTTTCTTCTATCTTCCACCTCTTCATAGAACTCCATCAGGAGCTGTTGTTCAGCTTATCCATGTTCCCATCGGTGATTCTGTGAGCGATCGCGAGGTCTATTTCAGTATGCCGTGAACACGCACTTATCCCGACTATCTACACCTGGCTTAACATAGCCGCACCTTTTAATCCTGGCTCGGCAAACGTGCAACCAATTAAGCCAGGATGTACCGAGTAGGCTAAGTCAAGCCGCGCTTGCTCACTTATCCTGGATTTCTTTATCCTACTTTTGTGCAATACCCCACAGCTCTATTTGAAAAGTGTCCTGGGATAACTTCTGTTATAATTTGGTGCTATACAAATAAAACTGAATTGAATTGAAAAGCCTTGTTAAGAAAGGAAGAGATATTTATCAGTCTGTCTGTAATATAATCTGAGGGCATTAAAGTTCTTCCTACATTATATATTTCTATTACATTGCTACATATATTAATACAAACACTGAGTAGTATTATTTAATCACATTGTTAATATTATCGTGGTGAATGCTGTTTACATATAAACTACATGTCTCCTCACTGAGTCTCTATAGTTTCTATTTTTATTCTATCTTTAGTTTTATTTTCCTTTTTTATCTGAACTGATTTCTTTGTGCTGCTGCAGCGATCAATAAAGGATCGTACACACACACAGATATAAAAGTAAATAAAACCTGACGCAGGGTTATAAATTAGATCAATTAACCTGATCAAATAAACCTGCAGGTTTATTGGAGAAATATAAATAAATATATTTAAATATTAAATAATAATTAATATTGATATATCATTGATAAAGGACTGATCATGATCTAGCAATGAAAGTAGTGTTAGAGTCTAGCAGAGGGCAGCAGCCTCTGCAGCACAGTGGCTGTCAGCAGCAGGAACAGAAACTAATCAATCAGTTGTATTGATGAGTCAATATGTGGAATCTGATATTAAGTACAGTTGTGATCAATCACAGTTCTCATGTTGAAAATGTTTGATCACTTCAAACTAAAACAGGATTTTCACAATAAAGCACACTGTAGACACTCAGGTAAAGGGCTAATTTTATTTAGACAGAATCATTAAAATTAGTGTTTCAACACACAAATGATGTGTGCATGTGTGTTGGGAGAGGGGTGAAAACATTTTCAAAATAAAAGTCTAAAATAAGTCTCTACGGCGGTCTGATTCAAAATCTGCTCAATAAAGTCAATAACAGGATGATAATAAAATATATTGTGAAAAGAGTCAAATTATAAATATAAAACTCTAACAGTATTATATCTGTCAATTAATAATTATGATCAATTATTAAAAGTCAACTTTCTCATTCATTTATCTTAAAATCTGACTTTTTTCTTCCAAATTAGGAGGTTTTAATATAAACATTACAACTTTAATTTGTGAATATTTCCACTTTATGGAATCATCATCGTCATACTGCGTTGATGTCTGTGTTATTGTCCAATAACAACCTTCATTCAGCAGTGATCGGTTTCACATCAATAAACTTCATTAAAGATCACTTCCTGTGTTTTAGGTTTTACGACCAATGAACTTGATTATCTGTTGGAATAGATGATCTGATTGAAGCTGATATAAGCTGGCGAGGAGCTCGTACCAAAGTCCAGACTGAAATGAAAAAAGGACAATTTGTAAAAATAAAATAAATAAATACTTTAAAGATGGAAATGTTTGTTTGTTTGTGTTTTTGAGGCAGAAATTAAATTAAAAAAAAGGACAGTCAAGTTTTATCTCCGTGGTTTCAGTCGTTGTTTCTAAATCAGAAAACAAAAAACATAAAAAGTACATAAAGAACAACTTAATATTGATATATTGATTTTCCCAGATTCAATCGGCTAATCTGAAAATACTACAAGTCCCAGAAAGCACTGCTGCGACAGCTGTCCAATCAGAGAGCTACAGGCTCTTTAACAATTTCACTGTTCAATCAATTGAGCAGCTCAGGCTCATGGGTAATGTAGTATTTAGAGCCTGTGAACATGTGAGCTCTGATCTGAGCTCTGTGCTGCACACAGTCGTGTTTCAACCTTCACAATAAAACTGATCCCAAAGCTGCTGTGGTCCCAAATATTGACTATCATTTATACAGATTCATTAAAACTCGTCCTGTCTGCTGGATCAGAAACTTCAACCAATGAAACATGTTTCCTTCAAATTATGAATTCTGATTCTTATGTATGCATCATTCTTCTTTTTTAAATATAAATATAATAAAAATGATAAGATTCATATCTCTTAATTACATTGAAAACACTTAATTATGAGAACCATTTGGTAAATACTATATAAATCTTACATACAGTATTTGTATTTTAGACAATCGATTGGAGACGAGTATCATATCAATAATTACAGAGAAAGGTATTGATGATCTATCGCTGCCCCCCAACTGAACCGTCAGAGTCTCAGTGACACTTTCAGTCTGACAGTCTCAGAGAAACCAAACCAACGTTAGACTGCGTTCAGGAGCTGCTCCTTGTCACCGGGACCAAAGTATCAATTCAGTTCAATTCAATTTTATTTGTATAGCGCCAGTTCATAACAGAAGTTATCTCAGGACACTTTTCAAATAGAGCAGGTCTAGACCGAACTCTTTCGTATCGTATCAGTGGACTGTTGCAACACGGACCTTTTCTCTTGTAACACAGGAAGTCTCTGACCACTGCACTGCAGCATATGCTAACTGTACTAGCTGCTATTAGCTAGTTAGCGCTCCTATTAGCTGTCTGTAACCGAACTGGGAGCTGGAAGGACAGGGAGTTTAAACACTGCTAGTGTAGCAGCAGAGGGACCCGAATGAGCCACAGAACCGGAGCGGGAAGGACCGAGGTTCAGTCTCCTTGTTGGTTGTTCTGATTCACAATCATTACCACTGTTTCTGTTTAACAGGCAGCTGTTCACATACACACAGTATAATCAATACAGTAATATCAGAAACATGATGATTAGTCGACTATTGGCTTTATCTAATGACTGATAGTCCACTAGGAACATCTTTGGGGGGCAGCACTAGCATTATTTAAACCACTCATCTATGTCTAAATGAAGCCTGTTATTCCAGTCAGATAGGACTAAAGTTATCTGTAAACATAATGTCTGAGCTCCGTGTGGTCATCAGCGAGTAACTGTCTCGTAAAACAAAAAAAAGAAGAACTGTTGTCTCTGTAAATAACAATGAGTTCAGTCTCCTGCTGTTTTAGAAAGTCAGATAACTTCTGTTATGAGTTAATAAAATTAAAAAGATAAAATGTCTTCATGTGAAGATGCAGAGAACTTCTTAACAAGTGAACTAAAATCAGTCAGACTGAACACTGACAGCTGTGCTCTTAGCAACAGTGCTAACATAAGCTAACATTAGTTAACACTAACTAACAACTAATGCCATACCGTTATACTGTATCTGTGCTTGTTGTTAATGAAATATTAAGATTTATAAGATGTAATTAAATAAATTGAATTAATTTGGGACATTAGTGTTAATATGCAGCATCCTGCTGAAAGTCCTGATCCAGCAGTGACAGGAAGTGACAGAAAGTGACAGGTGCTAACCGTGCAGTGATGTAAAACAGGTGCAGGAAATGTAAAGTAAACTTATTCAACCTTTTACTGGACTTCCTGTCTCAACTGAGCATGCTCACTAAAATGACTCCACTGAAAGTGGGCGGGGCTTTCGGGTTCAGCCGATTGAACTCGTCCTATTGTTGGTCTGTAACCATGGCAACCATGCTCTCCTTGTCCACCTGCGCGGAGGTCACAGGTGAGGAGTTCAGAACTCGACCTTGCAAGCAGGGAAGGTCTCTTCCTGCATGGCAACGGTGCTGTTGCTGCCCAGCACGGTGATCGACAGCTCCCTCTGCCTGTCATGGGTCTCCTGGTACCACTCGTGCATTGCCAGCGAATCAAAGGTTGGGATCAAAGTCACCTGAGGACAGGTCAGAGGAACGGACCAATCAAAGAGCAGATCATTAGGAAGTGAGCAAACAAACATCAATCACTGTTTTTACGGACCTGAACCTCCGGCCAGCTGCTCTTCCCCTCCAGCAGAGCGTCCAGGATGCTCCTCATCGCTGCCTCCTTCACTGGATCGTCTCCACTGACGATGTAATGTGAAGAGCGGAGACGTCTGAAAAACTCCAGGTCCACAGTGGAGGAGGCGCAGCCAGACGGCAGATAGGCCAGGTCCACATAGACGGCAGAACCCTCAGAACCTGCAGCTTTGGACACTGGGACAAAGACAGAAGAATGAGAAACTGTTTCCCTCTGAATAATCTTTGTGAATCAGGACTTAAATTGGAGGTATGTTTTAGACCACTAGTTCTCTAACTATGGTACCAACACCGCTGGGGATACGAGAGCTCTCTCTAGGGTGTACGCGTACGTTTGTAAGTAGTGCTGTCAAACGATTAAGATATTTAATCGCGATTAATCGCATTAATGTCATAGTTAACTTGCAATTAATTGCACATTTTTATCTATTCTAAATGTCCCTTGATTTCTTTTTGTCCCATTATTTTTTCTCATTTTAATGCTCTTATCAACATGGTAAAGTGGATCAACTTGCTTTGTGCAAATGTTGTTTTTATTGAAAAGTCATCCATTGTCGCCTGGCTTTGACGAGGGGGCAGAAAATTCGCATCAGCTGTGTGTTTGGCCATCAAGTGGTATTTCAGACTGGACAGGCTGCGATGATAGCTCAGTTCACAACGACAAAACACACAGAGCACTTTGGTCTTGTCAATGGAACCATTTGGCAACTTTTTAAAAGTAATCTTTCCATTCAGAATATTATTGGCATCCATTTCGGCGTCTGGCGCTCGCCATCCACTCAAAACGTAACGTCTACTACTCTTAAACAAGTGTGTGCGGCGTGCCTGTTGTTCTGTTTCCGTTCTAGCTAGATCCGGTGTGGTGTTGTAGTTTTTCTAACGTTACTAGTTGTTGCAACAGCATGTGGAAAAAACTAAAAAGTGTGCTAGGCCAAAAAGAATGTTAATCTCACGATAAAAAAATTGACGCCGTTAATAATGGGTTTAACTGACAGCACTATTTGTAAGTACTTGTTACTTCCTGTTTACTATTTACGAGAATAGTTAACAGAAAGCGAGGGATAAAGTAGTAAAGCCACCCTCTCTGATTTGGTTGACTTTCTGGGCCAAGAGTGACATGGACCAGCGGTGCAACCCCGCTTTTTAACTTCTATGCATTTCTAAAAACTGCTAGAATAACGCGAGGTGCTGTGCAAGAGAGGAGCACCGTACCACAGGAAAACAATAGTTTTGTTTGCGACGTGTTTCTAGCCCTACCTGAGGATGAAGGTCTTGTAGTTCCAATTCTGGACCCTCCAAGTGAATTTCTGGTTGATGGCTTTGTGTCTAGGCTGGAGGTCATCTTTAGTGACCCTGTAGAGCTGGTGACCTTGGTCTTTCCGTTGGGGGCTGCGGTACTTCCAGACTTCTGTAGTGTACCTGTTTGTTTCTTGGTCTTGGCAGCTGAATTCTTCAGGTTCTTGCTTGAACAGTCAGCCTCTGAGTCGGCCATGCAGGCTCCAGGCTGTGGTGGTAATGGGGGCAAATCCTTGACCGGGGCTGGTGGCGGGTCATGCGAGGAAAGCTGCCCTCCCATGAGAGAGTAGTGTTGACTGGGATGATCTTGTGGATGACTGGGCAGGAAAAGACTGCTGGAATCCTCATCAGAGTCGATGTCTGCCGTGATAGAAGGACAGTCCTCGGTATTAGGGGGCACATCAGAGTCTGTGGCTGTCGGGAGGGACTCACTGACTGATGTGGGCGGAGTTTCCTGGCTGTAAGCTGAAGGGCAGTCGCTGCTGCTTTGATCCTGCGAATAGTTGTTGTTGTCAGAGAGGTTGATCGAGCTACTGATAGCGAGGCCGGGGCTAACGTTCTGCTGGTGGTTCTCTGGAGTCTTGGGATGCTGGAACTCACAAGGTGATACCAAGCAGAGATCGACATCATGTGGAACATCTGAGATGAGCTCTGACATCCCGTGGATGTGTTCCTCTGATCCATTTCCACAACGCCCATTATGGTTTGATCTCAGAGGTAAGGCCATCCCACTGTTGGAGTCTGAGTCACTAATGTGTCCGTTGGAGTAGACTCTGTCTCTCATGGGTCCTTTGGGTGATGCTGCAGTGGGGGGTTGCATTTGCTCTAAAGAAAAAGACAGGGATTCATCAACCTCTGTGGAGTGTGGAGAGCCAACCTCAGCCGGCAGGGAGGTAATGGTGGACGAGGAGTCTGGCATAATGTCTTTGAAAGGACTGAGTGTAAAAAGACTGGACTGCTTGTCCTGAGAGGAAGTGGAGTTTTCTAGACCTTCCCTCAGGGAGCTAACATCAGAGGTCCTACAAGAACCTCCCTGGTTGTAATCCTCAAGGCCCAGACTGGATCCTTTCACCCCAAGGCTGCTGTCCTCCCCTAAACCCTGAATGTCTGCTTCTGGGGAGACCAAATCCACAGTTTTTTGCGCTGAGCTGGCACAGACATCATCTGGTCCGTTCTTCAAGGAGCCCCTGACCGGCTGATGTTCAGTCAGAGTGAGATCACCCTTTGGAGTCTTGGCAAGAGGTGAGGTGGTGGAGGACAAGTCCTGGTCCATGTCCATAGAGCGAAACTTCTCTGGACTCTCTATTGTCGAGGTCCGGTTCTTATTGGTCTTTGCTGCATCAGGCTTGACGACTGTAGTAACCTTTGAGTTTTGGCCTCTGTTCCCATTGTCATCTTCCAATCGAAGTTCTTCAAATTCAGCCGTCATGTCCTCAGGTGTTGACACCTTGGAGTGATCTGCCTCCTTCTGATTTTCCTGCTCCTTTGAGCCTGGTTTTCCTTTTGTCCCTTTATTCAAAGTGTCTTTCTTTGGAAGAGTCCCGTCTTTCTTTAGAGTCCCACTCTTGCCCGAAAATTTTCTCAGTTCTGTACTTGCTGTAGATCCTGCACTTGAAGCTACACTTGTTGCTTTCTTCATTTCTTTAACTGCTGGCTTTGTGGATTTCTTCTCCTCTGTTTTTACATCCTTCTTGCTGTCTTTTTTTGGTTCAGGTTTAATGTCTTTCTTTGGTTTTGTACTTAGAGTTTCCTTCTTTACCGCCTCTTTCTTTTTCTCTCCACTCTCTTCTTTCTTTACAAAAGCAGCAGGGGCCTTATCGTCCTTCTTTTTCACTTCCTTTTTCTCTTCTTTTGACACATCTTTCTTTGGAACAAGCTTTTCGGCAGGTTTAGGCGGCTTTGATTTCGTATCCGCTTCCTTTAGTTTGGGCTTCTCTTCCCCATCCTTCTTTTCTTTAGGTGCTGTGTCTCCTGCTGCCTTTGGCTTCGTTTTCGCCTCCTGTTTTTTTAGGTCTACTCGTCCAGGCTTGTCTTTCTGCAAGGCACTACTGGGTCTGAAGTCCTTAGACAGGGACTTAAGGCTTTCACGACTCTCTGCTCTTTTAGGCTGTTTCTCTGTTTTGGGTGTTTCTAGGTCCTTCAAACACACAACAGGATTTTTGAGGAAATCCAGATGTTTGAGTTTTTCAAGTCCATCCAGAATTTTGGTTTGTGGCGTGCACCCTGGGAAGAGGACACGGATGATCTTCTCTTGAGGACTGGAAGGATGCCAGACCAGCAAAGCACAAATGGAAACAAGGCATGGTAGTGGAAGATCTGAGCCCTTTACATTTGATCCGTTGTTTGGCCAAACCTGCATTAAAGCTTCAAGGTTTTTGCTGCCGCTGACCGGATTCAGAGTGTACAGCTCCAGACGGCCAACTCCCATCTTTTGAAACAAGATCACTGGTTCTATAGTGGGTCCATTAGACCGGCTGATAGATTCGGGTTTGATTGCCAGTCTTTGTAAGTGCTGCAGAGTGATTGCCACCTGGTCACAACTCTGCAGCTCGCTGGGATCTCCCTGTATGGACTTCAGTCTGTCAGGAGCATTGAGGAAGACCACCCCAATCTCAGGGGAGATGAGGTTCTTCATCCACTCCTCTTCCGTCTGAGATCCAGCAGACTCTTCCTCCTGCTCAGCTACTTTCCTCAGCAGCAGACTGTTGAGCCCGGGCAGATTGTCCACGCCTATGTGAGTCAGGAGCACTGAATCGATTCTGTCCAGGTGTCGAACCAGTTTCCAGAAGCAGGAGCGAGGATCAGAGCCGCCGTTAACCAGGACGTTAAAACCGTTAACAGCAAAGAAGGCGGAGTCTCCCCTTCCGCCAGGGAAAATGTAGCAGCAGGGCCGCGAGAGTTTCAGGAATCCCACGGTGCTCGGGGGCTCCAGGAGGGCGAAGGGCGACTCGGGCTCCAGAGCCTCGGATAGGTACTCGGTGAACTCCTGCAGACCTTCCATTTCTGGGAGGACAGGGAGCGGGTTGATCCGGATGTTTATGAAGTCCTGCAGGTTGTGTTTCTCCAGCACAGAGTCCTTCCAAAGACCATAGTTAGGACAGCTAAGGGTGAGGCTGGCCTTCACCGCCGGGTCTGCAGAGCTCAACAACTCTCCGACCTATCAGAACAGAGACATCACATCCACTAATGATCTTCTTATTGAACATTAGCAACAGTCACAACAGCGCTAATCTGGAAGACTGGGATTATATAATATAATCGGGTCAAACAGATTTTAATGATAATAAATTAAGTGGAGGAACTGATGTGTAGCAGAATCAGCAGCTTCTTGAAAGCAACAATAAACGCAGATACTGATGCATGATGACCTCTGTACTGACCTTAAATAAAGTTGTGAGGTACTTCACTGAGTAAACAGTCTTACCTCCTCATCAGCGAATATGTGGATGAAGTGGTTGAGGGAGAAGCAGCCTTTCTGCAGCACGATGTCTCCGCTGTCTTCCACACACTGACCAGCCAGAACCAGCAGTTTGTGTCGGGATGAATCGCAGATCAGCCGCCGGACCTGAACAAACAGGAAGGATCGCAGGAATTAGATCAGTTCTACAGCGATTTCCCTTCAGGCCGACACTCATCGATGAGACGGGACAGATGATGTGGAACAGAAGGAATAAATAGTGAATGTGTTCACTGAGGAACAAGAGTACGTTTGTTTTCTGTCTCTCTGTTTTCTCACCTCGGAGCAGACGAAGTCCTGAGCTGGATTCACCACAACCTGAGTGTCCAGAACGTCTCCGTGGTGCTGCAGAGTCCGCTGACCTGCAGGGACACACAGACAATCAGTCAGAGAGAGCAGCGGCGATATTAATCACAAACATCAGATATGATAGTAAAACCACTGATCTGGACTCTGGTGGTCTAACTGGAACCTGCACTGCTAGAACAGGGTCTCTGTTTGAACCCCTGGACTACAGGAAGTAGAAGACAGCTGCAGTGGACAGAGTCTGTAGGCTGTCTGTAGTTTTTAGACCATGTTCAGAAATATAAATAAACTTAATGATTATTATCAACCAGATCTGTTAGTAACAGATTACACAGCTACTGTACTTTACAGATCAATACTGACATATACAGATCAATACTACCATATACAGATCAGTACTACAAGTGTGTCTGCAGGCTGATCAGCAGAGTCTCAGCTGACTGACTTCATGGGTTTGAAACAAGCTACTTTTTGTCTCTCTCTCTCTCACACACACACACACACACACACACACACACACACACACACACACACACACACACACACACACACACACACACACCCCACCTGTACACTGATAGTAAGATATATTATAATACTTATAACACCAACATCTGTCTGTACACAAACAAACAAACAAACAAACAAGCAATCAGTGCTTTCTCACCGGGGACGTGTTCTGACAGGAAGGCTGAGTGTCTGGATACAAACTGTTTGAGCTGCTGATCCAGAATGGAAACATCCAGATCTACAGGCCAACAGCGCACTCCTGAAACACACATTGATACATTAATACATTAATACACACATTAACCAGTTCAGACAGTCTGTACTGGTCTACAGACTGTGTGAACTGGTCTACAGACTGTGTGAACTGGTCTACAGACTGTGTGAACTGGTCTACAGACTGTGTGAACTGGTCTACATACTGTGTGAACTGGTCTACATACTGTGTGAACTGGTCTACAGACAGTGTGAACTGATCTACATACTGTGTGAACTGGTCTACAGATAGTGTGAATGTGTCTAATATCACACTAACTATGCTGTTGTCAGATTGAATCATCGTTATCAGACAGAGTGAGACATCCAGCTTCTGTCCTATCTCTGTCAGATGAACCATTTCCTCTTCAGCAAACAGGAACCTGATGATATTTAGTAACACCACTTCCTCTTGTGTGTCAGCAGGCAAATTAACAATTAACAGTCAGAAAACAAAAACATTGAAAATATACTAAAAACAGTATGAAAGCAGATTATTAGCAGACTGTTAGCAGACTGAAAAGGTGAGGTGGTTAGCAGACTGAAAACAGACTGTTAGCAGACTGAAAACAGACTGAAAGCAGACTGAAAAAACAGACTGAAAGCAGACTGAAAACAGGCTGTTAGCAGACTGAAAACAGACTGAAAACAGGCTGTTAGCAGACTAAAAACAGACTGAAAGCAGACTGAAAACAGGCTGAAAGCAGACCGAAAACAGACTGAAAGCAGACCGAAAACAGGCTATTAGCAGACCGAAAACAGGCTGTTAGCAGACTGAAAACAGACTGAAAGCAGACTGAAAACAGACTGAAAGCAGACTGTTAGCAGACTGAAAACAGACTGTTAGCAGACTGAAAACAGACTGAAAGCAGACTGAAAGCAGACTGAAAACAGAAAACAGACTGAAAACAGACTGAAAGCAGACTGAAAGCAGACTGAAAACAGGCTGAAAACAGAAACCAGACTGAAAGCAGACTGAAAGCAGACTGAAAGCAGACTGAAAGCAGACTGAAAACAGACTGTTAGCAGACTGTTAGCAGACTGAAAACAGACTGAAAGCAGACTGAAAGCAGACTGAAAACAGACTGAAAGCAGAATGAAAGCAGACTGAAAGCAGACTGAAAACAGACTGACAACAGACTGTTAGCAGACTGAAAACAGACTGAAAACAGACTGAAAACAGACTGAAAGCAGACTGAAAGCAGGCAGACTGAAAGCAGGCAGACTGAAAGCAGACTGAAAGCAGAAAACAGACTGAAAGCAGACTGAAAACAGAAAGCAGACTGAAATCAGACTGAAAGCAGACTGAAAGCAGGCAGACTGAAAGCAGACTGAAAACAGACTGAAAACAGACTGAAAGCAGACGGAAAACAGACTGAAAGCAGACTGTTAGCAGACAGAAAACAGACTGAAAGAAGACAGAAAACAGAAAACAGACAGAAAGCAGACTGAAAACAGAAAACAGACAGAAAACAGACTGAAAACAGAAAACAGACAGAAAACAGACTGAAAGCAGACAGAAAACAGACAGAAAACAGACTGAAAGCAGACTGAAAACAGACAGAAAACAGACAGAAAACAGACTGAAAGCAGACTGAAAACAGAAAACAGACTGAAAGCAGACTGAAAACAGACTGAAAGCAGACTGTTAGCAGACTGAAAGCAGACTGAAAGCAGACTGAAAACAGACTGTTAGCAGACTGAAAACAGACTGAAAACAGACTGAAAACAGACTGAAAACAGACTGAAAGCAGAAAACAGACTGAAAACAGACTGAAAGCAGACTGAAAACAGACTGAAAGCAGACTGAAAACAGACAGAAAACAGACTGAAAACAGAAAACAGACAGAAAACAGACTGAAAGCAGACAGAAAACAGACTGAAAGCAGACTGTTAGCAGACTGAAAGCAGACTGAAAACAGACTGTTAGCAGACTGAAAACAGAAAACAGACAGAAAAAAGACTGAAAGCAGACAGAAAACAGACAGAAAACAGACTGAAAGCAGACTGAAAACAGACAGAAAACAGAAAACAGACAGAAAACAGACTGAAAACAGACTGAAAGCAGACTGAAAGCAGACTGAAAACAGACTGAAAACAGACTGAAAGCAGACTGAAAGCAGACTGAAAGCAGACTGAAAACAGACTGAAAACAGACTGAAAACAGACTGTTAGCAGACTGAATACAGACTGAAAACAGACTGAAAACAGAAAACAGACTGAAAACAGACTGAAAGCAGACTGAAAGCAGACTGAAAACAGACTGTTAGCAGACTGAAAGCAGACTGAAAACAGACTGTTAGCAGACTGTTAGCAGACTGAAAACAGACTGAAAACAGACTGTTAGCAGACTGTTAGCAGACTGAAAACAGACTGAAAGCAGACTGTTAGCAGACTGAAAGCAGACTGAAAGCAGACTGAAAACAGACTGAAAGCAGACTGAAAGCAGACTGAAAACAGACTGAAAACAGACTGAAAGCAGACTGAAAGCAGACTGAAAGCAGGCAGACTGAAAGCAGGCAGACTGAAAGCAGACTGAAAGCAGACTGAAAGCAGAAAACAGACTGAAAGCAGACTGAAAACAGAAAGCAGACTGAAATCAGACTGAAAGCAGACTGAAAGCAGACTGAAAGCAGGCAGACTGAAAGCAGACTGAAAACAGACTGAAAGCAGACTGAAAGCAGACTGTTGGCAGACTGAAAACAGACTGTTAGCAGACTGAAAACAGAGTGAAAGCAGAAAACAGACTGAAAACAGACTGAAAACAGACTGAAAGCAGACTGAAAGCAGACTGAAAGCAGAGCAGACTGAAAGCAGACTGAAAACAGACTGAAAACAGACTGAAAGCAGAAAACAGACTGAAAGCAGACTGAAATCAGACTGAAAGCAGACTGAAAACAGACTGAAAGCAGACTGAAAGCAGACTGAAAGCAGACTGTTAGCAGACTGAAAACAGACTGAAAACAGACTGTTAGCAGACTGAATACAGACTGTTAGCAGACTGAAAACAGAGTGAAAGCAGAAAACAGACTGTTAGCAGACTGAAAGCAGACTGAAAGCAGACTGAAAACAGACTGAAAGCAGACTGAAAGCAGACTGAAAGCAGACTGAAAACAGACTGAAAGCAGACTGTTAGCAGACTGTTAGCAGACTGAAAACAGACTGTTAGCAGACTGAAAACAGAGTGAAAGCAGAAAACAGACTGAAAACAGACTGAAAGCAGACTGAAAGCAGACTGAAAACAGACTGAAAGCAGAAAACAGACTGAAAACAGACTGAAAGCAGAAAACAGACTGAAAGCAGACTGAAAACAGACTGAAAGCAGACTGAAAACAGACTGAAAACAGACTGAAAACAGACTGAAAGCAGAAAACAGACTGAAAACAGACTGAAAACAGACTGAAAACAGAAAACAGACTGAAAACAGACTGAAAACAGACTGAAAGCAGAAAACAGACTGAAAGCAGACTGAAAACAGACTGAAAGCAGACTGAAAGCAGAAAACAGACTGAAAACAGACTGAAAACAGACTGAAAACAGACTGTTAGCAGACTGAAAGCAGACCGAAAGCAGAATGAAAGCAGACTGAAAGCAGACTGAAAGCAGAAAACAGACTGAAAACAGACTGAAAACAGACTGTTAGCAGACTGAAAGCAGACTGAAAGCAGACTGAAAGCAGAATGAAAGCAGACTGAAAGCAGACAACAGACTGAAAACAGAAAACAGACTGAAAACAGACAGGAAACAGAAAACAGACTGAAAGCAGACTGAAAACAGACTGAAAGCAGACTGAAAACAGACAGGAAACAGAAAACAGACTGAAAGCAGACTGAAAACAGACTGAAGCAGAGTGAAAACAGATCAATAATTAATAATAATCAATAGATATATATTATCTATATCATTCCTCTGATACAAATACAGTAATTAATCACTGTGTCCTGATGAAGCAGGTGAAGTTTAATGGATTATTACACGTTCACTGTTTCAGGATGACAAACTGTGAAGCTCCACACACTAACACACATCCGGTGGGGGCTTCAAAATAAAAGCACCGTCAGAAGGGAACAACGCTGTAACTTGTGCCAGGATTAAAGTGATCAAGTTTAAGATAAAATGTGAAATACAGCCGATACAGGAAATATAACCGGAACTAACACGTTGTTTGACGCCACATTTAGAGCTGGGACGTCGGACAGGAAGTGACATCACCTCTAAATTTAACCACAAAGAGAAACAGCTCGTTCACGTGAAATATCCGGATAAATGAGGAGGACAGCTTTAAAATAAGAGACTACAGAGAGCTGGGTTAGCATGCTGGGTTGATCTGTTTACACTCAGGACATGTTGTAACGGTTCCGGGGGGGGGCTGACTAATGGACACAACAGCGGCAGCGACGTCAGCGCTGCTTCTTCTTCTTCTTCGCTGCTTTTATTGTGAAAGGCCCGCTGACTTCCCGCCCTGTAGTTCGGTTCTTGAGTCTCCGGTGCCGGTTTTTACCAGAACTCACCTGCGTCTATCTGCCGCAGCAGCCGCTCCAGGAGCCCGGTGGGCCCCAGCGCTCCCACCACCACCAGCACCGAGTAATCCGCCGCCGCAGGCCGCGAGGAGCCGCCGCCCCGCTCCGCCGCCGCCGCCGCTGCCGCCGCCATCATGGTCTGGCTGTCCGCCGCTGACGTCACCCGGATGTAGGCCCCGCCCCCCGCTGCTGTCAGAGGCGGAAAGTGTGTTAACAGGCACAGGAGACGGCCAATCAGAGAGGAGGAGTAGCAGCGGGAGAGGCTGGCCAATCAGAGGAGAGGGACGCGTTCAAGTGCTGATGTGGAGAAATGAGCACCGAGCTCCAGAGATCAATATCGGCCGACAGACGTTAAAGACATAAAAATAAATATTTAAAGGTTATTAAAACTTTTCCAGCTCTGAAAATGATTGACATATGTCCTCAAGAAGATAATGTTTAATATTCCGGTAAACAGTCCTGTAAGTTTGTAATATTTCCAAATGTTTGTTTATCGTGAAAACAATAAACTATTAATTAAAAAACGTGAAAGTTTACGTGAAAATATATTGTTTTGTAAAATATATTATTTTGTATTATTTCAAATTTTTCACATATTTGTATTTCTATCTTTTACTACAGAGTCACTGTCTGTTTGTTGGTTATTCTTTCTTTGTTTGTCTTTATTCTAACAAACACGTTATATCTAAAAACAAAGGAGACAAATTCAGTCCAACATGAGACCTGAGCATGAAATGAAATGAAATAAGCAGTAAGGAAAAATACACATTGAAAAGCAGACTGAAAACAGACTGAAAACAGACTGAAAGCAGACTGAAAACAGACTGAAAGCAGACTGTTGGCAGACTGTTAGCAGACTGAAAACAGAGTGAAAGCAGAAAACAGACTGAAAACAGACTGAAAACAGACTGAAAACAGACTGAAAGCAGACTGAAAGCAGACTGAAAACAGACTGAAAACAGACTGAAAGCAGGCAGACTGAAAGCAGACTGAAAACAGACTGAAAACAGACTGAAAGCAGAAAACAGACTGAAAGCAGACTGAAAACAGAAAGCAGACTGAAAACAGACTGAAAACAGACTGAAAGCAGACTGAAAGCAGACTGAAAGCAGACTGTTAGCAGACTGAAAACAGACTGAAAACAGACTGAAAGCAGACTGAAAGCAGACTTAAAGCAGACTGAAAACAAACTGAAAGCAGACTTTAGCAACTGTTAGAAAAAAAAAAAAAAAATAAAACAGAGTGAAAGCAGAAAACAGACTGAAAACAGACTGAAAGCAGACTGAAAGCAGACTGAAAACAGACTGAAAGCAGAAAACAGACTGAAAACAGACTGAAAGCAGAAAACAGACTGAAAGCAGACTGAAAACAGACTGAAAGCAAATAAGCAGTAAGGAAAAATACACATTGTAAAAATACTAAGTATTACTTATTTAATTTAATAATAAGAAATAATAAGTTAATACTCTGTGTCCCACTGTTACTCTGACTATTAACCTAACTATCTAACTATCTAACTATCAACAGAAACTTTTATAAACAATAATTACAGCTCTGCTTTTGGACATTGGAATATTTCATTTTTTACTCATTTATGTTGTATGCCTATATTATAGTTTTATTTGTAATAATGTTTTAGTTAAAACGTAGTGAGGAATGTATTTATTGTAAAATTACCGAAAAAATAAAACTAAAAAATACTTTTTGGCTTTCTCGTGTGTTTTTAACAAATGTAATGTACTGTTTTATATTGATTTACTGATTGATGTGCTTGTATTATTATTATTTTTAGTGAGTTGAATGTGCAGATGATCATAAAGAAAAACTTTAATTTATTAATAATTATCAGCCATATCGGTCTTGGATTCTTTTTGTCTATTGTTTATTCTTCTGGATTTATAAATGTCATATTTCCACAGAAGGATCAACAGTTTCTGTATTTCCTACAGTTGAGTGAACCCCTGAACGCAGCAGCAGCAGCAGCAGCGTCCTCCAACATGGCGGCGCCCTGTCCCGGCCGATGTGGCTTCTTCGTGGAGAAAAAGAAACGTTTCTGTAAAATGATCGTCGGCAAAGATCAAAGGTTCTGTGGAGAGCACGCGACCATGGTGAGTTCACGGACACAGACAGATAATAGGAGAACCGAGCCAGGATGAAAAGGTGCGGCTATGTTAAGCCAGGTGTAGATAGTCGGGATAAGTGCGTGTTCACGGCATACTGAAATAGACCTCGCGATCGCTCACAGAATCACCGATGGGAACATGGATAAGAGTCGCTGAACAACAGCTCCTGATGGAGTTCTATGAAGAGGTGGAAGATAGAAGAAACAAAGGCAATACCAATGCCATAATTAAAGAAAGAGAGAAAGCCTGGCAGACAATAGCGGACCGGCTTAATGCTTAAGTAGTCCAAAACTGTACAATGAATAAACAGTGCTCCACTGGAACTGTCATCATTAGGCTCCAATTAAAGGACTAAAGGAGTTACTTTAAGTCCACTAATCAACTGTTGTACACTTTGCTTTAAATGTGGCAAGTAGAGGTTCATGTTACTTAAATGTAGAGTATGATTAAGTGCAAACAATTATCCACAATGTGTGTCATTTAATCTATTTTTATCTATTTTATCTTTCTATCCTTCATAAAGAACAAACTTGTCTGGCCATAAAAGGACCTGGCAGCAAGTTAAAGTTAAATACAAGAACATTTTGCAGGCTGGTCAGTGACTATAAAGTAGATAACAGTGAACAAATGAGGTGAATAGATTAGGTGTCTGCTGACATGTTGAATGTCTGTATGATTGTAGCAGTTTAAAAAAAGCCCATAGAACTGGCAGGGGGGGCCCACCAAGCCAGGATATGTGCTGCAAATGGTTCCTTTATTGAGGTTCTCTGCATCCCCAACAGAATAAAGGAAGCTCCCACTTGCAGAACATCTCAATGTAACACAGACCATCTGGTACAGTGAGAGCATGGCTTCCTGCCGTCTGGTGCTGTATTTTTGGACCCAGCAGCCTACATAAATATCTTAGTCCATCACCTGAGAATCTGTATCTCTCAATGAGATAGTCCTCTCCAACAGCCAATGGGTCTGACCTGTCCCAGAAGACTCTTTCAGGACTAAATGCTCCTCTGAGGATTAGGGCTTCCTCATCCAGTACATCCTCCAAAAAAGGGCAAGCCATTATGAAGAGGGAACAGGAGTGAATAATATATATATATGTATATATATATATATACACACATATATATATATATATATACATGTGTATATATATATATGTATGTATGTATGTATATATACATACATATATATATACATGTGTATATATATATATGTATGTTGTATGTATATATACATACATATATATATATATGTATATATATATATATATATATGTATATATATATATATATATATATATATGTATGTGTATATATACATACATATACATATATATATATATATATATATATATATATATATATATATATATATATTTATGTATATATATATATATATATATATATATATATATATATATATATATATATATATATATGTATATATATATATATATTTACATGCTTATATATATATATGTATATATATGAATATATATATATATATACATATCATTTATTTATATAGCACCTATATATATATGTATGTATATATATATATATATCTTTACATATATACATACATACAGGTCTAGACCGAACTCTTTATAACATTAGATTTTAGAATGAATCTTTGATATATGGAATATCAGCTAGCACCACAGATAGCTAACAGCAGCTAGCTCACCTAGCCACCATGAGGTCTGTTAACAACTTCCTGTTTCCTGTTGTCAGGAGGAAGGAAGCAGCAGGAGGATCGTGTGTCCTCTGGACCCCAAACAGTGAGTCATCAATAATCAGTGAGGTTATTGATCAGAAGCAGTCAGAATGCTGATTGTGAATATTGATTGATTGTTTCAGCACCGTGAGTGAAGACAAACTGGAGAAACACCTGAAGAAGTGTAACTCCAGAGAGAAACCCAAACCTGTGAGATCATCCTCTTTATTGATCCATTACGCTTTATTGATTATATGTTTGGTTACAGAAATGGAGTCAAATATTTCCTCTGAGATGTGGTGGAGTAGAAAGTGGTTAATTGATTTTTGATTGATTGTCTGCAGGTTTATTATGTGGAGAATATAAACTCTGGATCAGCTGACTCAGACGAGACCCTCCAACAGGTAATAACAACAACAACAACAATAATAATAGTATAATAATAACAATAACAACAATAATGATAAAAAATTATGATGATGATGATAATATAATAATAATAATAATAATAATAATAATAATTAAAGCTGCAAGCAGCGTTGGGCGGGACCTTGCACTCCATGCAACTCGGGGCGTGCTGCGGCCGCGTCGCGTGCCATCGTAACACGTGCGGACCACGACATGAAAATTTCACGTAAATCAGATCAAAATCGCCACGCAGCGCTTACTTCCTGTTGCCACTAGGTGGCGCTATCACTATTACTGAATACGATCTCATAGATGTGACTCTTATCATAAATAAATATATCAACCATATGTTTTGCATTTTCTGACCACATTTGAGCTGAATCTGATCAACCTGATAGGAGTAGGACATAAAATTAGAAAACTTGATATTTCCTGTTGCCAGTAGGTGGCGCTATCATTATATCTGAATATTGTCATGTAGATGTGTTCAGTGCAGGACTTTGGGTTATGGGCTTACTGGGGGGCATGGGTAAGACATTTTTCTTATTGTTAAGATTCACAAGATGTCATTGTCATCATCCGAAGGGAGTTCAGACAGGATTTTAGCTGGATCTGGTCAATCTGCTGGAAGATATACAGTAAAGTATAAAAATGACGGTAGGTGGCGCTATCACTATTACTGAATATTGTTATGTAGATGTGTTCAGGTCGGGACTCTTATCAAACGTGAAGTTTCATTGAGATTGGACCATGTACACTGAAGTTATGAGGACATGTACAGGGTGGGACTGTTACAGAATATGTGAAGTTTAGTGGAGATTAGACATTGAACATTGAAGTTGAGTACTATCTATTTCATGGCAAATCGTCGAACTTCAATGCAACCCCACAGGCACACTGTTCAAGGTACAGTCACAAATAGCACAACTTGTAATCAGGAACATATTTCAAGTGTACTGTCAAGTTTTAAAGCAGATCTGATAAATTCCATAGGAGTTTGTTTGTTCAAATACAAGACCACGGAATTCAAGACGGCCAACTTTGGCGGCACGCCACGGACACGCCCTTCAACGTACAGTCACAAAAAGAACAGCATTTATTCAGCAAAATGTTTTGACTGTACTGACTAATTTTGAAGTAGATCAGATAAAACCTGTAGGAGGAGTTAGTTAAAATAGAAGCCCTGAAATGCCAAAAATGACATCACAGTTTGACATTCGATTCAAAATGTACAGCAGGGATGGGACACTGCTGACCTCAACTGAGGTCAGTCCTGAACCCGACTAGACCAACAAACCCGCCCTCTGTGATAGAGGCAGGGCTGGAGTGTGATGGGGGATCTACATCAATTTCCCTGCGGGAAGTCACTGATGTAGTCAGACAACTCCACAGTGGCAAAGCCCCGGGGATTGATGAGATTCGGAAATCTGAAATGCTGAAGGCTCTGGGTGCTGAGGGACTGTCTTGGTTGACACACCTTTTCAACATTGCTTGGAAGTCAGGGAACGCGCCGAAGGAGTGGCGGACTGGGGTGGTGGTTCCCCTATTTAAAAAGGGGGACCAGAGGGTGTGTGCAAATTACAGAGGCATCACACTACTCAGCCTCCCTGGGAAAGTTTTCTCTAAGGTGCTGGAAAGGAGGGTCCGGACGATTGCCACTTCTCAGGGCCATCCAAGCCCTGTATTTCCAAAGCAAGAGTTGTGTCCGGATTCTTGGGCGTAAGTCGGACTCGTTTCCAGTGGGTGTTGGCCTCCGCCAGGGCTGCGCTTTGTCACCAATCCTGTTTGTGACTTTCATGGACAGGATATCGAGGCGTAGTCGTTTGGGGGAGGGGTTGCAGTTTGGTGGGCTGAGGATTGCATCGTTGCTTTTTGCGGATGATGTGGTCCTGATGGCATCATCGGCCTGTGACCTTCAGCACTCACTGGACCGGTTCGCAGCTGAGTGTCAAGCAGCTGGGATGAGGATCAGCACCTCTAAATCGGAGGCCATGGTTCTCAGCAGGAAACCGGTGGATTGTCTACTCTGGGTAGGGAATGAGTCCTTACCCCAAGTGAAGGAGTTCAAGTACCTCAGGGTTTTGTTCACGATCTCAACACTGGCCTGGGAACGCCTCGAGATCCCCCAGTCAGAGTTGGCCGATGTGGCCAGGGAATGGGAAGTTTGGGGTCCTCTGCTGAACTTGCTACCCCCGCGACCCGACCCCGGATAAGTGGATGAAGATGAATGAATAATAATAATAATAGTATGGTAAATGGACCTGTACTTGTATAGCGCCTTTCTAGTCTTCCGACCACTCAAAGCGCTTTTACACTACGTGCCACATTCACCCTTTCACACACATTCACTCAGTGATGGCAAAGTCCATCGAACAGAAACGTTCATACTCATTCACACACCGATGCACGGCATCAGGAGCAATTCGGGGTTCAGTATCTTGCTCAAGGATACTCCGACATGTGGCACCAGGAGCCGGGGATCGAACTAATAATAATAATAATAATAATAGTGCTGTTTGTTGTCAGGTGAGTCTGTCTGAACGCAGTCGGACACAGTTGGAGTCTCTGCTGGACAAACTGAAAACTGCAGTCAGAGGTGAGGAATGTCCTGTGAGTCATAAACTGTAGTTATTGATGATGTTATTGTTGTTGTTGTTGATGATGTTGTTGATGATGTTGTTGTTGTTGTTGTAGGACTGCAGTGTGATGTGGACGACAGCGTTCTGTCTCACCCTGTCCTCCAGGAGGAGCTCGATAACCCGAAGAACGGAGACTCCGCCCACAAACACCTGAAGCAGCAGGTACACAAAAAAACACCTGAAGTGAACCTGTAAACTGGTCGAGAGGAAGTGAGAGCGACTGTATATGCACACACATTCCTCTCTCACCTGTCAGGTGTGTCCAGTCCTCTATCTTAGGTAACCTGGAGGCACTGGGGCTACTGGGAAGGGGGCGCTGCTTCGTGGAGTTTGGAGCAGGTCGAGGAAAACTGTCTCACTGGATCCACGAAGCCCTGAAGACCCGCGACGACCTGAAGACCCGCGACGACCTGCAGCTGCTGCTGGTGGAGCGCTGCAGTACCCGCTTTAAGGCAGGAAATTACATATCTCCCAACTCAGACTCCAAAAAAGTTCCCAAACTCCAAACAAGTCCAACCACCAAAGTCACAAACTCTCAACTGACCCATCAGGTCTTGAGAATATAATCTTCTGTTTCCCTCCAGTATGACCTCATGAATGTGGGCGGAGTCAGTAGTTTCATTCAGAAACCAGCTGCCCTGTTAGAATCAACAACAGCTCAAACATCTCACTTTCTGTTTGATGTATTCATGAAGTTGATCTAGTCTGTTCTGGTCCAGGTGGACGGGAAACATCAGGATGACAGAGTTCAGTTCGAGAGGCTGCAAGTCGACATTCAACATCTGGATTTAAGTAAGAGACAAACATCTGGAGGCACCGGGGGTTTGGAGGGTTTAAATGTTATGACCTGACTGTGGATGTTTGCAGGTAAAGTCCCTCTGCTCCGACAGAAGAAGCTCCCGTTGGTTGGAGTTGGAAAACACCTGTGTGGAGCAGCGACAGGTGAGTCACCCCTTCAGAATCTGGGTTCTTCTGCAGCAGTTTGTGGACTGTAGATTCAGCTGGTCTGGTTTCTGTCCTCAGATCTGGCTCTGCGCTGTTTGTTGGAAACACCAGGACTCACAGGGGACGCCGAACCACCCCGAAAACGCCTCAAATCCTCAGAATCAGTTGATGATCCAGAATCAGTTGATGAAGCTGCACTGCCAGGCTCTGGTCCTGGTCAGGACTCAGGTCCTGCTCCAGTGCTAGGCCTGGTGGTGGCGCTGTGCTGCCACCATCGCTGTGAGTGGCGTCATTACGTGGGTCAGCAGTTCTTCCTTCAGCGAGGACTCAGAGCCGAAGAGTTCTCTGCGTTCTGTCGGATGTCCAGCTGGGCCACGTGTGGACTCAGACCGACCAATCGGGACCGCCCCCCTCAGGATCCAACCAATCAGAGAGGAGACGATGAAGAGCACGAACCGGCAGAGGAGACGGATGCTGTGAACGGGTAAATATTTGACCTCTGACCCGTTAATATAATGAATATAATATCAGTAACAATGAGTCAGCTGTCAGAAATATCAAAATAACATTTATTAACGGTTGAAAAGTAAAATAACTTTATTATTATATTAAACTATATTTGAGTCTTTCTGGGCCACATCCTGGTACAGGTTACTATGACAACCAACTACCTCCAGCTCTCCTTTCTCCTCTTGAGCATGAACGTTAAAGTATCGTCAGCTGTGTCACACTGACACTTCCTGTTCTGATGCCAGTTAACAGGTTAGCTAGCTAGTTAGCGGTTTGACGGTCATCAACTCGACGTCTGTGTTTCTCGTGTCACATCCATCGTGGACTGTTTATGGAAACGAATCCGGATCAGTCGCAGTGATCCAGAGCATCTGTTACTCACTAACATACAGACAAAGTCCTCTCAATGAGTCTGTTTATGATTGAAGGGACCAGATTACTAATTACTAATTACTGTTGGCAAGGAGTAATAAGTAAAGTAACTACATTACTAAATAAAGCAGGATATGCTTTATGTTTCGTGTTCATGTTGCCAAATTCAGTTCAAAACATTTCCTCATCTTAAAGTCATGGTGGTACTGTTGGGTCTCTGTAATTAATGTTAAAGAGTTCGGTCTAGACCTGCTCTATTTGAAAAGTGTCCTGAGATAACTTCTGTTATGAATTGGCGCTATACAAATAAAATTGAATTGAATTGAACTGAAAGTGTGACTCGGATCTCTTCCTGCGTTGTCTTCAGGTTTCTGTCGGCAGACGAACGCGAGCGGGTCGGACGTCTCTGTAAACGTCTGATCGACGGCGGCAGACTTCACTTCCTGAAGACGAGAGGATTCGACAGCAAACTGACTCGATACGCAGACGCTCAGGTGACTCTGGAGAACGTGCTGCTGACCGCCATCCCACTGGCCGCCGTCCCCTCGTCTGCGTCCTGAACCGCAGAGACACAAATGGCACAGACACAGTTTCTAAAGAAGACTTTTATTTTCTCAGACTCAGTATGTTCACATGTTCTGTAAAGTTTGTATTAAAGTATTTTCAGTTGTGTTCAGTCTGTAAGAACTACGTGATGCACACAACACAAACAGGAAGTAACGTCAGCTCATACAACAACAGTTTCACATTATAAACCATCAGTGTTCGTCTGTCTGCTGGTAATTCAGCCTCCAAAAAACAGGAAGTATAAAGTCTTTTTCTTCACTGCTTTTAAAACCTGTAGCTGAGTTCTGAGGAGGGAAAAGCCCAGAAGAAGAAATGCAGAGATTATTTTAGTCTGACGATTCGTCGATCGGCTCTGAAACATCCAAAACAGAAACACGTCAGATTATCAAATTTCAATACAAATAAATAGATTTTATTGATTTTAATAATAAAATGTTTTAGTGAAAATCAACCAGGAGACAGTCGATAACTAACAAAGGTTAAAAGTTAAGTTAAAACCCAAATCCTCTCATATCAGACTCAGCTCGGATCACTCAGTGAGCAGTGTTAAATAAAACTGTTAAAGCTTCTCTGGCGCCACCAGTGGTCGTTCAGTGAACTGCATCCTGGGCGTCAACCAACAGCAACAACACTGAACGCTGTAAAATTACTGACAATCATATTCAGAATCACACGCTCACACACTGATTATACACACACATTGAACATGTGGAAGCTTTAAGGTGTTACAGTACAGACTGTTAATGAGTTTGTTAGTGAATAAAGAGTCGATACTAACGGTTGACACAGTGCATGTTGAGGACAGCGTACGCTCTCTTTCTGGCCTCACGGATGTACAACTGCATGAACTCTCGTCCAAACATCTCTCTGTCATCTTCATCTTCATCATCCTCAGTCTTTGTCTTCCTGCACGGTAGCGTCACATCCAGAGTCAGAGGGTTGTCCCGGAAATTCACAAACCTGCTCAACACAAACACAAACACCTGTTCAGTCTGAGAGACGACCGAGACACCTGAGGTTGGACAGACACACACACCTGAGGTTAGACAGACAGACACACCTGAGGTTAGACAGACACACCTGAGGTTGGACCAGTACTTCTCAAATAGTGGGGCGCGCCCCCCTGGGGGAGCCAGTGAGGTGTGAGGGGGGGCGCAGTGAGGTGTCAGGGGGGGCGCAACAGGCAGGGGTGACTGACGGGGGAGGAGAGATGAAGAAGTTTCTGACAGGAGTAAAAAGAAAAACGGAGGAGGCGTCAGAGGCAAGAACAGCAAGTGACGGTAACCGGCATAAACCTAATGAGAGCAGGAAATATGACGAAGCCTACACAGCCCTGGGTTTACCGTGAATACGGTCGGAAATGAGGAAAGACCTGTGTGTGTTTAATGTTTAAACTCTGGCAGCGGACAGCATGAAACCAAACTAATTAAGACGGCACCTGGAGACCTTACACCCCAGTTATGTCAATAAGCCACTGGACTTTTTTCATCGAAAGCTCAATGAGTATCGCCAACAGGCAGGTCCTTTAGTGAGCGTGGCGTCAGTAAATAAAAACGCACCGTTAGCCTCGTACACACACCGCCACATCGCAAGGTGCAAAAACCATCACACAACAGCAGAGGAGCTAATACTCCGGCAGCATTGGACATGGTCACAATCATAGGTGAGAAAGTGCTGAGACACTGAATACTGTCCCTCTGTCCAATGACACGATCGGGAGACGTATATTTGACATTTCAGACGACCTCCAAGAACAACTCACAGAACATCTAACAAACGTTAAAGGAATAAGCTGATGAAGCTGACAAGTGACCAATGTTTACAGTTTAAAACAGTTTTGAATGTTACTGTGTTTAGTCTATAAAAATGCACATCCCAGTGAATCACACAGACTGAGCAGTCTTGTTTAAATGTTACAAATTGAGTTAATAAACTGAACTTGGAAATTGTTTTTAGTTGTTGCAGATGTTATCTCAGCTCATTTTATTAATCTATTTTGATTATCAGGTGATTGTATGCAGAATGCTGGTGCCAGCAACTCATACAGTGGTTTGTACAGATAAATAAATAAATATGATCAGTTTCTCAATAGTATTAAAATTCAGGGGGGCCGTGAAAACATTTCTGTCCTCTAGGGGGGGCATGACCGAAAATAATTGAGAACCACTGGGTTGGACAGACAGACACACCTGGGGTTAGACAGACACACCTGAGGTTGGACAGACACACCTGAGGTTGGACATGTCCTCCATTAGTGGGGGGATATCTCTCAGTCTGTTGCTGCTGAGGACCAGAGTGTCCAGAATGGCCATCCTGCTGATGTTGTCTGGAAGTCTCTCGAGTTGGTTCCTCTGCAGCCACAGAGTGTGCAGCTTCTCCATCCTGAGGACAAACACGTCTCAATGCTCATTGGCTGATGGCTGAAGGGGGCGGGGCTTACACAATGACTCTCAACCCACCTGTGAATGTCTTCAGGTAGGTGCTGCAGTTGGTTTCCTCCCATGTCGAGCCACTCGAGCGCCGGCAGTCCGACCACACAGTCGGGCACACAGGTGAAGTCGTTCATGGACAGATCCAGGTGCTGCAGCTTCTTCAGGTTCCTCAACTACAGGGGACACATCAGACCTCAGACCAGAACTATTGAGGTCCACAGTAACCACACTGGACTGATTTCTATGTGTTTCTATGTAGGGATAGAAACACATAGTGTCAACAGTGTGCAACACTAGCTAATGTTAGCTTCCCCAGCTAACCTGATGTATTCTGACAAACAGTGCTGATGTTAACCAACAATAAATGATGCTAATGGTACAAAGCTAATGATAGCTTTCTACTAGCCAAGAGGCCACTGGTGGTGCTGTTAACTACAGTTTAATGAGCTCTTAGTTCAGACCTGGTTAAGAAGGTGTGTTGTTTTTAGGTGCAGGATCTGCTTGGAATCTGGTTTTTGAGATAGAGGTTTGTACCTGGTCTGGGAGCTCGTTGAGGTCCCGGTTCATGGCCAGCTCCAGTCTCTCCAGACTCTCACAACCGCTCAGCTCCTCAGGAACAAACTGGACCCGGTTGTAGCTCAGCAGGAGCTCTCTGAGCCTAGTCAGCTTCCCTAAGACCAGAACCAGGTCATGAAACAAGGTCTACCTTGAATCCGTATTATGCTACAAATGAAGGGGTACTGACCGATCTGTTGGGGGATCTCGGAGACACTGTTGCGGGACAGATCAAGGACTAGAAGGTTCTGGAAGCTGGAGATGAAGTGAGGGATCTTCTGTAGCCCGGTCCGGTGGATCTGCCACTCCTGGACCTGACCGAGCTGGACCAGACAGTCCGGCAAAGACTGGTGGAGGGACAGGGATCAGAGAACAGATATCAGAGATCCAGACCAGGTCAGTCAACCTCTACAGTCCACTTCCTGTGGGGGGCATTACCTTCCAGTCCTCCTGTTCGATCCGGAGGACGAGGCGTCCGTCTTCAGTCTGCAGCTTCTGTTTGAGCCGGGCCAGAACCGCCCGGTCCTCCCAGACCCCCAAACTCAGTCTGAACCAGGAACCACATCACACATTACAGACTTTATGCTAAGCTAAGCTAGCTCTTTCCATGTTTACAGTCTTTATGCTAAACACACTTCCTGTAGTTTTGACCAATAGAATCTCTCTCAGTGGAGGAGGCGGAGTCTGACCTGCCTGTGGCTCCGCCCCTCGCCGTCCTCCTCCTCTGCTCCTCCTCCTCGTCCTGGATCCTCCTGATCCTCGTCTCCCACAGAGCTTTGATCGAGCTCACGGAGCCGCACGCCAACACACCCACCATGATGACCACTTCCTGTCAGCTGTATGATGTCACAGCGCACAGGTGTACAGGTAAGATGACCTCTGACCTCTGACCTGCAGCTGCGTCCTCCCTCTGATCATCCTGAAATATTGGTAAGCAATCATAATTAACTGATCAACTTCAGGAGCTCGTTACTTACTACAACTGTGTACTACATTGGAAGTCCACAATCGGCTCCTTTGCCGTACGTGTTACGGTAAGCGTACTGACTCATAAAGCTCTTCATGGTCAGGCCCCTTCATATCTTAAAGAGCTCATAGTACCCTATTACCCCACTAGAACACTACGTTCTCTGAATGCTGGGCTACTTGTGGTTCCTATAGTCTCTAAAAGTAGAACAGGAGCCAGAGCCTTCAGTTACCAAGCTCCTCTCCTGTGGAACCAGCTTCCAGTTGTGGTTCGGGAGGCAGACACCCTCACCACATTCAAGAGTAGGCTTAAGACATTCCTCTTTGATAAAGCTTATAGTTAGGGCTGGATCAGATGAGTCCTGAACCATCCCTTAGTTATGCTGCTATAGGCCTAGACTATCGGGGGATTTCCCATGGTGCACTGAGCTCCTCTCTTCCTCTCTCTTTCTGCACTCATTCATGTCCCTTTAATGCATGTTACTAACTTCACTTCTTCCCCGGAGTTCTTGTGCTTTCTCGTCTCGCAGGTTCTTATCGATCCTGGTGGAGCCTCCTGCCATGGTCCTGCTAGACTGCCATTGCTAATATCACTGATATTAGTGTTATTAATATTGTAAGTATTATTATTATTGTGCACCTGTCTGTCTGTCTCTCGCTCTCTCTCTCTCTGTCTCTCTCTCTCTGCCTCTCTCTCTCTCTCTCTCTCACCCCAACTGGTCGAGACAGACGACCACCCACCTAGAGCCGGAGGATCTGTCCTAGGTTTCTGCCTTTTAACAGGCAGTGTTTCCTTGCCCTTGTCTCCAAGGTCTTGCTCATGGTGGTACTGTTGGGTCTCTGTAAATAATGTTATAAAGAGTTCGGTCTAGACCTGCTCTATTTGAAAAGTGTCCTGAGATAACTTCTGTTATGAATTGGTGCTATACAAATAAAACTGAATTGAAATTGAACTACAGTACTACAACTGTGTACTACAATCAGAGACAGCGGGCCTCTATAGTACTCAATGAAGTAGTGTTAGTACTGTTCGCAGTATATGTACTCACCCAGTGACCGTCCAGCAGACATCCTCCATACTTCGTCTCTTCTGATGAAATCTGACCTCAGACCTGCTGGATAATTTTAGCCTCCAGGTCACATGACCTCCTGACACAATAGTCACATGACTTCCTGCTGTGACATCACAGTTACATGACCTCCAGAACAAGAATATTTATATCAATATATATGTATATATATATAAAGATATATACGTATATTGATATATATGTATATCAATATACATACATATCAATATATAAATATATATCAATATACATATATATATCTTTATATATCGATATATCTTGATATTGATATATATGTATATATATATAAAGATATATACGTATACTGATATATATTTATGTATATCAATATACATATATATATAAAGATATATATATGTATATTGATATTTATTTATATATTGATATGTATGTATATTGATAAGTGATAAGTGGAGTTTTTACAGTGAACACAGCTAATGATTTTTTTTTCACTTCAACTTTATTTAAAGTTTCAAACAGAATCTCCCAGAAATACAAAACCAACAGTTTCTATTTTTACACCTTTACATTGAATCTGACGCTAAACACAAACAAACAAACAAACAAACAAACAAACGTTGTGTAACAACCGACACCATGTGCTCTTTACCCAGCAGCCACCAGGACAGCGAGGAAGTCAAAGGAGTGAAACAGCATATTGTAACACCTGATCCTGGGTCGGTTACAGACTGCAGGGTACTACACAGCTGAGGGGGGCAGGACCTGGTCCGGAGGACAGATCTGGATCTGTTGGATATTAGGGATCAGGTAGAGACGGGTCAGTCCTGATCCAGACAGGACCCCTGATTGATCTGCACTTCCAGAAAGACTGAAGATCAATAATCAATCTGATGGGTTTTCCATCAAGGTAGTCTGGAACTGGTTCTGGAGCTCAAACCAGTTCTTTATGTTTCACCAGCTCTCAGCCACAAACTGGTTCCAGTGCAGCACCAACATTGTCTTCACCAAACCAGTTCTGCTTCTTGGAGCCTTGGTTCTATCTATTGAACCAGGTTTTAGTGGAACCAGTTTAATCAAAGATCATCGACAGAGAACGACCTGTAGAATGTGACACACCAACTTTTACCCCCTTTCCACCAATCAGAACCTGCTGCTAGTTCTGGTCTGCTGCTAGTTCTGGTCTACTGCTAGTTCTGGTCTGCTGCTAGTTCTGGTCTGCTGCTAGTTCTGGTCTACTGCTAGTTCTGGTCTGCTGCTAGTTCTGGTCTGCTGCTAGTTCTGGTCTACTGCTAGTTCTGGTCTGCTGCTAGTTCTGGTCTACTGCTAGTTCTGGTCTGCTGCTAGTTCTGATCTACTGCTAGTTCTGGTCTGCTGCTAGTTCTGGTCTGCTGCTAGTTCTGGTCTGCTGCTAGTTCTGGTCTGCTGCTAGTTCTGGTCTGCAACAAGTTGAGAGTTGAACTTGAGAACTGGTTTTGTTTTCCACAGGCTATAGAGCCCCCGTAGAGTCTGTCATTATTTCGCTGTATACGTCTCCACCGTTAGCTTTAGTTATGCTAGGTTACGCTAGCTGGTTTGCTAGCTAGCTGTTAGTCAGCTAACATTATCAGAACAAACAGTTACTGATGTCTCACGTTGTTCAAGGAAACATTAACGTAAGAAATTAGGGATTATTTATGCTAATTCTCCAACATATGCAGGTTAGCATCAGTCAGTGTAACAGCTGACCCAGACTGAACCTCTGGAAAAGTTCTGGTTCATGTTTCTGCAGGTCGACTATAAACTAATGTTAGCTGACCAACAGCTAATAGCTAACGTTGGATAGGAGTACAGCGCTGTAATGACGGACGCTAACCGACTCTCAACCAGCAGCAGGTTCTGGTTGGTGAAAGGAGGTTCAGAGGAAACCAGCAGTTCTTTGTCGTATTATTTTGTTGTTTCTGATTTCTGGCGGCCGTCAAAACCCGATCAGAGATCAATCACGATTTCCACAAACAGTTGAATTTATCAGAAATCTCAGAGCAGAAAAACTAAATAAAAACATTTCATCACATCACCTTCCTTTACCTGCACTGACCCCGCCCACATATACTGACCCCGCCCACATATACTGACCCCGCCCACCTGTACTGGCACCGCATTTACAAACCAGGAAATCGATCAGATCACAGCAGGTCTACTACCAGATACTCCGATTATTAATGAGTTATTAGTTTAACGAGAATCAATCAACATTAGTGACACTTTGTTAAAGAATGTTTTCTCTGACTGAATAATAACAACAACAACAATAATAATATTAATAATAATACAAATATTAATACTTAATATAATGAATTGATGTCAGAGATACAGTGTGAATTCATTCACTCTGAGGTGTTTGATAAATTCGATCTGTAGTGATTTTAATGATTGTTTTGGTCACATGACGTTTACAGTAATCAGTGTATCTGAGTTTGAAGGAGCTGCTGTCACATTTAGACAGTAATTCCAATCAATCAATAATCGATGATTAATCATCACTTACTGATTTTATGAAGCTAAAACAAACTTAAGTTCAGATGAAGCGTTGACCTCTGACCTCCACTCTCTGTGTGTGTGGGTTATCGGTCGTCATGGAAACATGATTGACAGGCTGACCCCTCCCCCTCACGGCATCTGGCTCAAAGGCAACAAGGAAATGATGGCGAGCAAACAGGAAGGCCTCGGACAGCGAGAGGGAGCGGTGGGAGGTGGTGGGGGTGCAGTAGTGTGGCAGCCCCCCGGGGCTGATGGGGCAGCACACCCCCCCAACCGGGGCTGATGGGAAACAGTTTATTTAAGGTCCAGCACCATGCAGGCCGGGTTCTCCAGGTACTCCCGCCACAGGTTGGAGAAGCGGCACATTGTGGCTCCGTCGATGATGCGGTGATCTGCAGACCAGCTGACGTTCATGATGTGAGCTCGGACCATCTGACCGCCGGCGTCAAACCGAGGAAGAATCTGATAAACAAACAAACAAATAAATAGTACTGCGTGTGTTTCTGTGTGTAGTTTCAGTGCAGTACCACCCTCCGCTTCCTGGAAACCTGGAACTCACCTGGATTTTTCCCAGAGCACCGATGGCGACTTCAGGAGGAAGAATGACCGGCTTTGCATACGTTCCTCCAATCTGATCAACAAACAAACAAACAATGTCAGTCCACATCAGCAGGTTCAACAGCTGGAATCTGTTGTTCTTATTGTTGTTATGTTGTTCTCTTGTCATCATTTCTGACGTTCCGTTTGGTATTGTGTTATGTTGTTGTTGTTGTTGTTGTTGTTGTTGCACTCACTGATCCGATGTTAGACAGGGTGAAGGTTCCTCCAGTGAGCTCGCTGGTTCCCAACTGTCCGGCGGCTCCCAGCGTCTGCAGACGGTTTAACTCCTGAGCGATCTCGAACACGCTGAGCAGCTGAACATTCTTCACGTTGGGAACCAGCAGACCCTGACTGGTGTCCATCGCCAGCCCGATGTTGTGAGATGCCTAAAGAACAGACACACATCTGTCAACAACAACAACAGAAAAACAACAGCAACTGTCTACATATACTGGAAAAGCAACCTTGTAGGTGATGTTCTGGCAGCCTTCGTCCACCGAGGCGTTGAGGATCGGAAAGTGAAGGAGACCGAGGGAGGCGGCCTGAACCAATGAAAGCAGTGTTAACATCAGCAATCAACACTGAACCAATGAGAGCACAGCGTTAACATCAGCAATCAACCCAGAACCAATCACTGTCGTCTACAGTCACACCTTAATGAAGAACGGCATGTAGCTCAGTTTGACCCCCCGACCCTCAGTGGTGGATCTGAGTTCAGCTCTCAGAGCCACCAGACGACTCAGGTCGACCTCATCACAGTAACCGAAGTGAGGGATCTTCAGAGCCGCCGTCATCGTCTTCACCATCGCTTTATGGAAACCTGCAGAGCAACAGACAGTGTGAGAGAGTCAGTGTGTGAGAGAGTATATAGGAACATTGTAGATAGTAACGTTATTCTGCTCTCTTATCTAGAAATATGGCGAAGTTTATCTCTAAAACCTGACAGTCCAGAGTTAGGACCAGGAAGCAGAGCTGCTGTCTTACACACTTCTCTGCTCTTTCTTTAGAACAGTCACCCACCCAAAACCCCATAGAGACTGTGTCTGTCCCCCGACCACCTAAATTATTTAAAGAAATAAAAACAAGAAGAGATAAACATAAAAATCTAATAAAAATTAAAACCAACTCCTCAGTAGCACAAAATAAGATAATGAAATGTGGGCTGTTAAATATCAGGTCTCTGTCTTCTGAAGCTGTTTTAGTGAATGAATTAATATCAGATTATGATATTGATTTACTTTGTCTTACTGAGACCTGGTTGTCCCACGAGGAGTATGTTAGCCTAAATTAATCCACCCCCCCAGTCATATTAATACTCACATTCCTCGAGGCACTGGCCGAGGAGGTGGAGTAGCAGCCATATATGATTCGAGCGTTTTAATGGACCCTAAACCTAAACTAAATTATAATTCATTTGAAAGCCTTGTTCTTAGTCTTTCTCACCCAAACTGGAAAACACTGCAGCCAGTTCTATTTGTTATAGTGTACCGCTCTCCTGGACCGTACTCTGATTTTATATCTGAATTCTCTGAGTTTTTATCAAGTTTAGTCCTTAAATCAGATATAGAAGTAATTATTGTAGGTGATTTTAATATTCATGTGGATGTTGACAATGACAGCCTTAGTAATGCATTTATATCATTAATAGACTCAATTGGCTTCTGTCAGAGTGTAAATAAACCAACTCATTGTTTTAATCACACTCTTGACCTTGTTTTATCATATGGCATTGATATTGAACATTTAATAGTCTTCCCACAAAATCCTTTCCTATCTGACCATTATTTAATAACTTTTGAATTCATACTATTAGATTATAAACCATTAGGCAAAACTTCCTACAGCAGATGTCTATCTGACAGTGCTGTAGCCAAATTTAAGGAGGAGATTCCTTCAGTGTTTAATTCAATGCCATGTCTGAATTTAACAGAGTCCTATAACAACTTTAGTTCCTCTGAAATTGATAATCTTGTCGATAGTGCTACAGGCTCACTACGATCAACATTAGACTCTATCGCTCCTATAAAAAGGAAATTATTAAAACATAGGAGACTAGCACCTTGGTATAACCACCAAACCCGCCAATTAAAACAAATAGCTAGGAAATCTGAAAGGAAATGGCGCTCTTCCAAACTATCAGAATATCGCTCAATTTGGCAAGATAATCTTAAAACTTATAGAAAGGCCCTCCGTAATGCCAGAGGAGCCTATTACTCAGCACTAATAGAAGAAAACAAGAATAACCCTAGGTTCCTCTTCAGCACTGTAGCCAGGCTGACAGAGAGTCACAACTCTATTGAGCCACATATCCCCATAAACTTAAGTAGCAATGACTTTATGAGCTTCTTCTATGATAAAATTATTACTATTAGAGAGAAAATTAATCACCAACTGCCATCAACAGTTATCAGTGGCTCTCCAAGTTCAGGAACTTTAACTAATGTAAACTTAGATATATATTTAGACTTTTTCTGCTATCGATCTTCATCAGTTAACTTCAATAATTTCTTCATCGAAGCCATCAACCTGTCTATTAGACCCGATCCCAACTAGGCTGCTTAAAGAAGTTGTTCCCTTAATTGGCACTTTTTTACTGGATATGATTAATCTTTCTTTATTATCAGGATATGTACCACAGTCCTTTAAAGTAGCTGTAATTAAACCCCTTCTTAAAAAGTCCACTCTTGACCCAGGGGTTTTAGCCAACTATAGACCGATTTCTAACCTCCCCTTCCTCTCTAAGATTCTGGAGAAAGTAGTCGCCAAAGAGTTGTGTGAATTTCTACATAACAATAGTTTATTTGAGGATTTTCAGTCAGGATTTAGAGTTCATCACAGCACAGAGACAGCTCTGGTTAAAGTTAATGATGACCTTCTGATTGCTTCTGACAATGGACTTGTCTCTGTACTTGTATTATTAGATCTTAGTGCTGCATTTGACACCATTGACCATAATATTCTTTTACAGAGACTTGAGCATCAAATTGGCATTAAAGGAACCGCACTAAGCTGATTTAAGTCATATTTATCAGATCGCTCGCAGTTTGTACATGTTAACGATGAATCTTCAATAAATACTACAGTTAGTCATGGAGTTCCACAAGGTTCTGTACTTGGACCAATACTATCTACTTTATATATGCTCCCTTTGGGCAACATTATTAGGAATCACTCCATTAACTTTCACTGTTATGCAGATGATACGCAGTTATATCTATCAATCAAGCCTGATGAAATTAATCAATTATCTAAATTACAAACATGTCTTAAGGACATAAAATCCTGGATGAGCTGCAATTTTCTGATGTTAAACTCGTTAAAAAACGAAATTCTTGTTCTTGGCCCCAAAAATCTTAGAGACTCACTGTCTAAAGATATAGTCACTCTAGATGGCATTACCTTGGCCTCTAGCACCACTGTCAGGAATCTTCGAGTTATCTTTGATCAGGATTTGTCTTTTAACTCCCACATGAAGCAGACCTCTAGGACTGCCTTCTTTCATTTACGTAACATTAGAAAAATTAGACACATCCTATCACAGACAGATGCAGAAAAACTAATCCATGCATTTGTTACTTCAAGGCTGGATTACTGCAACTCTTTATTATCAGGTTGCCCCAATAAGTCCATTAAAACGCTCCAATTAATTTAAAACGCTGCAGCACGAGTACTAGGGGTGGGTAAAAATATCAATACGGCAATATATCACGATACTTTGCCGCCCGATACAATATCGATTTTTCAACTCCAAAGAACGATTTTTTTTAAGAATAATGACTCATATTTAGACGCGTTGTGAATACAGTACGACTTCCGTACCTCCACTCCGGTAGATGGCGCCGAAGAGCAACTCTGCTGTGCGCATGTATTTATGTATTAGAGAGAGTGGCTGAGGTCTTTCCAAAATGGCTGTCAAAATAACAACGCCTCTGCAGTGTAAAGCCGACGTTTGGAAGCACTTTGGCTTCCAAGTTAAAAAAGATAGTAAGAACAACGAGTTGGATAAAGATAATGCCGTTTGTAAGCCTTGTCTCGCTGCCGTGAAATATTGTAGGAACACAACGAACTTGCGAGTTCACCTAGCAAGACACCACACCGAGATATTAATTTCAGCCGTCCCACTCGGGGCTCCTCAGAGTACACCGAGCTAAACGGGGGGGGGGACTCGCAAAACAAAGATGGCTGCGCCCATATTGAGATGTATTTTCTTTGTATTTGTCCTACGTTGGTCGTTTTAATGCCGTTTTTAAATGCTCTTACACACTTGTTTACATTGCTGCTTTAGTCCAGTCACCAAGTTATGCATTGCACGGTGTTGCTGTGCAAGCAACACAATGTAAAGTTTTGTTTTTGAGCTGGTTTGCTAAATAGGCTAATGTATCTAACAATAACACTAGCCTACCACTGCCCCTGGAGGCCCCTGGTGGCCCCTGGAGGCCCCTGGAGGCCCCTGGAGGCCCGAGAAAAACGCCACAGCACTTGCTGAAATTGAAATAGGCGAAAATGGCAAAATATTATTGAAATGTAAGACTTGCAATAACGGTTGATCAATAACATTGAGCTTGTTTAGATGAGCCACAAACAATAACAACACAGCTGATGCACTGGTGGCGTCCATGTTCTGTTAAATTAATGAAAGGAAATTAATAATTAATAAATTAATCAAATGGAGAAGCTGTTTTGAATGAAATAGCTTTGACTCAATTTGTCCTCTGATCAATATCATCTGATGTGCATATACAGGTACCTGTGTTTTCATCTCTATTTATATAGATATCGTTATATCATGATACGTATTGTATCGTGAGGTTCTTGCCAATACTCACCCCTAACGAGTACTGACAGGAACTAGAAAAAGAGATCACATCTCTCCTGTACTAGCTTCTCTGCACTGGCTCCCTGTAAAATGTAGAATAGAATTTAAAATCCTCCTCCTCACCTATAAAGCTCTTCATGGTCAGGCCCCTTCATATCTTAAAGAGCTCATAGTACCCTGTTACCCCACTAGAACACTACGTTCTCTGAATGCTGGGCTACTTGTGGTTCCTATAGTCTCTAAAAGTAGAACAGGAGCCAGAGCCTTCAGTTACCAAGCTCCTCTCCTGTGGAACCAGCTTCCAGTTGTGGTTATTTTCTCTTAGTTATGCTGCTATAGGCCTAGACTATCGGGGGATTTCCCATGGTGCACTGAGCTCCTCTCTTACTCTCTCTTTATGCATTCATTCATGTCCCATTAATGCATGTTACTAACTTCACTTCTTGTGCTTTTTCGTCGTCTCGCAGGTTCTCATGGATCCTAGTGGAGCCTCCTGCCATGGTCCTGTTTGACTGCCATTGCCAATATCACTGATATTAGTGTTATTATTATTATAAGTATTATTATAGCGACGGTTTCTGTTGTTGCTGTTGTCACTGCTCATTGTCCCCAATCGTTGCTGTTGTTATGTTCATCATCATCCGTCACTACTATTAGTGTATTTGTTGCTACTGTTGTTGCTATGCACCTGTCTGTCAGTCTGTCTGTCTCTCTCTCTCTCTGTCTCACCCCAACTGGTCGAGACAGACGACCACCCACCTAGAGCCGAAGGATCTGTCCTAGGTTTCTGCCTTTTAACAGGCAGTGTTTCCTTGCCCTTGTCTCCAAGGTCTTGCTCATGGTGGTACTGTTGGGTCTCTGTAAATAATGTTATAAAGAGTTCGGTCTACAACTGCTCTATTTGGAAAGTGTCCTGAGATAACTTCTGTTATGAATTGGCGCTATACAAATAAAATTAAACTGAATTGAATTGAATTAAATATGATTGTCAGTTATTTTACACCGTTCACTGAGCGGCCACTGGTGGCGCTGTTAGCTACAGTTTAATGTTACGTACAGGAGCTTTAAATACTGCATAACCAGCTTTGACCTTTGAGGGGCTCGGTGACGTCCTTGCCAGTGAAGACTGGTTTGGGTGTGATGGGTGGAGGTTTAATGGCTGCCGGAGTGCTAGCGGGTTGGGCAGCAGCGGCGACAGCAGCCGGGGTCGGGGCCGGAGTCTGGATCTCCTGGAACAGGGTCGGAGGTAAGATGGCTCCCGTCTGCTTTGCCAGGAAGTTCAGGATATCTTCCTTCAGGATCCTTCCATCTCTCCCTGTTCCAACCACCTCACTGAGCTTAATCTGAGACAGACCAGAACCAGGTCAGACTGGGGTCAGACTGGGAACACTGGACACAGACTGGGACAGACTTACGTTGTTCTCCATGGCGAGGCGTCTGACGGCGGGCGTGGCCTGAGTCTTGTGACCTTTGATCTCCTGGTGCGTGTGCTCTTCTCGAGCCATGGCGGGCGTCTCCACCACGTCCTCCTCCTGGATCACCTCTGAACAACAAACCAGGTTTTAATCTCGGTCCAACCACAACAACAGGACACAGACTGGGACCGGCTCTCACCTGAGCTGGACTCTGTCTCGATGTCCACCAGCGGTTTTCCCACCAGCGCCGTTGCGTCCACGTCGTAGTACAGTTTCTTGATGACTCCATCGTAGCGGCTGGTGATGGTGACCGACGCCTTGTCGCTCTGAACCTCACAGATACTGTCGAACTGAGACACCTTGTCCCCCTCCTTCACATACCTGAGACATATTGATCAGGATACACTGTATCTTTATTGATGATTGATCAGTATACACTGTATCTTTATGGATAATATTGATCAGTATACACTGTATCTTTATGGATGATTGATCAGAATACACTGCATCTTTATGGATTATTGATCAGTATACACTGTATCTGTATGGATGATATTGATCAGTATACACTGTATCTTTATGGATGATATTGATCAGTATACACTGTATCTTTATGGATTATTAATCAGTATACACTGTATCTTTATGGATGATATTGATCAGTATACACTGTGTCTTTATGGATTATTGATCAGTATACACTGTATCTTTATGGGTGATATTGATCAGTATACACCGTATCTTTATGGATGATATTGATCCTGTATTGACAGTCAGACTGTGGACATATGACGGCCTTTAGCTCGTGTTTCTAGAGTTACGTGTTGTTACGAACACGTTAGGAATTGTTAAAATGTGATATTTCTTAAAGGGAGTTTGGTGCAGGGAGCTTTTAGTTGGATTCAAACTGCTGATATGGATCATTGTTAACATTTAGTCTCCACTACAGAAACACTAGCAAACTGAATTTTGTAACTTCAAATTTTTATCTGACAATTATATTGATGATGTCATTAACGATGTTATTATTGATCCAGATTTCAGATAGGAAGTTGTGTAATGTGAACAAGGCATTATGGGTCAGAGACACAGTACGTACCATTCCTTCACCGTCACCTCCATGATTCCCTCTCCAATGTCCGACAGTTTGAACTGGACGATTGGTCCCCGACTCACTGCGGGACAAAGTGACATCATCAACAACATCATCAGTAAACCTGCTGAACTGTACAACCAGGAAGAACACTTTAATCTGGCAGTTTGCCATGGTAACCAGGCTGGATAAAAGAATAAAGAGTCTGTTGTGTTTGACACCCGTCTACTTCCTGGATTCCTGAAACTGGACTGACGAGATCTGAACCCTGAGAGACTCTCTGATTACAGACTGCAGGTTCAGACTCTGGCCCGCCTGAGGTTCTGGGTCCTGCCGGTCTGGACTTACCAGTGGCGGTGTGGAGCGTCCTGCTGCTCAACGTCTGGAGGTTTCTGTCCCATCTGAAGGAGAGCGGCTGCAGAGTTCTGACACACCTGAAGGTCTGCAGCCGGAAACAGCGCCGACGGTACTGCTGACTCAGCTGGAAGACAACAGACAGTACAGGTAGTACAGAGAGTACACAGTACAGACAGTACAGAGAGTACACAGTACAGACAGTACAGAGAGTACACAGTACAGACAGTACACAGTACACAGTACAGACAGTACACACAGTACACACAGTACACAGAGTACAGAGAGTACACAGTACAGACAGTACGCAGTACAGACAATACACACAGTACAGACAGTACACAGTACACACTAGGGCTGTAACGATATGCGATATGAAACCGAAATCGCGACACTCAGATCCACGAACCTGTGTCGCGGTGTGAGAAGGCAGAATCGCGAGACACCCCTTCCAACTCCCAGAGTTATCCTTCCCGTCCCGATCCAATGCTGCCACATCTTTAAATTACTATTTGTATTATTTGAAGTTAACATTATAAAATACGTAGACCTACACCACAAAACTAGCTGAGGATAAATTCTTTAATTTTACCTGTAAGCATCCTCCAATTATGTATCATGTTACTACCTTTCCAATCATGTGACGCCTGCCTGCAAAAGTTGAGCTAGTTGAAGAACGTGAGGAAACATGGCAACCAACCCAGAGATTGCGGACCCTCCCAATACATTTAAGTCAGCAGTATGTTTCGGCTACCCGGTGGAGAACAAGGATGGCAATCGTGTAGTCGACAAGACCCACACAATTGTGTTTTAAGAAGCTTCCCCAAGTGACTGGCACCACGTCCAACATGCAGATGCATATCCTACGGCACCATACCGAAGTCAATTTAGCTGGAGCAGAGAAAACAACCCAACAGCAGCTGCCTACACTGCCTAGTTTATTCCAAGCAAAGTTTCCAGCCAATTCAGCACAAAAAATTACAAATGCAATTGGAATTTTTATGGCACTGGATATGCACCCCTTTTCGGTTGTTGAAAACGAGGGGTTCAAGCATTTACTTAGTGTGCTCGAGCCCCGTTATGCATTACCAAGCCGGGCGCATTTCTCTCAAAAATGTGCTACCAAAACGTCTAGAGAAAACAAACGCTAAAGTGGAGGAAGGGTTGAGTACTGCTGAATCCATCGCAATCACCAACGATGGATGGACGTCCTGTGCCACAGACAGCTATATGACCATAACCGCACACTATATTACGGGCAACTGGGAAATAGCAAACTCCGTCCTCCAAACGCGCGGTGTATGAGAGCCATACAAGCGACCATTTATCGGGAATACCTAAAGAGGCTTTGATAGATTGGAAGATCAGCAGATCAAACGTCCCCGTTCCTGTGACAACAGACAACGCCAAAAATATTGCCAATGCTGTCGAAGCGGACGGATTTTCACCGCATATACGATGCTTTGCTCACACTGTTAATCTGGCTGCGCAGAGAGTAATGGGCGTTCACCAGATGTCCCGACTCCTCGGCAGAGTGAGGAAAGTGGTCACATTTTTCTACCGCAGAACAACAGCTGCAGCTGTGTTGAAGGAGAAACAGGTGATGCCACAGCTGCCCTTACACAAGCTGGTCCAGGACGTGGCTACTAGGTGGAACTTGAGCCACGACATGCTAGAGCAGGAGGCTGCTGTTTTCTCAGCATTAACAGACAAGAGTGTCAAGAAGATTATTAAAGACATCGTCACTCTCTCTGATGATGATGTGAAACTAGCTGAGGACGTGGTCCAGGTTCTTAAACCTTTGAGAAACCATGATGACCCTCATGACCACTGAGCAGATGCCAACTATTTCAATGATCGTGCCATTGAAACATAAATGCATATTCTAACTCAGGGAAAAGTTAGGACACCCTACCCCCTAATACTTAGAGTTACCCCCTTTGGCTGAAATAACTTTGACGCTTCTGTAACCCTCTACCAGTCACTGACATCGGTCTGAGGAAAGTTTGCCCCACTCCTCAATGCAGAATGCTTTAACCTTTGTGATGTTTGAAGGGTTTCTTGCATGTACAGCCTGTTTCAAGACACCCCACAGCATCTCAATGGGATTAAGATCTGGGCTTTGACTGGGCCATTCCAGGACTCTTCATTTATTAGTTTTCAGCCAGTCCTTGGTGGATTTACTGGTATGTTTAGGGTCATTGTCATGTTGCAGGGTCCAGTTCCGCTTCAGCTTTAATTTTCTTACAGATGGTCTCACATGTTGCTCAAGCACCCTCTGATACACTGTAGAATTCATGATGGATTCTATGATGGTGAGCTGGCCAGGTCCTGCTGCAGCAAAGCACCCCCAAACCATGACACTTCCACCTCCATGCTTCACAGTTGGTATGAGGTTCTTTTCCTGGAACGCTGTATTTGGTGTGCGCCAAACGTCCTCTGTTCTGGTATCCAAATAATTCAATTTTAGACTCATCTGTCCAAAGAACATTATTCCAGAAGTCCTGTTCTTTGTCTACGTTCTCACTGGCAAACTTCAGTCTGGCCTTAATGTTTCTCTTGGAGAGTAAAGGTTTACTCCTTGCACACTTTAATTTAACATGTGCAGTCTCTTTCTGATTGTAGAGGCATGCGCTTTCACATCAACAGTCGCCAGAGCCTGCTGTAGGTCCCGTGATGACATTTTAGGGGTTTTGGAGACTTCTTTTAGCAGCTTGCGGTCTGCTCTCGGGGTGAACTTGCTTTGACGGCCAGACCTGGGTTGGCAGTTGTTTTGAAAGTCTTCCACTTGTACACTATTTTCCGGACAGTGGAATGGCTGATTTCAAACTCTTTTGAGATCTTTTTAAATCCCTTACCAGACTCATAAGCTGCAACAATCTTCTTTCTGAAGGCCTCAGACAGGTCTTTCAATCTCACCATGGTGTTCACTCTCATGTCAACAGTCAGGAGCACACCAAACTGAATGTCTGAGGTTTAAATAGGGCAAGCTTCCTTCGAAATGCTGAGTAACAATGTTCTAATCATGTGCACCTGACGTGATACACCTGTGTGTGATTTCAGCCATTTTAAGTGGGAAAAAATGTGGGGGTGTCCTAATTTATTCCTCACCAGAAATTGCATGTTTATTTTATTACATTTTACAGAAAGTTTTAAAAAGTATTTTCTTCAGTTTTACTTGTTTAGTTATATTACTTGAATCTCTCAGTATTGTTAAAATTGATATTAAATATCCATATGTCTAAATATGTTAAAAAAACACACGTTTTCATAGGGTGTCCTAATTTTTTCACAACTGTATTTGATTGTTTTAATATTAATATAATTAAATAAAGTGCTGTGTAAATCAGTTAGGCCTATTTAATTAAAGTCAGTATTTAAATATAGTCAGATAATAAATGCTTAACTTTATTAAACTAGCTTTATTTGTGTAATTGTCCTGGATTTCATATCCTCCATTGTATCTAACATTATGCTGCAATTGTGTTATGGATTTTGTCTGTTCGGCACAGACTTCCAGGGAGCAGACAGAGGAGCAATCAGAGAGCCTCCAGCAGCAGTGACTGTCCTCCTCCAGCCAAAAGAGCACCGATGGCTGAACTGTTAGGAGACATCTTTCCAATGGAACAGGCATCGTCATCCAAGTCTTTGTCTGAAGTGGTGGATGAGGAGGTGCAGCATTACAGAGCAGTGCAGAGCCTCTCAGAGGAGTCAAATCCACTTGTGTGGTGGAAGGACAACCAGAACCAGTTCTCCCATTTAGCCAAGTTGGCTAAAAGTTACCTTGGAATCCCAGCCACATCTGTCCCCAGTGAGAGAGTGTTTTCCACTGCAGGTGACATTGTCACAGCAGAGAGAGCAAGCCTCTCACCAGACAATGTGGACATGATGGTCCACCCCCCCCCCCAAAAGAATCGTGAGTTTGGTGTATCGTTACACACAGTACAGACAGTACAGACAGTACAATATTACCGACATAGTGCCAACATATTACCGACATATTGCCAACATATTACCGACATATTGCCGATATATTACTGACATATTGCCGATATATTACTGACATATTGCCGACATATTGCCAACATATTACCGACATATTGCCGATATATTACTGATATATTACCGACATATTGCCGATATATTACCGATATATTGCCGACATATTGCCGATATATTACTGATATATTACCGACATATTGCCGATATATTACCGACATATTGCCGATATATTACTGATATATTACCGACATATTGCCGATATATTACCGACATATTGCCTATTTATTACTGACATATTACTGACATATTGCCGATATATTACTGACATATTGCCGATATATTGCTGATATATTACTGATATATTACTGACATATTACTGACATATTGCCGATATATTACTGACATATTGCCGATATATTACCGACATATTGCCTATTTATTACTGACATATTACTGACATATTGCCGATATATTACTGACATATTGCCGATATATTACTGATATATTACTGACATATTACTGATGTATTACTGATGTATTGCCGATATATTACTGACATATTGCCGATATATTGCTGATATATTACTGATATATTACTGACATATTACTGATGTATTGCCGATATATTACTGACATATTGCCGATATATTGCTGATATATTACTGATATATTACTGACATATTACTGATGTATTGCCGATATATTACTGACATATTGCCTATATATTACTGACATATAGAGGTGGGCGATATATATCGTTTGCAATAATATCGTCATTGTTGTTTTGACGATGTGCAAATTTCCATTATCGAGTATTTAAATTACTTCGACAAAAACAATGAAACGCCCGCGGAAACTCCTCCCATCCATTAATACACGGAGCAGCAGCGCTCTCTACAGCATGGCAGGATTCAGTCACATGACTAGTGGGCCTACGTGATCACGTGACCTCTCGCTAGCATCCTCCTTGCAACAGTTTAGCAGCGCGTTGCGATGGTAGAGAGAAAATGCAAGCACCTCCAGTCCCTGAAGCTACCGGTACTTCAGATGATTTAGTGCCGAGACGTGGGTCCTATGGGCTTCAGCGTTCAGAGCGCTAAGCGCCTTCAGCGGTAAAAAGATGTCAGCGGAGACGGGTTTTTTTTAGCGCAGCGCTCAGAGCGCTTCAAGTTGAAATCTGTTCAACCTTTGACCCCGCTGGGCGCTCGGAAAATGAGCTCTCTCAGCGCTGTAAACGCGTTTGGTGGACACAAGTCCAGCTCAGACAATTCTAATCACATTTTAAAGGATATCGACTGATTATCGTTATCGCCAAAATCCCAAAACATATTGAGATATTATTTTTTGCCCATATCGCCCACCCCTACTGACATATTACTGACATATTGCCGATATATTACCGACATATTGCCGATATATTGCCGATATATTGCCGACATATTGCCGATATATTGCCGATATATTGCCGACATATTACCGATATATTACCGATATATTGCCGACATATTGCCGTCATATTGCCGATATATTGCCGACATATTGCCGACATATTGCCGATATATTACCGATATATCGCCGATATATCGCCGACATATTACCGATATATTACCGATATATTGCCGACATATTGCCGACATATTGCCGATATATTACTGACATATTGCCGATATATTGCCGACATATTGCTGACATATTGCCGATATATTACTGACATATTACTGACATATTGCCGACAAATTGCCGATATATTACTGACATATTGTCGATATATGGCCGATATATTACTGACATATTGCCGACATATTGCCGATATATTACTGATATATTACTGACATATTACCGATATATTGCCGATATATTACTGACATATTGCCGATATATTACTGACATATTGCCGACATATTGCCGATATATTGCCGACATATTGCCGACATATTACTGACATATTGTCGATATATTGCCGATATATTACTGACATATTGCCGATATATTGCCGACATATTGCCGATATATTACTGACATATTGCCGACATATTGCCGATATATTGCCGACATATTGCCGACATATTACTGACATATTACTGACATATTGCCGATATATTACTGACATATTGCCGATATATTGCCGATATATTACCGATATATTGCCGACATATTACCGATATATTGCCGACATATTGCCGACATATTGCCGATATATAACTGATATATTATTGATATTGCCGATATATTGCCGACATATTGCCGACATATTGCCGATATATTGCCGATATATTACTGACATATTGCCGATATATTGCCGATATATAACTGATATATTACTGACATATTACTGATATATTGCCGATTATATTGCCGATTATATTGCCGATATAATGCTGACATATTGCCGACATATTGCCGACATATTGCCGATATATTGCCGACATATTGCCGTCTCCAGTGCTCCGACCCCCCCACCCCTCCAGCAGTGTCAGCTGGGAGACAGTTCACTACCAACGAGCTTTAATACAGAAAATAAACTACAAATGTTAATAAACTCCAGTTTCTTCTTCATTAAAACAAACACAACCTGAAGTATTGATCCATTGTATAATCGATCAATGGTACTGGAAGAACTATTTATTCATTTCCACCTAACACAGCTGTTAGCATGTTAGCATTAGCATCAGCCAGTGAAAGTTACAGCAGCTAACATGCTAAGCTAACGAGCTGAGCGGGTGACGGAGTGATGACGTCACTCGGCGTTGGCTGCACGCTCGCGGCGGAAGCAGAAGAGAGCGATAGGAAAATAAAAGAGTAAAATAAAGTTCCTCACCAGCCTGAACACAGTGAAGGAGCCTCTGGTCACCGCCGCCATCTTTCCTTCCTCTCCGCTGCTGCTGCTGCGTCACAGCTGCACGCCCCTCTCTGCAGCCAATCAGCGTGCAGCGTCTTCTTCTACGTTACTGACGGCAGGCTGGAGGCGGGAGCGTTATAACGCTGCCACCCAGCGGTCAGCGGAGGAAGTTCAGGTTGTTTTATTTTTATTTATGTAACTTTAAAATGTGTAAAACGTAATTCTGATCAATAAATACATAAATACAAATATGTTCACAATGTTGAACACAGGGTGGAAATACAGGAAATAAATAGAAATAAAACCAAAACAATATATAAATATATAAAAATCTCTTTAGCTTTGTTTGTTTCTGTTCTTATTTTTCGGATTATATGAACTATGAATTAATATATGTTGTTGTTTTTATCTTGTGTTTGTGATTTCACTTTTTTATTTCTGTAATTATTAAACTTGTGACGCAAAAAAAAAATCTAAACTCCATTTTCTTTTTCTAACATAAAAACCTGGTGTACAAAATAAAATAATAAAATACACTCAAAGATTTAATCAAATGTTATAAAATGAAACGAAGGAAAAATATGAACTGTTGGGTATTAATTCATTGTTATTTCATAATAAGGGACATGCATTCTACAAACCAAACAAATACAAAGAAAAAAGCTGTATTGACAAGAAGTAACAGATAGATTTACTATACAAATAAAACTTAATTTAATTGAATTCACCGGAAACGGTCTTCAAAATAAAGGACATGCAAATGTAGTTTAAATAAAACCGAAGTTCTTCAAACAGATAATAAAGATATTATTATGAAACGTTATTGATGTCAACACAGGTGTGCATAAACATACAAACAAACCATAGATATATACATTGACTACCATAAATCGTCAAAATCTCGAACGATTTTTTAGTTTTTTGGTTTGAAAACTGACAGACATGTGTTTATGATCGAGTCCAGAGAAAATTTAAGCTTTTGATATAAATATAATCTACTTCAAAATGTAATGCCTAGTACTAGTAGGCGTAGTTTTATTATTCTTCCACTTAATAGTATAAGTATTTGCTTTTACACCTCTATTGTACTCATATCTAATGACAATCACAAAACATCCGACCTAAAGGCTTCACAGCTCAATATTTCATGAAGTACCTTTTTGACGGTCGTGCTTTTATTTTGAAAACGTTACCGAACCAACCATATATATATATTATATATCTATCTATATATAGAGATAGATCTATTATATATATACATAGATCTATCTATCTATCTATCTATCTATCTATCTATCTATCTATCTATCTATCTATATATACACATACACACAAACAAACAAACAATAAAATGTATTTAATAAATAAACAAACATATACATCTCCTCAGAGACATTTACAGTTATAGATATATATAAGTTATATAATAGTAACATTAAATAAAGTAACTATAATAATTAAAGAATATAATAATAAATCAAAATTTAAAACAATGACTGCTTTATTTTGAAATCCATCGGAAATGGTTCGTCCGTGTGATTGACAAGGAGAAGTTGAGACGAAGAATCTGAGACAGAAGAAGAAAGCAGTCTGTGGAGGCTGCAGCGGGAATCTGTAACAGAAGAAGAAAGCAGTCTGTGGAGGCTGCAGCGGGAATCTGTAACAGAAGAAGAAAGCAGTCTGTGGAGGCTGCAGCGGGAATCTGTAACAGAAGAAGAAAGCAGTCTGTGGAGGCTGCAGCGGGAATCTGAGATTGTCTATAAGATGGAGCGAGCTGCGGTGGAGATAGACGGCAGTGTGATGGAAGGAGTGAGTATTATTATTAATATTATTATTAATATTATTAATATTATTAATATTATTAGTATTATTAATATTAACGAGCTGGTGTTCCGCGCTGCTAACAGGCTAGCATCAGTTAGCATCAGTTAGCATCAGTTAGCATCAGTTAGCTGCAGTTAGCTGCCGTTAGCTGCAGTTAGCATCAGTTAGCTGCCGGTACCGAGCTGACGTTGGGTTCTGGTCCCGGTTCTCTGCAGGGCGGACAGATCCTGAGGGTGTCCGCGGCGCTCAGCTGTATCACCGGATCCGCCATCAAGATCACCAAAGTCCGCGCGGGCAGGAGCACACCGGGGCTCAGGTGAGCTAGCAGGCTAACGTTAGCCTATTGATTAGAGTGGAGGCTAACAGACAATAAGCACAGACCGCCTGTGATATCGATATCCATGTGATTGTGTTTTATTGATCCGGGATGGACTGAGGCTGCCGGGTCCAGACAATGAGAAGACGCCAACCAGACTCCTTTCTAAAGTGAGATAAAATAAGAGAGTGTGGTTGATGCGCGGACGGACAAAGGTTCTGGAACCGGACTGAGTGGACTCAGACAGGCAGCTGGAGCCGGGCTAATGTTCGGCTGTCTGCCTCTTCATGCAGCGGACCGTATATGTATGAAACTCTAACAGCTCAAATGATCAGCTGCAGCCATTCTCCCTCTGCAGTCTGTCCTCCGGAGAGCTGCGGCAGCTCCGTCATGTGACCCGTAATGGAAATGAAATGTATTGATTAAAAATGGCGGCTGCTGTGATCATATGTGAGCCGATTTTACCAGAAGAGTCTTAGTGTCTGAAAACAGTTTCATTCACAACAGTCTAATATGTCACTGTGCCATAAAGTTCAAAACATGTCACATTTGTGTCATTTATAAATGGAGTTCTGTCTTTAAAAAACTAGTGTAAGTGTTTCATGAAGGGGTGTGTGTGTGTGTGTGTGTGTGTGTGTGTGTGTGTGTGTGTGTGTGTAGACCACAGCACCTGAGCGGCCTCCAGCTGGTCTCAGATCTGTGTTCTGGCAGTCTGCAGGGAGCCACCATCGGCTCCACCGACATCAGTCTGACTCCAGGAAAGATCCAGTCGGGAAACCACACAGCCGACACACAGACAGCAGGGTGAGTCTGTCTGCCTGTCTGTCTGCGTCTGCCTGTCTGTCTGTCTGTCTGTCTGTCTGCCTGCCTGCCTGTCTGTCTGCCTGTCTGTCTGTCAATGTTTGTGTCGACTTTCTCTGAGTATAAAGTTTTGTCTGATGCTAACCTGCATATGTTGGACAATCAGCATCATTAGCATTAATAATCAGCTGTATGGACGATATCTCGACTCCCGTTGGAGGTTATTGATCTGATCGATACTTTGGAGTCAGTTCAGTGTCATAGTGTGAGTCTCTGTGCTGCTGCAGTTATTAATCATATTTCATTAAACTGACTCTCAATATTTCCACTTTAAACATAATATATATACAAAATGTCAGAAATGGATTCTTAATAATGCTATTAATGCTAACTGTCCATCATATGCAGGTTAGCGTCAGTGTAACAGACTATAATGTGTGTGTGTGTGTGTGTGTGTGTAGGAGTGTGTGTCTGCTCCTGCAGGTCGCTCTGCCCTGCGCTCTGTTTGCTGACGCGTCCTCACAGCTGTGTCTGAAGGGAGGAACCAACGCAGAGATGGCGCCTCAGATCGATTACACTGTGAAGGTCTGTTTCAGTCATGTGACAACACGCCGCCCGTTCAGATTAGAGATGTGAATCCCCCCCACTGAGGCCGACACACATCTCGATACGCTGCCAGCGATACGATACATTAACGATACAGTGGAGCCCCCTGCTGATACGATTCATTAATGATTTGACTTTATACAATGCGATTCAAACGATTCAACACAATACAAAGAATTTACCAACACACATCTGGTTTCTAATGTATTTGATACTTGATTGTTTTCTATAAAGCAAACCAATAAATCCAACTTAAAAAGAAGATGTGATTCAATATGGTACAGACAGAGGATTATTCCTAATAAACACTAAATCATAAACAAAATATATTTTTATGTGTTTTTAATCTCATTCTCTACTTATACAACACTAAATGTATTATATTCAGGCAATTTCTTTTTGGCCTCTTAATAATAAAACAAAACAAACAGTCCTGTTCTCAGGTCCTTTTACTAATAGTGTTCTCTGTCTGTGACTTCACAATGTTTTACAGAACACTTAGAAAACTTCAACATCAACAATGTGAAATAAATAACATCATAGTGCAATGTCCAAACTACTGCTGACAAGGTTTCCATCTTCCTTCTTAAAAAATCTGAATAATCACCAAACTGTGGAGTTGTGTGTCTTCCAAGGTACGCTGAATATCTCCCCTCCATCCGGCGCAGTGATGGTGCGTTCAAGGCGCCTCGAGAGCTCAGAGAGAGAGAGTCTGTAATAACCTCGAGAGCTCAGAGAGAGAGAGAGTCTGTAATAACCTCGAGAGCTCAGAGAGAGAGAGTCTGTAATAACCTCGAGAGCTCAGAGAGAGAGAGTCTGTAATAACCTCGAGAGCTCAGAGAGAGTCTGTAATAACCTCGAGAGCTCAAGAGAGAGAGAGTCTGTAATAACCTCGAGAGCTCAGAGAGAGAGTCTGTAATAACCTCGAGAGCTCAGAGAGAGTCTGTAATAACCTCGAGAGCTCAGAGAGAGAGTCTGTAATAACCTCGAGAGCTCAGAGAGAGAGAGTCTGTAATAACCTCGAGAGCTCAGAGAGAGAGAGTCTGTAATAACCTCGAGAGCTCAGAGAGAGAGAGTCTGTAATAACCTCGAGAGCTCAGAGAGAGAGAGTCTGTAATAACCTCGAGAGCTCAGAGAGAGAGAGTCTGTAATAACCTCGAGAGCTCGAGAGAGAGAGAGTCTGTAATAACCTCGAGAGCTCAGAGAGAGAGAGTCTGTAATAACCTCGAGAGCTCAGAGAGAGAGTCTGTAATAACCTCGAGAGCTCAAGAGAGAGTCTGTAATAACCTCGAGAGCTCAGAGAGAGAGAGAGTCTGTAATAACCTCGAGAGCTCAGAGAGAGAGAGAGTCTGTAATAACCTCGAGAGCTCAGAGAGAGAGAGTCTGTAATAACCTCGAGAGCTCAGAGAGAGAGTCTGTAATAACCTCGAGAGCTCAGAGAGAGTCTGTAATAACCTCCGAGAGCTCAGAGAGAGTCTGTAATAACCTCGAGAGCTCAGAGAGAGTCTGTAATAACCTCGAGAGCTCAGAGAGAGAGTCTGTAATAACCTCGAGAGCTCAGAGAGAGAGTCTGTAATAACCTCGAGAGCTCAGAGAGAGAGAGTCTGTAATAACCTCGAGAGCTCAGAGAGAGAGAGTCTGTAATAACCTCGAGAGCTCAGAGAGAGAGAGAGTCTGTAATAACCTCGAGAGCTCAGAGAGAGAGAGTCTGTAATAACCTCGAGAGCTCAGAGAGAGAGAGTCTGTAATAACCTCGAGAGCTCAGAGAGAGAGAGTCTGTAATAACCTCGAGAGCTCAGAGAGAGAGAGTCTGTAATAACCTCGAGAGCTCAGAGAGAGAGAGTCTGTAATAACCTCGAGAGCTCAAGAGAGAGAGTCTGTAATAACCTCGAGAGCTCGAGAGAGAGAGTCTGTAATAACCTCGAGAGCTCAGAGAGAGAGAGTCTGTAATAACCTCGAGAGCTCAGAAGAGAGAGAGTCTGTAATAACCTCGAGAGCTCAGAGAGAGAGAGTCTGTAATAACCTCGAGAGCTCAGAGAGAGAGAGTCTGTAATAACCTCGAGAGCTCAGAGAGAGAGAGAGTCTGTAATAACCTCGAGAGCTCAGAGAGAGAGAGAGTCTGTAATAACCTCGAGAGCTCAGAGAGAGAGAGTCTGTAATAACCTCGAGAGCTCAGAGAGAGAGAGTCTGTAATAACCTCGAGAGCTCAGAGAGAGAGTCTGTAATAACCTCGAGAGCTCGAGAGAGAGAGTCTGTAATAACCTCGAGAGCTCAGAGAGAGAGTCTGTAATAACCTCGAGAGCTCAGAGAGAGAGAGTCTGTAATAACCTCGAGAGCTCAGAGAGAGAGAGTCTGTAATAACCTCGAGAGCTCAAGAGAGAGAGTCTGTAATAACCTCGAGAGCTCAGAGAGAGAGAGTCTGTAATAACCTCGAGAGCTCAGAGAGAGAGAGTCTGTAATAACCTCGAGAGCTCAGAGAGAGAGAGTCTGTAATAACCTCGAGAGCTCAAGAGAGAGAGAGTCTGTAATAACCTCGAGAGCTCAGAGAGAGAGAGTCTGTAATAACCTCGAGAGCTCAGAGAGAGAGAGTCTGTAATAACCTCGAGAGCTCAGAGAGAGAGAGTCTGTAATAACCTCGAGAGCTCAGAGAGAGAGAGTCTGTAATAACCTCGAGAGCTCAGAGAGAGAGAGTCTGTAATAACCTCGAGAGCTCAGAGAGAGAGAGTCTGTAATAACCTCGAGAGCTCAGAGAGAGAGAGTCTGTAATAACCTCGAGAGCTCAGAGAGAGAGAGTCTGTAATAACCTCGAGAGCTCAGAGAGAGAGAGTCTGTAATAACCTCGAGAGCTCAGAGAGAGAGAGTCTGTAATAACCTCGAGAGCTCAGAGAGAGAGAGTCTGTAATAACCTCGAGAGCTCAGAGAGAGAGAGTCTGTAATAACCTCGAGAGCTCAGAGAGAGAGAGAGTCTGTAATAACCTCGAGAGCTCAAGAGAGAGAGAGTCTGTAATAACCTCGAGAGCTCAGAGAGAGAGAGTCTGTAATAACCTCGAGAGCTCAAGAGAGAGAGAGTCTGTAATAACCTCGAGAGCTCAGAGAGAGAGAGTCTGTAATAACCTCGAGAGCTCAGAGAGAGAGAGTCTGTAATAACACCTCGAGAGAGAGAGAGTCTGTAATAACCTCGAGAGCTCAGAGAGAGAGTCTGTAATAACCTCGAGAGCTCAGAGAGAGAGAGTCTGTAATAACCTCGAGAGCTCAAGAGAGAGAGAGTCTGTAATAACCTCGAGAGCTCAAGAGAGAGAGTCTGTAATAACCTCGAGAGCTCAGAGAGAGAGAGTCTGTAATAACCTCGAGAGCTCAGAGAGAGAGAGTCTGTAATAACCTCGAGAGCTCAGAGAGAGAGTCTGTAATAACCTCGAGAGCTCAGAGAGAGAGAGTCTGTAATAACCTCGAGAGCTCAGAGAGAGAGAGTCTGTAATAACCTCGAGAGCTCAGAGAGAGAGAGTCTGTAATAACCTCGAGAGCTCAGAGAGAGAGAGTCTGTAATAACCTCGAGAGCTCGAGAGAGAGAGAGTCTGTAATAACCTCGAGAGCTCAGAGAGAGAGAGTCTGTAATAACCTCGAGAGCTCAGAAGAGAGAGAGTCTGTAATAACCTCGAGAGCTCAGAGAGAGAGAGTCTGTAATAACCTCGAGAGCTCGAGAGAGAGAGTCTGTAATAACCTCGAGAGCTCAGAAGAGAGAGAGTCTGTAATAACCTCGAGAGCTCAGAGAGAGAGAGTCTGTAATAACCTCGAGAGCTCAGGAGAGTCTCTCGAGAGCTCAGAGAGAGTCTGTAATAACCTCGAGAGCTCAGAGAGAGAGAGTCTGTAATAACCTCGAGAGCTCAGAGAGAGAGAGTCTGTAATAACCTCGAGAGCTCAGAGAGAGAGAGTCTGTAATAACCTCGAGAGCTCAGAGAGAGAGAGAGTCTGTAATAACCTCGAGAGCTCAGAGAGAGAGTCTGTAATAACCTCGAGAGCTCAGAGAGAGAGAGTCTGTAATAACCTCGAGAGCTCAGAGAGAGAGAGTCTGTAATAACCTCGAGAGCTCGAGAGAGAGAGAGTCTGTAATAACCTCGAGAGCTCAGAGAGAGAGAGTCTGTAATAACCTCGAGAGCTCAGAGAGAGAGAGTCTGTAATAACCTCGAGAGCTCAGAGAGAGAGAGTCTGTAATAACACACAGACGCTACCGGTGCCTCGCTAACGTCTGTTTCAGCAACAGTAACGCCGCGGTAACGCCCCTCAGACCGCCGCCGTGGTAACGCCCCTCAGACCGCCGCCACGGTGTGATGTCAGTAACGTCTGTTGTTTCTTCTTCAGGTGTTTAAACCGATCATAGAGAAGTTTGGCGTCCATTTTGACTGTGACATCAGAATGAGGTCAGTTCCTGTTTACAGTGTGTGTGTGTGTGTGTGTGACAGTGTGTGTGTGACACTGTGTGTGTGTGTGTGTGTGTGTGTGTGTGTGACACTGTGTGTGTGTGTGTGTGTGTGTGTGTGTGTGTGTGTGTGACACTGTGTGTGTGTGTGTGTGTGACACTGTGTGTGTGTGTGTGTGTGTGTGTGTGTGTGTGTGTGTGTGTGTGTGTGTCACTGTGTGTGTGTGTGTGTGTGTGACACTGTGTGTGTGTGTGTGTGTGACACTGTGTGTGTGTGTGTGTGACACTGTGTGTGTGTGTGTGTGTGTGTGTGTGTGTGTGTGTGTGTGTGTGTGTGACACTGTGTGTGTGTGTGTGTGTGTGTGTGTGTGACACTGTGTGTGTGTGTGTGTGACACTGTGTGTGTGTGTGTGTGACACTGTGTGTGTGTGTGTGTGTGTGACACTGTGTGTGTGTGTGTGTGTGTGTGTGTGTGTGTGTGTGTGTGTGTGTGACACTGTGTGTGTGACACGTGTGTGTGTGTGTGTGTGTGTGACACTGTGTGTGTGTGTGTGTGTGTGTGTGACACGTGTGTGTGTGTGTGTGTGTGACACTGTGTGTGTGTGTGACACTGTGTGTGTGTGTGTGTTGTCAGGGGTTACTACCCTAAAGGCGGTGGCGAGGTGGCGGTGACGGTGAATCCGGTGAAGGAGCTGCAGCCCGTCATCATGACGGAGAGAGGAAACATCACCAAGATCTACGGACGGGCGTTCGTCGCCGGAGTGCTGCCCTACAAAGTAAAGTTCCTACCCTCAGACAGGAAGTGCTGCCCTACAAAGTAAAGTTCCTACCCTCAGACAGGAAGTGCTGCCCTACAAAGTAAAGTTCCTACCCTCAGACAGGAAGTGCTCCCCTACAAAGTAAAGTTCCTACCCTCAGACAGGAAGTGCTGCCCTACAAAGTAAAGTTCCTACCCTCAGACAGGAAGTGCTGCCCTACAAAGTAAAGTTCCTACCCTCAGACAGGAAGTGCTGCCCTACAAAGTAAAGTTCCTACCCTCAGACAGGAAGTGCTCCCCTACAAAGTAAAGTTCCTACCCTCAGACAGGAAGTGCTCCCCTACGGTCCCCCTCACAAAGTAAAGTTCCTACCCTCAGACAGGAAGTGCTGCCCTACAAAGTAAAGTTCCTTCCCTCAGACAGGAAGTGCTGCCCTACAAAGTAAAGTTCCTACCCTCAGACAGGAAGTGCTGCCCTACAAAGTAAAGTTCCTACCCTCAGACAGGAAGTGCTGCCCTACAAAGTAAAGTTCCTACCCTCAGACAGGAAGTGCTGCCCTACAAAAGTTCCTACCCTCAGACAGGAAGTGCTGCCCTACAAAGTAAAGTTCCTACCCTCAGACAGCTGTCACTACAGTCATGGAAACTTCACACAGCCGATATTGATGCTATTGATCCTGTTGATGGTATTGATCCTGTTGATGGTATTGATGGTATTGATCCTATTGATAGTATTGATCCTGTTGATGGTATTGATGCTATTGATGGTATTGGTCCTGTTGATGGTATTGATCCTATTGATGGTATTGATCCTGTTGATGGTATTGATGCTATTGATGGTATTGATGGTTTGATCCTGTTGATGGTATTGATGCTATTGATGGTTTGATGCTATTGATGGTTTGGTCCTGTTGATGGTATTGATCCTATTGATGGTATTGATCCTATTGATGGTATTGGTCCTATTGTGGTATTGATGCTATTGATGGTTTGGTCCTATTGATGGTATTGATCCTGTTGATGGTATTGATGGTATTGGTCCTGTTGATGCTATTGATGCTATTGATGGTATTGATCCTGTTGATGTATTGATGCTATTGATGGTATTGGTCCTGTTGATGGTATTGATGCTATTGATGGTATTGGTCCTGTTGATGGTATTGATCCTATTGATGGTATTGATCCTGTTGATGGTATTGATGCTATTGATGGTATTGATGGTATTGATCCTGTTGATGGTATTGATGCTATTGATGGTATTGATGCTATTGATGGTATTGGTCCTGTTGATGGTATTGATCCTATTGATGGTATTGATCCTATTGATGGTATTGGTCCTATTGATGGTATTGATGCTATTGATGGTATTGGTCCTATTGATGGTATTGATCCTGTTGATGGTATTGATGGTATTGGTCCTGTTGATGCTATTGATGCTATTGATGGTATTGATCCTGTTGATGGTATTGATGCTATTGATGGTATTGGTCCTGTTGATGGTATTGATGCTATTGATCCTGTTGATGGTATTGATCCTGTTGATGGTATTGATGCTATTGATGGTATTGATCCTGTTGATGGTATTGATGCTATTGATGGTATTGGTCCTGTTGATGGTATTGATGCTATTGATCCTGTTGATGGTATTGATGCTATTGATGGTATTGATGGTATTGATCCTGTTGATGGTATTGATGGTATTGATGGTATTGATCGTATTGATCCTATTGATGCTATTGATGCTATTGATCCTGTTGATGGTATTGATGGTATTGATGGTATTGATCGTATTGATCCTATTGATGCTATTGATGCTATTGATCCTGTTGATGGTATTGGTCCTGTTGATGGTATTGATGCTATTGATCCTGTTGATGGTATTGATCCTGTTGATGGTATTGATCCTATTGATGGTATTGATCCTATTGATGCTATTGATCCTATTGATGCTATTGATCCTATTGATGCTATTGATGCTATTGATGGTATTGATCCTGTTGATGGTATTGGTCTTGTTGATGGTATTGATGCTGTTGATGGTATTGATGCTATTGATGGTATTGGTCCTGTTGATGGTATTGGTCCTGTTGATGGTATTGGTCCTGTTGACGGTATTGGTCCTGTTGACGGTATTGGTCCTGTTGACGGTATTGATCCTGTTGATGGTATTGATCCTGTTGATGGTATTGATCCTGTTGATGCTATTGATCATGATGATGGTATTGATGCTATTGATCCTGTTGCAGCTGGCTAAAGACATGTCTTCGGCTGCAGTTCGGACCATCAGGAAGGAGATCAAAGATCTGTACATTAACATTCAAGCGCTGCAGGAGAAAGAAATGGCGTGCGGGAACGGCAACGGTATCATGTAAGCCCCGCCCACCTGCTGACATCACTATTGCGTTCGCTGTCACAGAGGAGATCAGGAGTGACAGTGCACTGTAAAGGGGGGTTTGTTTTTCCCACGTGCAGTGAACGCAGCAGCAGCGTGAGGACACAGGTGTGTCTCGGCTGCTGCTCTCTGATTGGTCCGTCTCCTCTGTGTTTCAGAATCATCGCGGAGTCGTCGACAGGTTGTGTGTTTGCAGGTTCGGCTCTGGGGAAGAAAGGTGAGCTTCATACAGAGCGCAGGGAGCCAATCAGAGTGCAGCATTCACACTCATTGATTAACGTGTGTGTGTGTGTGTGTGTGTGTGTGTGTTTTCCAGGTGTGTATGTAGATAAAATTGGGATTGAAGCTGCTGAGATGTTGCTGAGGAACATCAGACATAACGGCTGCGTGGACGAATTCCTGCAGGACCAGGTGAGATACACCTGCTGACATCAGTGTGACATCACCCTGACTCAGTAGTATGATGTCAGAGCTCAGACTTTACTCTGATTGGTCACAGTGACCTCTGACCTCCTCTTCCTCCTCAGCTCATCATCTTCATGGCGTTGGCAAAGGGGACGTCTCGGATTCGAACCGGCGCTGTGACACTGCACACGCAGACGGCCATTCACATTGCAGAGCGGCTCACTCAGGTCATTATTGATTATTATCTGAATATTTATGTGATTATTGATTATCTGAATATTTATGTGATTATTGATTATTATTCTGTTTTCAGGCAAAGTTCACAATAACAAAGAGTGAAGACGAACTCAGCAGCAACGTTACTTACATCATCGAATGTGAAGGATCAGGAGCAACTAACACACACCTGTAACACACACACCTGTAACACACACCTGTAACACACACACACACACACCTGTAACACACACACACACACACACACCTGTAACACACACACACACACACACCTGTAACACACACACACACCTGTAACACACACACACACACACACACACACCTGTACACACACACACACACACACACCTGTAACACACACACACACACACACACACACCTGTAACACACACACACACACACCTGTAACACACACACACACACACACCTGTAACACACACACACACACACACACCTGTAACACACACACCTGTCACACACACACACACCTGACACACACACACACACACACACGCTTGTGTCACACACACACACACGCTTGTAACACACACACACACACACACACACACACCACACACACACACACACACACACACACACACACACACTCGGTAGCTGCTCCCATCATGGCCGACCCTCTCAGCTTGTGTCTCTCAGGGTGTTTTCCTTAATACTGTAATAAATAAATAAACAATAAACAGTCTGCTTCCTGTTTGTAAATCTCTTCTCACACACACTGGATCCTACATTTCCCACAATGCACCTCCCTGGTGTCATTCATTTATAGATGAGAGAAGTTCCCCCCGGTCCTTGGGCCTTGCATTAAGCTCCGCCCCACTTCCTGTTAATGTTTAATATCATAATAAAGCCTAAATCCTACAGCCAGCAGGGTCCGAGACCACAGAAGAAGAAAACAGGAGGCTTTATCTCCACTTCCTGTTACTGTCTGCTGTTTCCAAGGTTCATTATTAGAAGGTAGGTCAGCTCAGTTTATGGGAATTATTAAGGTTCAAATTCAATTCAATTCAATTTTATTTGTATAGCGCCAATTCATAACAGAAGTTATCTCAGGACACTTTTCAAATAGAGCAGGTCTAGACCGAACTCTTTAACATTAATTACAGAGACCCAACAGTACCACCATGAGCAAGACCTTGGAGACAAGGGCAAGGAAACACTGCCTGTTAAAAGGCAGAAACCTAGGACAGATCCTCCGGCTCTAGGTGGGTGGTCGTCTGTCTCGACCAGTTGGGGTGAGAGAGAGAGAGACAGACAGACAGACAGGTGCACAGCAACAACAGTATTGGCAATGGCAATCTAGCAGGACCATGGCAGGAGGCTCCACCAGGATCGATAACCTTTTTCCCCTCTGCGCCACACTGTCACACCAAACTCCATTAAAAAAACGGCTGTTTTAAGGAAGTAAAACCTTTATTTCCACCTTCAGTGAGACTCTACAGACACAATCTGCTCACATTGACTCAATAACATCATTAACTAACCTGTGAGGAAGAGTTGACACTCTTTAGGAAAGTAAAGAGAATCATGAACTGGTTTTATTATTTGATGATAAAATGTGATGCAGCAGCTTTTTGGAACCATTACAGCTGGTTTCATCCAAAAGGGGGCATGGCCGTTCTAAAGACAGGAAGTGATGTATGGCCGCTCTCATCTATAGACTGTATAATAATAGACGTAGCCACACAGTTTGTGGAGTACTGTTCAGAAAACAATGAGGGTTCAACAGTGTTGGTTCCTGACTGCAGCCATGATAAGAATCTGTCTGAAGAGAGGAGCTTCAATCACTGACAGTCTATATAATGTGTTCAACCTGCCAGCAGGGGGCAGCTCCACTCTGATAGTATTGAGTCTTATGGAGAAGTTGATTAATGAGCTCAGTAAACAGTTTCCTGATGAGTTTCTGGTCTCAGTCTCTAGTTTCAGTCTTCTTCCATACAGCATGATGTTCATTTAGTAACTGATGGTCCCATTTAGAGTAAAACAGACCATAAAGCAGGGTATGCTTTAGGGCGGGGCTACCTTGTGATTGACAGGTCACTGGTTACAAAACACAGCCCTGTAAGTTTTGTCCATCTTTATCTAAATATGCTTTGCACCAATGTTGCTGAAGATGACATGAAATAGGTGCTTAAAGAAGCAAAAAATCCAAAATGGCAGTATGTTTTAAGGCGTCAATGTGCGTGGCCTTTATCAGTGAAATTGGCATCATCCAAGGAACTCATTGTGCAAAAATGTTTCTTATACTCCTTGAGTGCTTAATAACCGACTATATAGTGGTGCTATTAAATACATTTTAATGTGTTTAGCAGAGAGAGAGAGTGAGAGATTCACCTGATCCAGTCCTAACTATAAGCTTTATCAAAGAGGAATGTGTCTGATATTTCTAATATTACGTAAATGAAAGAAGGCGGTCCTAGAGGTCTGCTTTATGTGGGAGTTAAATGACAAATCCTGATCAAAGATAACTCCAAGATTCCTGACAGTGGTGCTAGAGGCCAAGTTAATGCCATCTAGAGTAACTATATCTTTAGACAATGAGTCTCTAAGGTTTTTGGGGCCAAGAACAAGAATTTCGTTTTTTAACGAGTTTAACATCAGAAAATTGCAGCTCATCCAGGATTTTATGTCCTTAAGACATGTTTGTAATTTAGATAATTGATTAATTTCATCAGGCTTGATCGATAGATATAACTGCGTATCATCTGCATAACAGTGAAAGTTAATGGAGTGATTCCTAATAATGGTGTCAATGGTGTCAAATGCAGCACTAAGATCTAATAATACAAGTATAGAGACAAGTCCATTGTCAGAAGCAATCAGAAGGTCATCATTAACTTTAACCAGAGCTGTCTCTGTGCTGTGATGAACTCTAAATCCTGACTGAAAATCCTCAAATAAACTATTGTTATGTAGAAAGTCACACAACTCTTTGGCGACTACTTTCTCCAGAATCTTAGAGAGGAAGGGGAGGTTAGAAATCGGTCTATAGTTGGCTAAAACCCCTGGGTCAAGAGTGGGCTTTTTAAGAAGGGGTTTAATTAATGCTACTTTAAATAACTGACCCATAACATAACCATAACATAACATAATATATGTATAACGTAACATAACATAACATAACATAAACATTGTTGTAATGTGAACATTATTAAGTTAATCTTTTTCAGAATAAGAGCACAACAGCCATACGCCCACCAGGGGTCGATGTTACATATGTTGCATTTATTTTGAAGGACATTTCCGCCCCTGGCGTTGTTGTATGCTTGACCTCCAGCCGACAGAGATGTTACAGATGAGCTCTAGATGTAATGTTCATTTTGCCATCCTTATATAAAGTGCAACTACGGCCAAGACATTGTCGAGTGGTTCTTTTCCAGCTGAAGTTACCGCAACCATAACATAACCATAACATAACATAACATAACATAACATAACATAACTAGGGCTGTCAAAATTAACGCGTTAATGCGAGATGATTAATTTCTGGAATTAACGGCGATAATTTTTTTAACGCATTCCCGCCCTGTACAGATGGACTCAGAATCAGAGTCAGATGAAGAGGTGCAACCTGACGGAGACATACACAGGTACAGAGCAGAGCCAAGCATAGCCTAAGTATGGAGGACTGCCCCATGCAGTGGTGAGCTGCTCATTCAGGAGCACTTGACAAGCTGGCCCTGCTTGCCCGCAAATATCTAGCGACTCCTGCATCCACAGTTCCATGCGAATGACTCTTCTCAGTCGCAGGACATATTGTCAGAAGAAACGGTCCGCTTTACATTCAGAAAATGTTAACCAGTTAGTTTGTCTTAGCAACGGGCTAAAAGATGAAATAAAAGGTAAAAGGGCCACATGTAATTGTGTGAAAGTGGAGTTGTTTGTTCAAAAAGAAAAACGTTCCATTCACCTATCCTGTATTTGCTGAAAAAAAAAAATGCAATTAGCAATGGCTAAGTTGCCAAAATTGTTTAGAACTTAATTATTTTTTTGGATTTGTCATTAATAAAAAACAAATGTAATATCCGCTTCTTGTCATTTATCTTTCTGTTCTGAGAATAGTACACAGAGAACGTGAATTTTTCAGTCATATTGAGGATTATGATTAATCGAAATTAATTCAAGAAACCTTGTGATTAATTAGATTAAAAATTTTAATCGTTTGACGGACCTAAACACAACATAACCTAACCATAACCATAACATAACATCACCATAACCATAACATAACATAACCTAACCATAACCATAACATAACATAACCATAACCATAACAGAACCATAACCATAACATAACATAACCATAACCATAACATAACATACCATAACCATAACATAACCATAACATAACATAAAATAACCATAACATACCATAACCATAACATAACATAACATAACCATAACATAACATAACATACCATAACCATAACATAACATAACCATAACATAACATAACATACCATAACCATAACATAACATAACATACCATAACCATAACAACCATAACCATAACATAACATACCATAACTATAACATAACATAACATAACATAACAACCATAACCATAACATAACATAACATAACATAACATAACCATAACCATAACATAACCATAACATAACCATAACCATAACATAACATACCATAACCATAACATAACCATAACATAACATAACCATAACATAACATAACATAACATAACATAACATAACATAACCATAACATACCATAACCATAACATAACATAACCATAACATAACATAACATAACATACCATAACCATAACAACCATAACCATAACATAACATAACTTAACATAACCATAACCATAACATAACCATAACATAACCATAACCATAACATAACATACCATAACCATAACATAACCATAACCATAACATAACATAACCATAACATAACATAACATAACATAACCATAACATACCATAACCATAACATAACATAACCATAACATAACATAACATAACATAACCATAACATAACATACCATAACCATAACATAACATAACCATAACATAACATAACATACCATAACCATAACATAACATACCATAACCATAACAACCATAACCATAACATAACATACCATAACTATAACATAACATAACATAACATAACATAACATAACAACCATAACCATAACATAACATAACATAACATAACATAACAACCATAACCATAACATAACATAACATAACATAACATAACAACCATAACCATAACATAACATAACCATAACATAACATAACATAACATAACATAACATAACATACCATAACCTAACCATAACATAACTATGACATAGCATAACTATAACATATATGTAACATAAACGTAACAAAACCTTATGAGAAACATCATCAAATTGTGACTTATTGAACAGAAGATTAACTTTATTAAATGTTTGAGCGTCATTTAACAATCATTAACAATAACTAATCATAACTAACAATAATTAACAATAATAAACAATAATAAACAATAATTACTAATAATTAACAATAATTACTAATAATTAACAATAATTAACAATAATTAATAATAATTAACAATAATTAGTAATAATTAACAATAATAAACAATAATTAATAATAATAATCAATAATAATTACTAATGAGTGTATCAGTTCTTCTGATGATATTTATAATGAGTATCTTTATTTGTATCTGTCACTTCTTTATACTATCTACTGTAAGTGTTACTTTGAGACTGTTGAATTCTGGATATTGTAGTTTGTTTTGGTTCTTATTCCATCAGACTGCAGTGACACCTTGCCTCGCTGGCTGTCTGCCGATCCAGCACCTGTTTGGGACAGGTCACCTGTTCTGGACTTCCTGGGGGACCTGGACTTCCTGTGGTCCCCTTCTTGTTTCCGTGATGTCATCAGCGGTGTCGTGTTGAGTGTCCCTTTAACCTCTTTACCTGCGACAGGTATGTACAGTGTGTACAGCAGGAAGTCCAGCTCAGTCCTGAATGTGTGTTGAAACCTGAGTCGGCTGTAAACTCACACCTCCGTCCCCTCTGGAACCAGGAGTAACCCAATCCGGGTCACCTGACACCTCCTCAGCTCAGCCCGGCCGCGTCCCCGCAGTCAGCTCGCCGCCCTGCAGCATGGCGGACGGCGGGGCCTGGAGGACACACCAGGATGGCCCCAGGATCCTCCAGCCAGGACCGGGACCGGGGCAAGGATCTGGACCGGGACCGGCTCCAAACCGTGTGTGGATCTCTTTGATTGCAGGTGAGACTCTGACGATAAAGGACTCACCTGAGATTGAAACCGATCACCTGCTTCCACAAGTTTCCACTGCTGAGGTCATGTGATCCAGCTCAGGTAGGACAGGGTCTTGTTTTGAATCAGCAGGAGTCATAATAGTCTGGACTCAATCAATGGTATTGATCCAGACTGTATCAATCAGACTTTATTAGTACAGCAGTAATGATAGAGATAGTGTCTAACTCAAATGCATTTTAATTTATATTTAATAAATGACACAACATTTATAATGTCGATATACAGTTTTACTTTGGACTTATCTTTGATGTCAAACTGAGAAAAAAGAAAATGAGAGTAAATAAATAAAAGGAGCAGCGTCACTTCAGGAAAATAATGGACTTATTCCAGGATGCAGTTATTGTTTCCTTTAATATTAAATGTGGATGTTTGATCTGAGATCATATACAAATGTCTCACTTCAACATTTGTATTGATTTTATTTATGATTTCTCTTTTCCCTCTCTGGATGTATATGTTTGTCTCTTTTTCTCATAGCTAGCTCTTGATAATGAAAGAAAGACGGACAATAGAGACTATATTTCTGATATATGAAACTCTACCTTTCCTTTCTTTTCTGTTGGCTGTGGATGTAATAATCATTCTTTAATAAGATCAAAGAGTGATTATTTCAATTCTTCTTTAAACTGATTTTTTAAAGTCACAAAGATCCCATGCTGTGTGCAGACAATAATACCTAATAACTCAATACAACAGCAGATACTAACAGGTATTGATGTGTTTTATTGGCACATGATTACAAAAAGAACAGAAAATAAACAACAAGATTAAAACTTTGATCAACATGCTGGCAGTCATTTGTTCCTGTCGGTACGTGAAAGCTTCATTGCTCGTGTTTCCCAGCGGGCTGTGAACGCAGCACAGAACGCTCTGTTTGCGGATTGGCTGCGGTTGCTATGGGAGCGGCTCCCGTTGCTATGGTAACGTGTCTTAAGGAGGGATTTGGTCAATCAGAGTTTGAGACTCGGAGCGTCGTCAAGCAGTTTCGGTGCTAACATGCTAACATGCTAACCGGGAATGTTTACCGGTGAAAGAAAACAGAAAACCGAAGAAAAGAACCGGTAGAAAACATCGGTCTGTAGCGGAGGGCAGCCGCAGTGACTGATGGGAAACTGAGGACAAAGTTTGAAACTTTTAAACAGACTCCGTTCCTGCTAGCTGTTTGCTAGCCTGCTAACGGCTACAGAGCCGTTAGCAGTTGGTAAAGTTTGGAGCTGCGTGAGCTGCGTGAGCTGCGTGAGCTGCGGGCCGAGAGAGGAACCATGACGGTGGAGGGAGTGCGGCACTCCCCGGTCCTGTCTGCCCTGTTCAGGACCGCAGAGGACTCCTCCGAGCTGCTGGGAGCCGCCCAGTTTATCAAAGGTATTTACCGTAAATATATTAATACAGTTTATTAAAGGTATTTACCGTAAATATATTAATACAGTTTATCAAAGGTATTTACCGTAAATATATTAATACAGTTTATCAAAGGTATTCACCGTAAATATATTAAATATATTAATACAGTTTATCAAAGGTATTTACCGTAAATATATTAATACAGTTTATTAAAGGTATTTACCGTAAATATATTAATACAGTTTATTAAAGGTATTTACCGTAAATATATTAATACAGTTTATTAAAGGTATTTACCGTAAATATATTAATACAGTTTATTAAAGGTATTTACCGTAAATATATTAATACAGTTTATCAAAGGTATTTACCGTAAATATATTAATACAGTTTATTAAAGGTATTTACCGTAAATATATTAATACAGTTTATCAAAGGTATTTACCGTAAATATATTAATACAGTTTATTAAAGGTATTTACCGTAAATATATTAATACAGTTTATTAAAGGTATTTACCGTAAATATATTAATACAGTTTATTAAAGGTATTTACCGTAAATATATTAATACAGTTTATTAAAGGTATTTACCGTAAATATATTAATACAGTTTATCAAAGGTATTTACCGTGAATATATTAATACAGTTTATTAAAGGTATTTACCGTAAATATATTAATACAGTTTATTAAAGGTATTTACCGTAAATATATTAATACAGTTTATTTCCTAAGTTTATCAAAGGTATTTACCGTAAATATATTAATACAGTTTATCAAAGGTATTTACCGTAAATATATTAATACAGTTTATTAAAGGTATTTACCGTAAATATATTAATACAGTTTATCAAAGGTATTTACCGTAAATATATTAATACAGTTTATCAAAGGTATTTACCGTAAATATATTAAATATATTAATACAGTTTATCAAAGGTATTTACCGTAAATATATTAATACAGTTTATTAAAGGTATTTACTGTAAATATATTAATACAGTTTATCAAAGGTATTTACCGTAAATATATTAATACAGTTTATTAAAGGTATTTACCGTAAATATATTAATACAGTTTATCAAAGGTATTTACCGTAAATATATTAATACAGTTTATTAAAGGTATTTACCGTAAATATATTAATACAGTTTATTAAAGGTATTTACCGTAAATATATTAATACAGTTTATTAAAGGTATTTACCGTAAATATATTAATACAGTTTATTATTCCTAAAGTTTATCAAAGGTATTTACCGTAAATATATTAATACAGTTTATCAAAGGTATTTACCGTAAATATATTAATACAGTTTATCAAAGGTATTTACCGTAAATATATTAATACAGTTTATCAAAGGTATTTACCGTAAATATATTAATACAGTTTATCAAAGGTATTTACCGTAAATATATTAATACAGTTTATTAAAGGTATTTACCGTAAATATATTAATACAGTTTATTAAAGGTATTTACCGTAAATATATTAATACAGTTTATTAAAGGTATTTACCGTAAATATATTAATACAGTTTATCAAAGGTATTTACCGTAAATATATTAATACAGTTTATCAAAGGTATTTACCGTAAATATATTAATACAGTTTATTAAAGGTATTTACCGTAAATATATTAATACAGTTTATTAAAGGTATTTACCGTAAATATATTAATACAGTTTATTAAAGGTATTTACCGTAAATATATTAATACAGTTTATTATTCCTAAAGTTTATCAAAGGTATTTACCGTAAATATATTAATACAGTTTATCAAAGGTATTTACCGTAAATATATTAATACAGTTTATCAAAGGTATTTACCGTAAATATATTAAATATATTAATACAGTTTATCAAAGGTATTTACCGTAAATATATTAATACAGTTTATTAAAGGTATTTACCGTAAATATATTAATACAGTTTATCAAAGGTATTTACCGTAAATATATTAATACAGTTTATCAAAGGTATTTACCGTAAATATATTAATACAGTTTATCAAAGGTATTTACCGTAAATATATTAATACAGTTTATTAAAGGTATTTACCGTAAATATATTAATACAGTTTATTAAAGGTATTTACCGTAAATATATTAATACAGTTTATTAAAGGTATTTACCGTAAATATATTAATACGTTTTTTCCTAAAGTTTATCAAAGGTATTTACCGTAAATATATTAATACAGTTTATCAAAGGTATTTACCGTAAATATATTAATACAGTTTATCAAAGGTATTCACTGTAAATATATTAATACAGTTTATTAAAGGTATTTACCGTAAATATATTAATACAGTTTATTAAAGGTATTTACCGTAAATATATTAATACAGTTTATCAAAGGTATTTACCGTAAATATATTAATACAGTTTATTAAAGGTATTCACCGTAAATATATTAATACAGTTTATTAAAGGTATTCACTGTAAATATATTAATACAGTTTATTAAATGTATTTACCGTAAATATATTAATACAGTTTATTAAAGGTATTCACCGTCAATATATTTATAGTTTATTATTCCTAAAGTTTATTAATGAAGTTTATTATTACATAGGGTATTAATAATGATTATTAATACATTTTATTTTTACAGTGTAATAATAAAGTTGATTAATAAAGTTTATTAAAGAGTTCATAAAGGTAAAAACAGAGTTTATCAAAGAGTTTTAGAGCTGCAACATTAACACTTACAAACTGTTCACCACCTGTCTGTGCCATCAGCAGGTGATCAGCAGGTGATCAGGGTTGCCATGGTTACTGATTGATAAGCTCTGATGTTTCAGTCAGTTTAATGTTGCTGTTTGACTCCCTTCGTAAAAAACTGAGGTTATTTGGACTGGACTGAGGGATCGGTTTATTGATCAGTTTACTGATAGTTATCAGCTGATAACTGAAGCAGTGTGTTTATTCCTGGCTGTAGTTTGTAATGACATCAGTCTGATTAATAATGAGAGTTAGGGCTGGGCGATAATTCGATCTCGATTCGGGATCGCGATAAAATTTTGATCAATTTCGATAATAAGCTTGGGACATATTATTCGATATCACATGAAAAAGTAAGCGCAACAAAAACAGTATCAGAGTCTGCCGGCTGCCGTATGCCGGTAGGAAACGCCCACTTCCCATTGTGAGCAGCGTGGCTACAGTTAGGGGGAAAGAAGTTGGAAAAAGGAGAAAAAGTTAGCGAAACTGAAGTCGAGGACAGGAAAAATAATGCCGAACATGAAAGCGACATCACTACATCACCCGAGACCGAAGACATTGTTGGAAAAAATAGGTAACACGACGTCAATTGTGTAAACGTGGTTTGGATACGGCAAAAGCGACCAGGAGCAGGTGAAGCCGGTCTGCAAAATATGCCAGCGGTTGGTACCAGCCAGGACGGGGAACACAATAAATCTTTTCCATCACCTGAGACGGCACCACCCCAGTAATTACACTGAGAGTGTGACTCTGCAGGCTCAAGCTGGCACGACACCACACACACACAGCCAAGCAAGACCACTACGTCTGCCGTCAGCATCGCTAGCAGGAGCGGCTCTGTTAAACAATAACAATCCATCCAGTCGTAGTAATATGAAATATTTGAGATTATTATTATTTAATAATTGTTTTTTAAGTTGTTTGAATAAGTTGTTGTTTAAAAAATCTAAAAATGTAAAATATAGTGAAAAGTGACCAGTCACTTACTAGTTTGCACTTGTTTGAAAGCATATAAAACTCTGTATGAGTGAAAGAGTGCTGCTCTGAATTTTCTTTTGCCAGTTGTGGGCCCTGCTGCTCTCTTGACCAATGGAAAGATTCATACAATGTGGGAGTGTAATGTGAATCCTTTGTCTGCATGAAGACCTTAACAAAAACATTTTGTGCTCATTATTGGAAGGCATATTCTTTAATTTTTTATGTTATTAAACTTTATTATAAAGTTTCAGTGAATCCCTTGTTTCTTCAAGCTTAAGGATGTCCCTCACACTGGCAGCATCTGCAAAAACTACATATCGTGATAAGAATCGAGATCGATCAATATGGAAAAACATATAGTGATAAAAAAAATTTCCATATCGCCCAGCCCTAATGAGAGTTAATAACTGACTTCTGTTTCTAATTTCTCTGAACTTCCACAATGATTGCAATGAAACAGTCTGCTAGAATAATCAGTCAGCTACACATTTCTTGTTTTTAAGGTGCTTAAAGGTCAGAATGATTTCTTCTCTCCTGACATCATAAAGTCTGTATATCAGCAGTATATAACAGTATATTTATCAGTAATGTGTTCAGAATAATGGGTAAAACACCCAACATGTGTTATTGTATTAGTCATTCAATGATCTGTAATAATTCAGTTTTTAACCCTGTGTGTGTGTCTGTGTGTGTCTCAAACAGAGCGGCTGTACTTTGCCACGTTACGCAGTAAACCTAAAAGCACCGCCAACACTCACTACTTCTGCACCGATGACGAGTTCCTCTACGAAAAGTAAGTCCAGCAGGTTCACTGTTAGACAGTGTTATAATCAGTGTTATAAACTGCTATAAACGGCTATAAACAGTGTTATAAACAGTGTTATAAACTGCTATAAACAGTGTTATAAACTGCTATAAACGGCTATAAACAGTGTTATAAACAGTGCTATAAACTGCTATAAACAGTGTTATAAACTGCTATAAACAGTGTTATAAACCACTATAAATGGCTATAAACAGTGTTATAAACAGTGCTATAAACTGCTATAAACAGTGCTATAAACTGCTATAAACAGTGTTATAAACTGCTATAAACAGTGTTATAAACTGCTATAAACAGTGTTATAAACTGCTATAAACAGTGTTATAAACCGCTATAAACAGTGTTATAAACCACTATAAATTGCTATAAACAGTGTTATAAACTGCTATAAACAGTGTTATAAACTGCTATAAACAGTGTTATAAACTGCTATAAACAGTGTTATAAACTGCTATAAACAGTGTTATAAACTGCTATAAACAGTGCTATAAACTGCTATAAACAGTGTTATAAACTGCTATAAACAGTGCTATAAACTGCTATAAACAGTGTTATAAACTGCTATAAACAGTGTTAGAAACTGCTATAAACAGTGTTAGAAACAGTGCTATAAACCGCTATAAACAGTGTTAGAAACCGTGTTAGAAACCGCTATAAACAGTGTTAGAAACCGCTATAAACAGTGTTAGAAACCGCTATAAACAGTGTTAGAAACCGCTATAAACAGTGTTAGAAACCGCTATAAACAGTGTTAGAAACAGTGTTAGAAACAGTGTTATAAGCAGTGTTATAAACAGTGTTATAAACAGCTATAAAAGTTATGAACAGTGCTATAAACAGCTACAAACTGTTAGAAACAGCTAGAAACAGTGTTAGAAACAGCTAGAAACAGTGTTAGAAACAGCTATTAACAGTGTTAGAAACAGTGTTAGAAACAGCTATTAACAGTGTTAGAAACAGCTATTAACAGTGTTAGAAACAGCTATAAACAGTGTTAGAAACAGTGTTAGAAACAGCTATAAACAGTGTTAGAAACAGCTATAAACAGTGTTAGAGGCTGTTAGAAACAGCTAGAAACAGTGTTAGAAACAGTGTTAGAAACAGTGTTAGAAACAGCTAGAAACAGTGTTAGAAACCGTGTTAGAAACAGCTATAAACAATGTTAGAAACAGCTAGAAACAGTGTTAGAAACAGCTATAAACAGTGTTAGAAACAGTGTTAGAAACAGCTAGAAACAGTGTTAGAAACAGTGTTAGAAACAGCTAGAAACAGTGTTAGAAACAGTGTTAGAAACAGCTAGAAACAGTGTGAGAAACAGTGTTAGAAACAGCTATTAACAGTGTTAGAAACAGTGTTAGAAACAGCTAGAAACAGTGTTAGAAACAGTGTTAGAAACAGCTAGAAACAGTGTTAGAAACAGTGTTAGAAACAGCTAGAAACAGTGTTAGAAACAGTGTTAGAAACAGCTAGAAACAGTGTGAGAAACAGTGTGAGAAACAGTGTTAGAAACAGCTAGAAACAGTGTTAGAAACAGTGTTAGAAACAGTGTTAGAAACAGCTAGAAACAGTGTTAGAAACAGCTATAAACAGTGTTAGAAACAGTGTTAGAAACAGCTATAAACAGTGTTGGAAATTGTTAGAAAGAAAAAATCTCCGTTGTCCTGGTAAATATTCTTTGTATTTCAGCCCTCACTCAGTGAACCTGGGTAGTCAGTCTCAATCTATAAACTGTGTCCTCAACCAGTTTAACCGTGTGTCCTCTCTGTGTCTCCAGTTTCTATGCAGACTTTGGTCCTCTGAATCTGGCCATGTTGTACCGATACTGCTGCAAACTCAACAAGAAGCTCAAGGTGAGTTTCTGCTGCTGCTGACTAACAGGAATGTCAGGAGAGTTCACGTTCATTCAGTTATCCTCTCTGAACCTGTTTACACCTTGTAGAATTAGAATGTGATCCGATCTTACCTCTTCCTGAGGTGGTCTGGGACTCATTAGACCACATATGTTTTGTAGTGTAAACTCTAAAGAGTCCTGGTCCTGTCAGAACAGAAACTGTGTGTTTAGTTCACTCTGATGGAAACAAAGTGTTTGAGCTCTTTTACCTGCAGAGATCAGCAGCAGATGGTTGTTAGTGACTCCATTCAAAAATCACTGAGTGAGGAGAGACTTTATAAACTGTGTGAAACATTACCTACCACACATTGTTCATTATTTCTTGTAAAGTGTGTTATTCCTGACCGAGTTATTTCCTGCCTGTTGTCTGGGCGGCGCTCCAACGTCCTCTCCTGTGTCCACTGTGAGAGACTGTTGGACTGACAGTTACAGTCTCTGACATTAATGTCTGTCTGCATCATCTGAGAGCTCAAACATCACATTAACACTGGAACAGAAGAAGTTGCGTGAGTCTGCTCATCAAGTTCAGTTAAAAAATCCCACAATGCACCACAGAGCGTCTGTCCTGCAGGCTGCTGACAGCGACGGTAAAACAGACTAAAGGACGGTGACAATGGACACTGACAGCAGGTACACCAGGTACAGTGATCACAGTGATCACAGAGGTCACAGAGGTCAGTAAACAGGATCTATAAAATGTGCCTTCAGTGTTTTGTGTTATTTTTGTTGCCATGGTGATGACATTCCTCTGACGGCTCGTCATGGCGACCAACCAACCGGACGGTCTGGATTCACACCCTGTGATCAGCCCCGTTCAGTTTACTGTACAGTGTGTACCTGTGCAGGTAGAACAGGAACAGGAAGTTCCAGTGTGTCTGCAGTGTGATGTTTATTTCTTTACCTAAAATATGAGATCAGATCCAAGATGGCTGCCTCTCTTCTACTGTTGTACATCAGTGAGAAGTTCTTGGAATTTTTCTGTTTATATCATCGTAAACTGAAGTTACACACATCAACACCAACTGTCTTTTAGTTTGAAAATCCCTCTCTGTGAGGTGGAGGGATACACCTGGTTGTCACCTGCACACAGCACATTTTCTACAGTGTGCTGAAGGTCAGGAGGAATCATCACACTCATCATCAACTCTTCACAGGGACCTTCACTCACTCACACACACACACACACACACACACACACACACACTCAGCTGATTCATCAGGTCAGTGTGAGACTCTGCAGCTGGTTGTTGGCTTTATTTCTACTGTTAGATTGTAGTTGGAGCCGTTACTGTCGTCACCATGTCAGTTATTTTTTCATTAAAGTGGAACTCCTCACTTCTGTTTGCTTCTCCATCTCAGCTCATCTAAAAACACGTCACAGAGTCACTAGAAGCACATAGCCGAGCTAGCGGAGGGAGGCTGGGGGAGGTGGGTTAACTGTGGTTTTATAGTCCCAGACTGTCACTCTGTGTCAGCGCTCTCAGGGTTCAGGATGATTTACTGCAGAAGGAGAAAGAGACACTTTAATAATGTGAATATTAACAGCAGCACTGATCTCAGTACAGTCAGATAGCTCACAGATCAATAACAGGTTTTAGGATGGAGGACCTCTTTAATCAGTCTATAAATAGCATGTCATGTGATGTTTCTTCTTCTGCAGTCGTTTGCTCTGACCAGGAAGAGGATTGTTCACTACACCAGCTTCGACCAGAGGAAGAGATCAAATGCCGCCGTGCTGATTGGAGGCTACGCTGTGAGTCACTTCCTGTTTCACCAGTACACTGGCCTTCTATTGGCCCAAGGCAGCGTTCCTGTTCACATCCACTGTACATTATGTATATATGATTGAACAATAACAGTAGTGACAGAATGATAGTGAATGCTAACTTTTATACATACTGACAGTGTGTTTAATATCTCTATCACAGCAGTCTAAATATAGATCAGTGCAGGTAGAACACACACACACACACAGCAGAGAGTGTGTGTGTGTGTGTGTGTGTGTGTGTGGGAGAGTGTGTGTGTGTGTGTGTGTGTGTGTGTGTGTGTGTGTTGAATATTTGATGTTGAAGCAGCTGAAACTGAAGCTGGTTGTGTGACAGACCTACTGACACACTGACAACAGGTAGGTTAGAACAAACACGATGCAGATTCATGATAAACAGATAAAAGTGCTCCAGGACTCAAGAAAGAAGAAGAATTCAATTCAGTTCAATTTTATTTGTATAGTGCCAATTCATAACAGAAGTTATCTCAGGACACTTTTCAAATAGAGCAGGTCTAGACCGAACTCTTTATAACATTAATTACAGAGACCCAACAGTACCACCATGAGCAAGACCTTGGCGACAAGGGCAAGGAAACACTGCCTCACTGACTCACCTGATCCAGCCCTAACTATAAGCTTTATCAAAGAGGAATGTCTTAAGCCTACTCTTGAATGTGGTGAGGGTGTCTGCCTCCAGAACCACAACTGGAAGCTGGTTCCACAGGAGAGGAGCTTGGTAACTGAAGGCTCTGGCTCCTGTTCTACTTTTAGAGACTATAGGAACCACAAGTAGCCCAGCATTCAGAGAACGTAGTGTTCTAGAGGGGTAATAGGGTACTATGAGCTCTTTAAGATATGAAGGGGCCTGACCATGAAGAGCTTTATAGGTGAAGAAGAAAAAGAAGAAGAAGAAGAAGACATGCAAACAGGAAGAGAAATGGTGGAGTGATGGGGCTGCAACGTTAACAGCACCCCATGAGCAGGCTTGGGGTTAGGTTGTCTTGCTCAAGGGCACCTCGGCAGTGCACAGGAGGTGAAACTGGCACCTCTCCAGCTACCAGTCAACACTCCATATTTTCTGATCTGTGACTGCAGCTTGTTGATGGGAGTAACAGCTGCTGGAACATGTATAGCCTGTGTGTGTGTGTGTGTGTGTGTGTGTGTGTGTGTGTGTGTGTGTGTGTGTGTGTGTGTGTGTGTGTGCGCGCACAGTGGGTACGGAAAGTATTCAGACCCCTTTTAAATTTTTCACTCTTTGTTTCATTGCAGCCATTTGCTAAAATCAAAAAAGTTGATCAGCACCCCATCTTGACAGAAAGAAAACAGAAATGTAGAAATTTTTGCAAATTTATTAAAAAAGAAAAACTGAAATATCACATGGTCATAAGTATTCAGACCCTTTGCTGTGACACTCATATTTAACTCACATGCTGTCCATTTCTTCTGATCCTCCTTGAGATGGTCCTGCTCCTTCATTGGAGTCTAGCTGTGTTTAATTAAACTGATTGGACTTGATTAGGAAAGGCACACACCTGTCTATATAAGACCTTACAGCTCACAGTGCATGTCAGAGCAAATGAGAATCATGAGGTTGAAGGAACTGCCCAAGGAGCTCAGAGACAGAATTGTGGCAAGGCACAGATCTGGCCAAGGTTACAAAAGAATTTCTGCAGCACTCAAGGTTCCTAAGAGCACAGTGGCCTCCATAATCCTTAAATGGAAGAAGTTTGGGACGACCAGAACTCTTCCTAGACCTGGCCGTCCAGCCAAACTGAGCAATTGTGGGAGAAGAGCCTTGGTGAGAGAGGTAAAGAAGAACCCAAAGATCACTGTGGCTGAGCTCCAGAGATGCAGTAGGGAGATGGGAGAAAGTTCCACAAAGTCAACTATCACTGCAGCCCTGCACCAGTCGGGGCTTTATGGCAGAGTGGCCCGACGGAAGCCTCTCCTCAGTGCAAGACATATGAAAGCCCGCATAGAGTTTGCCAAAAAACACACGAAGGACTCCCAGACTATGAGAAATAAGATTCTCCGGTCTGATGAGACCAAGATTGAACTTTTGGCGTTAATTCTAAGCGGTATGTGTGGAGAAAACCAGGCACTGCTCATCACCTGCCCAATACAATCCCAACAGTGAAACATGGTGGTGGCAGCATCAGGCTATGGGGATGTTTTTCAGCTGCAGGGACAGGACGACTGGTTGCAATTGAAGGAAAGATGAATGTGGCCAAGTACAGAGATATCCTGGAAGAAAACCTCTTCCAGAGTGCTCAGGACCTCAGACTGGGCCGAAGGTTCACCTTCCAACAAGACAATAACCCTAAGCACACAGCTAAAATAACAAAGGAGTGGCTTCGGAACAACTCTGTGACCATTCTTGACTGGCCCAGCCAGAGCCCTGACCTAAACCCAATTGAGCATCTCTGGAGAGATCTGAAAATGGCTGTCCACCAACATTCACCATCCAACCTGACAGAACTGGAGAGGATCTGCAAGGAACAATGGCAGAGGATCCCCAAATCCAGGTGTGAAAAACTTGTTGCATCATTCCCAAGAAGACTCATGGCTGTAGTAGCTCAAAAGGGTGCTTCTACTCAATACTGAGCAAAGGGTCTGAATACTTATGACCATGTGATATTTCAGTTTTTCTTTTAATAAATTTGCAAAAATTTCTACATTTCTGTTTTTTTCTGTCAAGATGGGGTGCTGAGTGTACATTAATGAGAAATAAAATGAACTTTTTTGATTTTAGCAAATGGCTGCAATGAAACAGAGTGAAAAATTTAAAGGGGTCTGAATACTTTCCGTACCCACTGTATATATAAAAAAAATAAATAAATAAATAAAAAAACAACAAAAAAAACTTCCCTCTCACCCTCTTGGGGTGGTATCTGTGTCATCCTCAAGCTCGGGTCCTCTACCAGAGGCCTGGGAGTTTGAGGGTTCTGCGCAGTATCTAGCTGTTCGTAGGACTGCGCTCTTCTGGACTGAGGCTTCTGATGTTGTTCCTGGGATCTGTTGGAGCCACTCCCCCAGTTTGGGGGTCATATATTTTATATATATATATCTGTATTGCACTGCAGTGAGTGAACAACCTCTGTCTCTCTCAGGTGATCTACCTGAAGAAAACTCCAGAAGAGGCCTACAGAGCTCTGATCTCTGGATCCAACGCCTCCTACCTGCCCTTCAGGTCAGTCCCTGTCCACCTGCTGCAGCTTATTAACTGATCGCTTTATTGATCCAAACAGCTGAGCTCTATGTCAGATTGTGAGAGCACATCGGCGGTAGAGAGCCCAATCTAATATATTTATATATAAATATATTTATATCTATTCTAAAGTTGTGAATATGAATCAGACTGCAGTCTACTAGAAATACTGGGAATGTTTCAGTCTGAGGGCTGAAAGCAATCTCACATTAACATCAATGAACACAGCAGGAGCCAGTGAAGGCAACAATAACAACAACAACAACAACAATAATAACGGCAATAAAGTTAGATTGTTCTTTCATCACTGAGACGCAGACTCTCTCTGTGTGTGTGTGTGTGTGTGTGTGAGTGAGACTGTGTGGAGGATAAAGGGCCTGTTGTTGTCTCTCTCAGTGGTTATATAACAGCATAGAGCTGTTGAATGGAGGAGCGCTCTCTCTCTGTCTCTGTCTCTCTCTCTGTCTGTCTGTCTGTCTTTGTCTCTCTGTCTGTCTCTCGCTCTCAAATTCAAAATGGGCTTTATTGGCATGAAAGTTTTTTAAAAACAATATTGCCAAAGCAAAGCATTCAAATACAATACAATAAATCAAAGATATATACATTATGAACATTATATTTGTTATATACTGTGTGTGTGTGTGTGTGTGTGTGTGTGTGTGTGTCTAAATAAATATATATATATATATATATGGACACACCCTCTCATTTAATGGTTTTTCTTTATTTTCATGACTATTTATATTGTAGATTCTCACTGAAGGCATCAAAACTATGAATGAACACATGGAATTATGTAGTAAACAAAAAAGTGTGAAATAACTCAAAACGTGTTTATATTTTAGATTCCTTAAAGTAGCCACCCTTTGCTTTGTTGACAGCGCTGCAAACCCTTGGCCTTCTCTCAATGAGCTTCATGATGTAGTCACCTGAAATGGTTTTCACTTCACAGGTGTGCCTTGTCAGGGTTCATTTGTGGAATTTCTTATCTTCTTAATGGGGTTGGGACCATCAGTTGTGTTGTGCAGAAGTCAGGTTGGTACACAGCTGACAGCCCTATTTGACAACTGTTAGAATTCATATTATGGCAAGAACCAATCAGCTAAGTAAAGAGAAACGACAGTCCATCATTACTTTAAGAACTGACGGTCAGTCAGTCCGGAAAATTGCAAAAACTTTGAATGTGTCCCAAAGTGCAGTTGCAAAAACCATCAAGCGCTACGACGAAACTGGCTCACATGAGTACCGCCCCAGGAAAGTAAGACCAAGAGTCACCTCTGCTGCTGAGGAGTTCATCCGAGTCACCATTTCTTTGTTTACTACATAATTCCATATGTGTTCATTCAGAGTTTTGATGCCTTCAGTGAGAATCTACAATGTAAATAGTCATGAAAATAAAGAAAAACCATTAAAAGAGAAGGTGTGTCCAAACTTTTGACTGGTAGTGTATATATAATATTTAATCTGAATGCTAAAGGTAAGATTGGCTGCTCTTGGTTTGGAAACAATGGCGGCTCTCCTGCTCACACAGGATCTGGTATTCCAGATAAACAGTAAACTGTGTTTGTGGACAGATTTGAGGAGAGAAATAGTCAGCAACAGAATCTGGATCCATATCTGATCAGCACTGTTTGACAGTTTGATCTGAGTTTGGTTGAGCTGGACGGACTCACTGAGAATGAGCTGTCAATCACAAGGTAGCCCCGCCCTAAAGCATACCCTGCTTTATGGTCTGTTTTACTCTAAATGGGACCATCAGTTACTAAATGAACATCATGCTGTATGGAAGAAGACTGAAACGAGAGACTGAGACAATTTACTGAGCTCATTAATCAACTTCTCCGTAAGACTCAATACTATCAGAGTGGAGCTGCCCCCTGCTGGCTGTTAGAGAGACTGCAGCTTTAACACACTCTGTTATATAAACATTAAATCATTTATTAAATATACCAATCATTATTATATATAAACTGTCATATATATGTCAGTGCTGCAGTCAGTGCTGCTGTCAGTAGACTCATGTTGATTAACAATAGTGTTTTTAATGTGGTTCAGTTTCCAGAGGTTGTGTCAGTTTAGATTGAATTGTTTGGAAAATGTTTAGTTTTAGTTTTTATTATAATATTAATGTTTGTAAAATACAAACACTTTCTCAATCAGACAAAAACTGAAGACTTTTCCTTTTTATTTCATTTTAGGAACAAAAATTTTTTTTTAGACCTGGTGTTAGTGATCAATAATAATCAGTGATCAATAGGGATGGGGATTGAGAACCAGTTCTTCTTCAGAACCGGTGCCCAGTGAATCAATTCCTTGGAACCATTAGCGTGTTGCTTAACGATTCCGCTTATCGGTTCCGCTCGTTGCAAATGCGTCATGATGTCACACGCGCTGCATTGTTTTGGTTCAGAACGCAGTGAACATGGCGTCGAGGCAGGAGCGCTCTAAAGTTTGGTTATATTTCACGCGAAAAGACAACAGTACGGTCACTTGCAACACTTGTAAAGTTTCCATTTCATCAATTTTTCAATTTCAATTCAATTTTATTTGTATAGAGTAGAGGTGGGCGATATATATCGTTTGCGATAATATCGTCATTGTTGTTTGACGATGTGCAAATTTCCATTATCGAGTATTTAAATTACTTCGACAAAAACAATGAAACGCATGCGGAAACTCCTCACATTCATTAATACACGGTGCAGCAACGCTCTCTACAGCATGGCAGGATTCAGTCACACAACTAGTGGGCCTACGTGATCACATGACATGATCACGTGACCTCTCGCTAGCATCCTCCTTGCAACAGTTTAGCAGCGCGTTGTGATGGTAGAGAGAAAATGCAAACACCTCCGGTCCCTGAAGCTACCGGTACTTCAGATGATTCAGTGCCGAGGCGTGGGTCCTATGGGCTTCAGCGTTCAGGCGCTAGGCCTTCAGCGGTAAAAGATGTCAGCGGAGACGGTTTTTTTTAGCGCAGCGCTCAAGCGCTTCAAGTTGAAATCTGTTCAACTTTTAACACCGCTGGGCGCTCGGAAAATGAGTTTATGGCTCTCAGCGCTGTAAACGCGTTTGGTGGACACAAGTCCAGCTCAGACAATTCTAATCCATTTTAAAGGATATCGACTGATTATCGTTATCCCCAAATCCCAAAAGTATTGAGATATTATTTTGATTACCCTAGTATAGAGCCAATTCATAACAGAAGTTATCTCAGGACACTTTTCAAATAGAGCAGGTCTAGACCGAACTCTTTAAAACATTAATTACAGAGACCCAACAGTACCACCATGAGCAAGACCTTGGAGACAAGGGCAAGGAAAAACTGCCTGTTAAAAGGCAGAAACCTAGGACAGGAGGCTGCACCAGGAGGCTGCACCAGGATCGATAAGAACCTGCAAGACGAGAAAGCACAAGAACTCCGGGGAAGAAGTTAAGTTAGTAACATGCATTAATGGAACATGAATGAGTGCAGAAAGAGAGAGGAAGAGAGGAGCTCAGTGCACCATGGGAAATCCCCCGATAGTCTAGGCCTATAGCAGCATAACTAAGGGATGGTTCAAGGATTTTAAATTCTATTCTACATTTTACAGGGAGCCAATGCAGAGAAGCTAGTACAGGAGAGATGTGATCTCTTTTTCTAGTTCCTGTCAGTACTCGTGCTGCAGCGTTCTGAATTAATTGGACCGTTTTATTGGACTTATTGGGGCAACCTGATAATAAAGAGTTGCAGTAATCCAGCCTTGAAGTAACAAATGCATGGATTAGTTTTTCTGCATCTGTCTGTGATAGGATGTGTCTAATTTTTCTAATATTACGTAAATGAAAGAAGGCAGTCCTAGAGGTCTGCTTTATGTGGGAGTTAAATGACAAATCCTGATCAAAGATAACTCCAAGATTCCTGACAGTGGTGCTAGAGGCCAAGTTAATGCCATCTAGAGTAACTATATCTTTAGACAGTGAGTCTCTAAGGTTTTTGGGGCCAAGAACAAGAATTTAATTTTTTTCTGAGTTTAACATGAGAAAATTGCAGATCATCTAGGATTTTATGTCCTTAAGACATGTTTGTAATTTAGATAATTGATTAATTTCATCGGGCTTGATTGATAGATATAACTGCGTATCATCTGCATAACAGTGAAAGTTAATGGAGTGATTCCTAATAATGTTGCCTAAAGGGAGCATATATAAAGTAAATAGTATTGGTCCAAGTACAGAACCTTGTGGAACTCCATGACTAAACTGTAGTATTTATTGAAGATTCATCGTTAACATGTACAAACTGCGAGCGATCTGATAAATATGACTTAAACCAGCTTAGTGCGGTTCCTTTAATGCCAATTTGATGCTCAAGTCTCTGTAAAAGAATATTATGGTCAATGGTGTCAAATGCAGCACTAAGATCTAATAATACAAGTACAGAGACAAGTCCATTGTCAGAAGCAATCAGAAGGTCATTATTAACTTTAACCAGAGCTGTCTCTGTGCTATGATGAACTCTAAATCCTGACTGAAAATCCTCAAATAAACTATTGTTATGTAGAAAGTCACACAACTCTTTGGCGACTACTTTCTCCAGAATCTTAGAGAGGAAGGGGAGGTTAGAAATCGGTCTATAGTTGGCTAAAACCCCTGGGTCAAGAGTGGACTTTTTAAGAAGGGGTTTAATTACAGCTACTTTAAAGGACTGTGGTACATATCCTGATAGTAAAGAAAGATTAATCATATCCAGTAAAGAAGTGCCAATTAAGGGAACAACTTCTTTAAGCAGCCTAGTTGGGATCGGGTCTAATAGACAGGTTGATGGCTTCGATGAAGAAATTATTGAAGTTAATTGATGAAGATCAATAGCAGAAAAACAGTCTAAATATATATCTAAGTTTACATTAGTTAAAGTCCCTGAACTTGGAGAGCCACTGATAACTGTTGATGGCAGTTGGTGATTAATTTTCTCTCTAATAGTAATAATTTTATCATAGAAGAAGCTCATGAAGTCATTGCTACTTAAGTTTATGGGGATATGTGGCTCAATAGAGTTGTGACTCTCTGTCAGCCTGGCTACAGTGCTGAAGAGGAACCTAGGGTTATTCTTGTTTTCTTCTATTAGTGCTGAGTAATAGGCTCCTCTGGCATTACGGAGGGCCTTTCTATAAGTTTTAAGATTATCTTGCCAAATTGAGCGATATTCTGATAGTTTGGAAGAGCACCATTTCCTTTCAGATTTCCTAGCTATTTGTTTTAACTGGCGGGTTTGGTGGTTATACCAAGGTGCTAGTCTCCTATGTTTTAATAATTTCCTTTTATAGGAGCGATAGAGTCTAATGTTGATCGTAGTGAGCCTGTAGCACTATCGACAAGATTATCAATGTCAGAGGGACTTAAGTCGTTATAGGACTCTGTTAAATTCAGAAATGGCATTGAATTAAACACTGAAGGAATCTCCTCCCTTTCAAAGGGGGAACTACCTCCAATATGCAGAAACATTTGGCCACACAGCATCAATTCATTTGCAGGACTGTTGCGTGTTTGATACACTACTACCTAGCAACACAAGTGAGTCAAGCCGCAGCAGAGCTAACGGGACGCCATCTGTGTTTTTAGTTTTTATGGCACATGATGGCAGTTGGGCTTAAAAAGCCAAACATTTATTTTTTTGTCTGGAGCAATTCATGTGAAAATTAACAATTTCCTAATCCTAAAGCACTCTTGATAATCTTTTCAAGGCACACACTAGCGTGCCATTGCATACTGGTTGAGAAACACTGCCCGAGGCTATGGGTCCCTGGACTTTACTTTGAGAAGTAGCTCACCTACTGTTAGGTTCGTTCTGAGGTTGCTGCACATTGTTTGTGTATACTCTGTGCTGTGTCTTCTGATCAGATATTAAAGCAAGTTAATACAAACAAATTTGTACATATTCCCTCACCCAATGAGAATCGATAAGGAATCGGATCGATAAGCAATATTGATAATGGAATCGGAATCGTTAAATTCTTATCAATTCCCATCCCTAGTGATCAATAATTATCAGAATGTGTTTGAGGACACAGTGGGACCAGTCTGTTCTTACTTGTGTGTGTGTGTGTGTGCGTGTGTGTGTGCGTGTGTGTGTGTGTGTGTGTGTGTGTGTGTGTGTGTGTGTGTGTGTGTGTGTGTGTGTGTGTGTGTGTGTGTGTGTGTGTGTGTGTGTGTGTGTGTGCGTGTGTGTGCGTGTGTGTGTGTCTGCCAGGCTCAGCTGGAGATCAATAGAGCTGATCAGAAGGTGTGTATTGATCACTGTGTGTTCTCTCTGCAGAGATGCTTCCTTTGGGAATTGCACCTACAACCTCACAGTGCTGGACTGTCTGCATGGCATCAGGAAGGTGAGTGTGATTATCTTTCTTTTGATTGGCCGCATGGACATCACCTGTATGATGTCACACGCTCAGGATTCAGTGGGAGGGGCTAAACAGACTGCAGGACTTCCTTATTGTGATGTTTAAACAAGCTCACTGCTGATTGGTTCAGCTAAAGCTTTTCCACATGACTGCTGTCTGTGTGTAGCAGTGGTTCCCAATCTGGGGGCCCGGACCCCACGAGGGGACGCCAGAGCTTCACAGGAGAGTCTTCTTCATTTTAAGGGCTATAAGAAAACTTAAAAAATAGACACAGTAGTTCCTGTATGGTTCTGGGTACTGTATGGTTCTGGGTACTGTATGGTTCTGTATGGTTCTGTATGGTACTGTATGGTTCTGTATGGTTCTGTATGGTACTGTATGGTACTGTATGGTACTGTATGGTTCTGTATGGTTCTGGGTACTGTATGGTTCTGTATGGTACTGTATGGTTCTGTATGGTACTGTATGGTACTGGGTTCTGTATGGTACTGGGTACTGTATGGTTCTGTATGGTACTGGGTTCTGTATGGTTCTGCATGGTACTGGGTTCTGTATGGTTCTGCATGGTACTGGGTTCTGTATGGTACTGGGTACTGTATGGTTCTGCATGGTACTGGGTACTGTATGGTTCTCTGTGGTACTGTGTGGTTCTGTATGGTTCTGTATGTTAACGTCTGTTTGTGTTTCAGGCTCTGCAGCATGGCTTCTTTGACTTTGAGACCTTCGACGTGGACGAGTACGAACACTACGAGGTAGTCACTCCAGTAATGCCCCCGTCCCTCCAGTAATGCCCCCGTCCCTCCAATAATGCCCCCGTCCCTCCAGCAATGCCCCCGTCCCTCCACTAATGCCCCCCGTCCCTCCAGTACTTCCCCCGTCCCTCCACTAATGCCCCTGTCCCTCCAGTACTGCCCCCCCGTCCCTCCACTAATGCCCCCGTCCCTCCAGTAATGCCCCCCGTCCCTCCACTAATGCCCCCGTCCCTCCAGTAATGCCCCCCGTCCCTCCACTAATGCCTCCGTCCTGTGTGTTTGTAGCGGGTGGAGAATGGAGACCTGAACTGGATCGTCCCGGGGAAGTTTGTGGCCTTCAGCGGACCTCATCCTAAGACTAAAGTAGAGAATGGTGAGTGAACAGCTGCTTCAGTCTGCTGATTATTGTTACTGAGAGTTAACACCTGTGGTTGCTCCGCCCCCTGCCGGTTACTGAGAGTTAACACCTGTGATTGCTCCGCCCCCTGCAGGTTACCCTCTCCATGCCCCCGAGGCGTATTTCCCTTACTTCAGGAAACATAACGTGACCACTGTCATCCGTCTGAACAAGAAGATCTACGACTCCAAACGCTTCAATGACGCCGGCTTCGACCACTACGACCTTTTCTTCGTGGATGGCAGCACGCCCAGTGACATCATCACACACCGCTTCCTGCACATCTGTGAGAGTATGGAGGGAGCCGTAGCTGTCCACTGCAAAGGTGAGGACTTCCTGTCCTATCACTTCCTGTCTGTAACTTCCTCTCTGTAACTTCCTGTCCTGTAACTTCCTGTCTGCAACTTCCTCTCTGTAACTTCCTGTCCTGTAACTTCCTGTCCTGTAACTTCCTCTCTGTAACTTCCTCTCTGTAACTTCCTGTCCTGTAACTTCCTCTCTGTAACTTCCTGTCCTGTAACTTCCTGTCCTGTAACTTCCTCTCTGTAACTTCCTGTCCTGTAACTTCCTGTCCTGTAACTTCCTCTCTGTAACTTCCTGTCCTGTAACTTCCTGTCCTGTAACTTCCTGTCCGTAACTTTCTCTCTGTAACTTCCTGTCCTGTAACTTCCTGTCTGTAACTTCCTGTCCTGTAACTTCCTGTCCTGTAACTTCCTGTCCTGTAACTTCCTCTCTGTAAATTCCTGTCCTGTAACTTCCTCTCTGTAACTTCCTGTCCTGTAACTTCCTGTCTGTAACTTCCTGTCCTGTAACTTCCTGTCTGTAACTTCCTGTCCTGTAACTTCCTCTCTGTAACTTCCTGTCCTGTAACTTCCTGTCTGTAACTTCCTCTCTGTAACTTCCTCTCTGTAACTTCCTCTCTGTAACTTCCTGTCCTGTAACTTCCTCTCCTGTAACTTCCTCTCTGTAACTTCCTGTCCTGTAACTTCCTCTCTGTAACTTCCTGTCCTGTAACTTCCTCTCTGTAACTTCCTGTCCTGTAACTTCCTCTCTGTAACTTCCTCTCTGTAACTTCCTCTCCTGTAACTTCCTCTCCTGTAACTTCCTCTCCTGTAACTTCCTGTCCTGTAACTTCCTGTCCTGTAACTTCCTGTCCTGTAACTTCCTCTCCTGTAACTTCCTCTCCTGTAACTTCCTCTCTGTAACTTCCTCTCCTGTAACTTCCTGTCCTGTAACTTCCTCTCTGTAACTTCCTCTCTGTAACTTCCTGTCCTGTAACTTCCTCTCTGTAACTTCCTGTCCTGTAACTTCCTGTCCTGTAACTTCCTCTCTGTAACTTCCTGTCTGTAACTTCCTGTCCTGTAACTTCCTGTCCTGTAACTTCCTCTCCTGTAACTTCCTCTCCTGTAACTTCCTGTCCTGTAACTTCCTCTCTGTAACTTCCTGTCCTGTAACTTCCTCTCCTGTAACTTCCTCTCCTGTAACTTCCTGTCCTGTAACTTCCTCTCTGTAACTTCCTGTCCTGTAACTTCCTCTCCTGTAACTTCCTGTCCTGTAACTTCCTGTCCTGTAACTTCCTCTCTGTAACTTCCTGTCCTGTAACTTCCTGTCCTGTAACTTCCTGTCCTGTAACTTCCTCTCTGTAACTTCCTCTCTGTAACTTCCTGTCCTGTAACTTCCTCTCTGTAACTTCCTCTCCTGTAACTTCCTGTCTGTAACTTCCTGTCCTGTAACTTCCTGTCCTGTAACTTCCTGACCTGTAACTTCCTGTCCTGTAACTTCCTGACCTGTAACTTCCTGTCCTGTAACTTCCTGACCTGTAACTTCCTGTCCTGTAACTTCCTGTCCTGTAACTTCCTGTCCTGCAACTTCCTGTCCTGCAACTTCCTGTCCTGCAACTTCCTGTCCTGCAACTTCCTGACCTGTAACTTCCTGTCCTGTAACTTCCTGTCCTGCAACTTCCTGTCCTGTAACTTCCTGTCCTGTAACTTCCTGTCCTGCAACTTCCTGTCCTGTAACTTCCTGTCCTGTAACTTCCTGTCCTGTAACTTCCTGACCTGTAACTTCCTGTCCTGCAACTTCCTGTCCTGCAACTTCCTGTCCTGCAACTTCCTGTCCTGCAACTTCCTGTCCTGCAACTACCTGTCTGTAACTTTACTGTTCCTGTCACATGACGCGCTGTAATGGCGGCCGTAGAGACGAGACGGTGATGTCAGCAGTGTAGTTGTCAGTGTCCAGCAGAGGGCTGTCTCACTCTTGTGAATCACATTGTGTTACTGTAGTACTGCAGTCCTGTTAGATCACTGATCAGTGAGGACATAATCAATAACCAAACAGTGTTCCAGTTCACTATCAAACACAGTGGACAAATATCACGAAGGTTAGAGACACAGGAGATGAGTCTGATCAATAAATTATTAATCTTAATGATTGTTAAATCAGGATGAAACTGAAGATGATTGCTGACTGTTTAATGTGCAGTAATATTCTGACTGCCTGTCTGCCTGTCTGTCTGTCTGTCTGTCAGCTGGCCTCGGCAGGACGGGCACTCTGATTGGCTGTTACCTGATGAAACACTACCGGTTCACGGCGGGGGAGGCCATCGCCTGGATCCGGATCTGCAGACCGGGCTCTGTGATTGGACCACAGCAAAACTTCCTGGAGGAGTGAGTCACAGATTGTTCATACATACACTTTATTGATTATTAGTAATGAGTTAGTACAGATTGATTATTAGTAATGAGTTAGTACAATTCATTGATTATTAGTAATGAGTTAGTACAGTTTATTGATTATTAGTAATGAGTTAGTACAGTTTATTGATTATTAATAATGAGTTAGTACAGATCAGATTACTGGAGTCAGTTCACTGATGTTTGATCTTAAACCTTTAAATCAAGAACTCCGGGGAAGAAGTGAAGTTAGTAACATGCATTAATGGGACATGAATGAGTGCAGAAAGAGAGAGGAAGAGAGGAGCTCAGTGCACCATGGGAAATCCCCCGATAGTCTAGGCCTATAGCAGCATAACTAAGGGATGGTTCAGGACTCACCTGATCCAGCCCTAACTATAAGCTTTATCAAAGAGAAACGTCTTAAGCCTACTCTTGAATGTGGTGAGGTTGTCTGCCTCCCGAACCACAAATGGAAGCTGGTTCCACAGGAGAGGAGCTTGGTAACTGAAGGCTCTGGCTCCTGTTCTACTTTTAGAGACTATAGGAACCACAAGTAGCCCAGCATTCAGAGAACGTAGTGTTCTAGAGGGGTAATAGGGTACTATGAGCTCTTTAAGATATGAAGGGGCCTGACCATGAAGAGCTTTGTAGGTGAGGAGGAGGATTTTAAATTCTATTCTACATTTTACAGGGAGCCAATGCAAAGAAGCTAGCACAGGAGAGATGTGATCTCTTTTTCTAGTTCCTGTCAGTACTCGTGCTGCAGCGTTCTGAATTAATTGGAGCGTTTTAATGGACTTATTGGGGCAACCTGATAATAAAGAGTTGCAGTAATCCAGCCTTGAAGTAACAAATGCATGGATTAGTTTTTCTTCATCTGTCTGTGATAGTATGTGTCTAATTTTTCTAATATTACGTAAATGAAAGAAGGCAGTCCTAGAGGTCTGCTTCATGTGGGAGTTAAATGACAAATCCTGATCAAAGATAACTCCAAGATTTCTCACAGTGGTGCTAGAGGCCAAGTTAATGCCATCTAGAGTGACTATATCTTTAGACAGTGAGTCTCTAAGGTTTTTGGGGCCAAGAACAAGAATTTCGTTTTTTTGTTTAACATGAGAAAATTGCAGCTCATCCAGGATTTTATGTCCGTAAGACATGTTTGTAATTTAGATAATTGATTAATTTCATCGGGCTTGATTGATAGATATAACTGCGTATCATCTGCATAACAGTGAAAGTTAATGGAGTGATTCCTAATAATTTTGCCTAAAGGGAGAATATATAAAGTAAATAGTATCGGTCCAAGTACAGAACCTTGTGGAACTCCATGACTAACTGTAGTATTTATTGAAGATTCATCGTTAACATGTACAAACTGCGAGCGATCTGATAAGTATGACTTAAACCAGCTTAGTGCGGTTCCTTTAATGCCAATTTGATGCTCAAGTCTCTGTAAAAGAATATTATGGTCACTGGTGTCAAATGCAGCACTAAGATCTAATAATACAAGTACAGAGACAAGTCCATTGTCAGAAGCAATCAGAAGGTCATTATTAACTTTAACCAGAGCTGTCTCTGTGCTATGATGAACTCTAAATCCTGACTGAAAATCCTCAAATAAACTATTGTTATGTAGAAAGTCACACAACTCTTTGGCGACTACTTTCTCCAGAATCTTAGAGAGGAACGGGAGGTTAGAGATCGGTCTATAGTTGGCTAAAACCCCTGGGTCAAGAGTGGGCTTTTTTAAGAAGGGGTTTAATTACAGCTACTTTAAAGGACTGTGGTACATATCCTGATAATAAAGAAAGATTAATCATATCCAGTAAAGAAGTGCCAATTAAGGGAACAACTTCTTTAAGCAGCCTAGTTGGGATCGGGTGTAATAGACAGGTTGATGGCTTCGATGAAGAAATGTTTGAAGTTAACTGATGAAGATCGATAGCAGAAAAACAGTCTAAATATATATCTAAGTTTACATTGGCAGAAGTCCCTGAATTTATTAATCTGTAATTATTCCCAGAGAAGGAAGAGAACAATGTCAGAGTTCATTCAGCAGGAAGTCGGTGATGTCCAGCTCCACAATCAAACACAAATAAAGGCTCAGTTTCACTCTGATTAATAAAACAACTGTTGAGCTCAGATTATCAGAAACAGACCTGCTGTTTATCTCTCCCAGTCTTCCTGCTGCAGTAGCTCCTTTCACCTCCTGGTCCCAGTCTGTGTGTTGGTGTTAGCCTCCAAGACTCAGACCAGGACCAGGACTCTGACAGCAGGCTGACACACCAGCAGATTGTTGGAGGGGTCGTTCTGGGCCACCGTGGTTGTTTTTACACTTACAGGTTTTGATGATGGACTTTAACATACAGACCTGCACCACGCAGCCAAGACACAGTCAGCCGGACAACCCCAGCTTGGCTTAGCTACAGTTGGCTAGCTGGATGCCCCTGCTTCACATCAATTTTGGCTAGTAGAAAGCTATCGTTAGCTTTGTACTGTTAGCATCATTTATTGTTGGCTAACATTAACATTGTTTGTCAGAATACATCAGTTAGCATCATGGATCAGGTTAGCTGGGGAAGCTAACATTAGCTTATTAACATATATACTCAGATAGTTCTTTGCTAGCGATAACGTTAGCCAGCCACGCTGAATGACGTTATCCGACACAGACTGCGCCGCAGCACCAGCCGACAAAGCAACCTGCAAACAGCAAACAGTCAGATCAGCCCTGTGGTCTGGATGAAGCTAATAATATAAGCTAGCTAGCAGTTTGTCTGTGTTAGCTATCAAGATACATTATCCAGCTAACAACAGACAATATGTTCCACTAGCTTAGCATAAATGTTAGCTTTGACTTTGGACTCTGTGTTGTGGACTCTGTGTTGGACTCTGTGTTGTGGACTCTGTGTTGGACTCTGTGTTGGACTCTGTGTGGACTCTGTGTTGTGGACTCTGTGTTGTGGACTCTGTGTTGGACTCTGTGTTGTGGACTCTGTGTTGGACTCTGTGTTGTGGACTCTGTGTTGTGGACTCTGTTTTGGACTCTGTGTTGTGGACTCTGTGTTGTGGACTCTGTGTTGTGGACTCTGTGTTGGACTCTGTGTTGTGGACTCTGTGTTGGACTCTGTGTTGTGGACTCTGTGTTGGACTCTGTGTTGTGGACTCTGTGTTGTGGACTCTGTGTTGTGGACTCTGTGTTGGACTCTGTGTTGTGGACTCTGTGTTGTGGACTCTGTTTTGGACTCTGTGTTGTGGACTCTGTGTTGTGGACTCTGTGTTGCTGGACTCTGTGTTGGACTCTGTGTTGCCCACTGTTGGCACTCGGGAGCATAAAGGTCACAACCTTTGACCCTCATCCTACATAGAGACACATAGAGATCAGTCCACAGGCAGCAGAGGGACAAAGCTACACTACAACCTGATGACTCTTTGCTGATCAATAATCTGATCAATAATCAGTCCACAGGCAGCAGAGGAACAAAGCTACAACCCGTTCACTGATGTTCTTACCATGTGGTAACACAGGTAGTGGATCACATCTCTTCATACCGGTCGAACAGGAACCGGGTTCTGGTACACAACCATAGTCCTCTGTGGTGTCCATCACAGTCAAAGCTCTGCAGCTGCTGAAGAAAGAACTGAACGCTTTGGTGGAGTAATCCACATTAATTATTGATTGATGATCAGTTATGATGAAAGCCGATTGCCGCCATCGTTAACGTACACAACATAAAGAACTAGAAGAGGCAGCTGGAACGCTGCCGTCTCTAGCAGGTTATCAATGTTTGTATTTACAATGTTTGTGTCTCTGTGCTCACAGAAAGCAGTCAGCGATGTGGTTGCTAGGCGACAGCCAGCGTTCCCAGAAGACCAAGCTGGAGGAGAAGGTGGTGTCTCACCTCATCACCAGTATGGATGACCTCACCTTAAACTCCGCCCACAACAGCAACCTGTGCAGGTCCCCGAGCTCCGACCGTCTGACCGAGGTCTCGCACACACAGAGTGAGTCTGTGGACGGCGGACCGGGTCTCACTCAGGGGGACAAACTGAGAGCCTTAAAGAGCCGACGGCCCCCCCGCCCTGCCACCACCGGGGCCCTCAGGTACCAGATCCAGAACCAGAATCAGTCCTCCAGACTCAGGTTGAGTTGGTTTAAACTGACGGACATGTTTTCTTACAGAGTGGAAGAGATGAAGATTCACAGCAGATCATCCTCACAGCCGCTCAGGTAGCTCTGACCTCTGACCTCCTATAGGTCGGATATTCTCTTTCAATTATTGATCAGTGGTTTCTCACTTCGACACGATGATCAATATATTGATTTTTTCAGATTGTCGATGGGTGTAGGTCAGGGCCCCTCCTCTCCCCTCAAGTCCTCCAAGTTCCCAGCATCCTCTGCTTCTGCTACAGCCAAGAGGATCGGAAGAAGTCCGTTGTCATCGGCGTCCAACATCAGGAGGTCAGTGTCTCACCCTCTTCCTGTCTCACCCACTTCCTGCCTGTCTCACCCACTTCCTGTCTGACTCACCCTCTTCCTGTCTCGCCCTCCTCCTGTCTCACCCTCTTCCTGTCTGTCTCGCCCTCTTCCTGTCTGACTCACCCTCTTCCTGTCTCGCCCTCCTCCTGTCTCACCCTCTTCCTGTCTGTCTCACCCTCTTCCTGTCTCACCTACTTCCTGCCTGTCTCACCTACTTCCTGCCTGTCTCACCCACTTCCTGCCTGTCTCACCCTCTTCCTGTCTCACCCACTTCCTGTCTGTCTCACCCTCTTCCTGTCTGTCTCACCCACTTCCTGTCTATCTCGCCCTCTTCCTGTCTCGCCCTCCTCCTGTCTCACCCACTTCCTGTCTGTCTCACCCACTTCCTGTCTGTCTCACCCTCTTCCTGTCTCACCCTCTTCCTGTCTCACCCTCTTCCTGACATTCTCGCCCTCCTCCTGTCTCGCCCTCCTCCTGTCTCGCCCTCTTCCTGTCTCACCCACTTCCTGTCTCACCCACTTCATGTCTGTCTCACCCTCTTCCTGTCTCACCCTCTTCCTGTCTCACCCTCTTCCTGTCATTCTCACCCTCTTCCTGTCTCACTCACCCTCTTCCTGTCTGTCTCGCCCTCTTCCTTCCTGTCTCGCCCTCCTCCTGTCTCACCCACTTCCTGTCTGTCTCACCCACTTCCTGTCTCGCCCTCTTTCTGCCTGTCTCGCCCTCTTTCTGCCTGTCTCGCCCTCTTTCTGCCTGTCTCACCCTCTTCCTGTCTCACCCTCTTCCTGTCTGTCTCACCCTCTTCCTGTCTGTCTCACCCTCTTCCTGTCTGTCTCGCCCTCTTCCTTCCTGACTCGCCCTCTTCCTGTCTCGCCCTCTTCCTGTCTGTCTCACCCTCTTCCTGTCTGTCTCGCCCTCTTCCTGTCTGTCTCGCCCTCTTCCTCCCTGTCTCACCCTCCTCCTGTCTCGCCCTCCTCCTGTCTCACCCTCTTCCTGTCTGTCTCGCCCTCTTCCTGTCTGTCTCGCCCTCTTCCTGTCTGACCCTCTTCCTGTCTGTCTCGCCCTCTTCCTGTCTCGCCCTCTTCCTTCCTGTCTCGCCCTCTTTCTGCCTGTCTCACCCTCTTTCTGCCTGTCTCACCCTCTTCCTGTCTGTCTCACCCTCTTCCTTCCTGTCTCGCCCTCTTTCTGCCTGTCTCACCCTCTTTCTGCCTGTCTCACCCTCTTTCTGCCTGTCTCACCCTCTTCCTGTCTGTCTCACCCTCTTCCTGTCTCACCCTCTTCCTGTCTAACTCGCCCTCTTCCTGTCTGTCTCACCCTCTTCCTGTCTCACCCTCTTCCTGCCTGACTCGCTCTCTTCCTGTCTGACTGATCTGAGGTCCGGTGTAAACGCTGTCCTGTGATTCGTCCTCAGCTCGCGGTTGGCCAGCTCTCTGGGTGATCTGTACGCTGCAGACTTGGAGGAGGACAAAAACTCTCCATACTCCTCTCTTCCTCCCTCCTCCTCCTCATCCCCTGTGTCTCTCAGCCCCTCCCCTTCCTCTCTGGTCCCGCCCTCTCTGGGTCGTTATGGTAATGGTACTCGCAGCGTGCAGCACGAGATCAACAACAACAGCGGTCTGTACGGGGTCTCTGTGGCGCCCCCTGCAGGGAAAAGCTCCGGTTTCGCCCTCAGCAGCAAACCGGGGCCTCAGGACTTCAGCCCGTACAGGGGCCCGGGGCCCTACAGTGCTCTGAAGGGCCCGTCAGGACGCTACCTGAGCCGCTCCATACCTGTAAGTCCTCTGACACAGCAGCAGCTCAGCTCCGCCCCTTTCAGCTGATTGGTTCACTCTGTTCTGACATCATTAACCCACTGATCACCTTTGTTAAGCCTTTAGTACACCTTTTATTACACTTTATTACACTTTATTACAGCTTTTATTACAGCTTTTATTACACTTTATTACGCTTTATTACACTTTATTACACCTTTTATTACACTTTATTACACTTTATTACACCTTTTATTACACTTTATTACAGCTTTTATTACACTTTATTACACTTTATTACGCTTTATTACACTTTATTACACTTTATTACAGCTTTTATTACACTTTATTACACTTTATTACAGCTTTTATTACACTTTATTACACTTTATTACAGCTTTTATTACAGCCTTTATTACACTTTATTACATTTTATTACACTTTATTACACTTTATTACAGCTTTTATTACACTTTATTACACTTTATTACAGCTTTTATTACACTTTATTACAGCTTTTATTACACTTTATTACACTTTATTACAACTTTTATTACACTTTATTACACTTTATTACAGCTTTTATTACACTTTATTACACTTTATTACGCTTTATTACACTTTATTACACTTTATTACACTTTATTACAGCTTTTATTACACTTTATTACACTTTATTACAGCTTTTATTACACTTTATTACAGCTTTTATTACACTTTATTACAGCTTTTATTACACTTTATTACACTTTATTACAGCTTTTATTACACTTTATTACACTTTATTACAGCTTTTATTACACTTTATCACACTTTATTACACCTTTTATTACACTTTATTACACTTTATTACGCTTTTATTACACTTTATTACAGCTTTTATTACACTTTATTACACTTTATTACACTTTATTACAGCTTTTATTACACTTTATTACAGCTTTTATTACACTTTATTACACTTTATTACACTTTATTACACTTTATTACAACTTTTATTACACTTTATTACACTTTATTACAGCTTTTATTACACTTTATTACACTTTATTACGCTTTATTACACTTTATTACACTTTATTACACTTTATTACAGCTTTTATTACACTTTATTACACTTTATTACAGCTTTTATTACACTTTATTACACTTTATTACAGCTTTTATTACACTTTATTACAGCTTTTATTACACTTTATTACACTTTATTACAGCTTTTATTACACTTTATTACACTTTATTACACTTTATTACACTTTATTACACTTTATTACAGCTTTTATTACACTTTATTACAGCTTTTATTACACTTTATTACACTTTATTACACCTTTTATCACACTTTATTACACTTTATTACAGCTTTTATTACACTTTATTACAGCTTTTATTACACTTTATTACACTTTATTACACTTTATTACAACTTTTATTACACTTTATTACACTTTATTACAGCTTTTATTACACTTTATTACACTTTATTACGCTTTATTACACTTTATTACACTTTATTACAGCTTTTATTACACTTTATTACACTTTATTACAGCTTTTATTACACTTTATTACACTTTATTACACTTTATTACACTTTATTACAGCTTTTATTACACTTTATTACACTTTATTACAGCTTTTATTACACTTTATTACAGCTTTTATTACACTTTATTACACTTTATTACACCTTTTATCACACTTTATTACACTTTATTACAGCTTTTATTACACTTTATTACACTTTATTACAGCTTTTATTACACTTTAATTATGCCTTTTATTATTTAACATTTCCAACTGTGATAAATTCTTCTTCTTTCTCTCTAAAACAGCTAGAATAGCTTAGCATAAAAACTGTTTTTATTTGTTTTTGTTGACAGCAGTTTCTGACTTCAGCTCTTTTACTTTTTCCATCTCTACTGTTTCTGACTGTAACAGGTCACATGATCAGGTGTCATGTTTACCTCATCATCAGGTCTAACCAGGTTCCAGTTTGCTGGAATTAAATGATGCTTCTGGTGCTTCTGTGAGCTCATTAATGGGAATCGGTCACTAACACGAAGCTGCTGCTGAGCTTTAAAGGACCAACCAGCTGAACACTCAGTGTATCTACAGTCTCACTGCACGAGCAACAGACGCTGAGCCCCCCCCCCACCACCACAAACAGCCACCAGAGGGAGATAGAGAGAGTCTATACTGCAGTCAGCAGAGAGAGAGAGAGAGAGAGAGAGAGACTATATTCTGGATTCACAGAGCCGTCATGTCGTCCATATGTCTACGTGTTGATAATATTCACACAGGGTTTTCCCACTTCTGACACAAACCTAAACTCTCTCAGCAGCAGCCAATCAGATGGGTTCAGTCGCACGTGCCCAGTTGTGACTGAGCTAAAGTTCATAGATAATTATTTAATGATAATGAGTATTGTCTCTTCTGTTTCAGTCTCTTCAGTCTGAGTACATCCAGTACTAGAACTACAGAGCTGACCTGAGGACCCATTACCCACAATGCCTCCTGTGTGGGACCCTAATAAAGAGTTCAGCTCAGTCTGAACTGCAGAGACTGTTCATACTGTATGTTAACGAGCAGTGTGTTAACGAGCAGTGTGTTAATATGATGTAATCTACACGTGTTTGGCTGCGACAGAAGATATATTTAGATAGGACACATTTTATATTTCTTATTTGTTTTAAAGAAGTTTAATTGTTTCGTCTGTTTTTGATAAACTGAAGGATCAGCTGACGACCACTCTCTCTGTCGTCATGGTTACAGTATTTACTTCCTGTTTGTGATCAGTTCACCAGCAGATTCACTTTCTAACCACAGCAATAATAACAGTAGGCAAAGAAGAAGAAGAGATAAACTCAGGGTGTGTGTGTGTGTGTGTGTGTGTGTGTGTGTGTGTGTGTGTGTGTGTGTGTGTGTGTGTGTGTGTGTGTGTGTGTGTGTGTGTGTGTGTGTGTGTGTCTCGGGGGGCAGCAAAAGGCCACGCCCACTCTGCCTTAAAGAAGCTTCTGATTGGTTGTCTCGTTGCTTTCTGTTCTATTATCGATCGATGACCGATCAAATGAATGATCAACAATTATTATTGTCCCTTAACGAACAAGCTAATTAGGACTTAATGTCACCAATAATTATGTTGTAGCTCGTCAATATTTAAACAAACACATATTCTTGTCCTTACAGATCAATATTATTGATTATTAGTCCTCATTGTTTGATCAGATATCTGAAGGATCCAGTTCAATATATTGAATGTTTTCTTTATTACTGTCGCGCTGCGTTAAAGGGCCAATTGCTGACGATGTGTTTACTGACCAGAGGAAATGTAGTAAAAGGGAAAACTGTTGTTTACGATAAAATCCTTCATTTAAAACACCCGAACTCAGGTGGACTGATCGATAAATAGTTCATCATTAATGAGTTCGGTTCAGACATTAAGGGAATGGTTTTCTCTCTGTTTCACATTGATCTGTATCAATAACAGCAGAGAACAGCTGATCAACTGATCAATGATATATTGATATTTTAATACATTCTGTCTCTATTCTGTATTTTTAGTATTTTTCTGACACTGACTAGTTTGACCCCACGACCCTAATGGGTTAGTGTATAATAATATAATGTATATTAATTGATCTTTACATTCTTTACATTTCCTTCCTGTCATTACATCATCATCATCATCATCATCATCATCACCACCTAATTAAACCTGATGAAATATAATGAGAGGGTGATTTATAGGAAACATCAGTCAGAACAATAATTATAAATATAATTGTCATTTCTACCTCCAGCAGCGTCTGTTTGTCCTGTAAGGACAACATGTCACATGTTCCACACATGTTCTAGAACGTGTATGATGTTCTACGTTCTGTAAGATGAATGGAACAGACTTTCACACACGGCACAGGCCTTTTCAAAATAAAAGCTTGCGGGACCAAGAGAAAAGTGAAATGTTTGTGGGAAATGAAAGCTGTTTAGTTCTTTAAGGGAAATTTTTATTGTTGTTTAGTATTTGTGTTTATTTCTGTTTAAAGATGTCAATAAATAAATAAATGGGAGGTTTCTCTGAAGTGCCTTAAAACAGCAGCAGCACAGGGCTTTTATTCTGGAAGGATCTAGACTAATGAAGATTCTTACTCCTCATCCTCAATTTAATGAAGTATTTTATTAAGAAAAGTTGTAGATTTATTTTCTTTGAAATGAAAAATAAAACAATTCCTCTTCTCACAGTTTCCTGTCTGATTTCACATCTGAGTATTTAACAGAAGTATTTTACAGAAGTATTTTACAGAAGTATTTTACAGAAGTACACAGTACTTTACAGAAGTATTTTACAGAACCGAGTATTTAACAGAAGTATTTTACAGAACCGAGTATTTAACAGAAGTATTTAACAGAAGTATTTAACAGAAGTATTTTACAGAAGTACACAGTACTTTACAGAAGTATTTTACAGAAGTACACAGTACTTTACAGAAGTATTTTACAGAAGTATTTTACAGAACTGAGTACTTTACAGCTGGAGTTTATAAATGTACATGTAAAATTATCAATGTTTATTGATCTGCACAGAATTAATCTGCAACTCTTTAATTGATTTGAGTCCATTTGCATTAATTAAAATGACTCATGTTGCATTCTGGGTAATGACGCCATTTTCAGACTTTTGATAAATGAGTCAATCAATGGATTATTGGATCAATAATCGGCAGATTAATCCAGAATGGAAATCATTAGTTGTAGCTGAAAATGAAACCGGTACAAGTGAGTCCTGGAAAACCTTGAAATTTAGTGACTGGTTTCCATGGAAACCTGCAAATGGATGAAAGTGAAATAATCACTGACTGCTGGAGCAAACTGACCTTTTTCACAGCAGCTGTTTTTACATGATGCAGACAGGTAAACTTGACTATCAGCAGAGCGAGGAAAGGCTCTGCTGCACTAAATGGAATGAAGCCTTAATCAGAATCAGCTGAGCTCTGCGTTTACAGAATGTAGGACAGGTGAGTCCAACAGGTGAGTTCACTGCCTGGGGGACTAAAGAGGACTAACAGTCGCACTCAGCACTAGCCTTTCTGATCACAGTCAGTCTTATTTTATGAAAGTGATGTGATTATATCACAGCTAATGGCCGTCTACAGACGTTTAAATCTAGAGGTCAAAGGTCAGAAACCACCTGAACACAAACACACACACACCTGTCAGGTTAATCAGTGAGAGTGACTGGTCACATGACTCCACGTCATCCAGCAGGTCCTCAGAGACTCAACTGATCAATACAGGTCATCACAGAGTCACTCACTCTTATCTCACAGAGAGCGAGCAATCAATCAATCAATCAGAGGGCACATTTGGATCTATGGAAACTTTAAAAGGAACTTTTAAAGTTTAATGATCAATAATTAATAAAGTAATAGTAAAAAATTGAGGAAGTTGCAGCTAAAATCAGTTTTTACTGATCAGAACAACAATCAATTTATCAGTGATTGCAATATTATAATAATAACACTAATAATATAATAATAATGATATTAATAATAATAATCTTCTGAATGATTCATTAGTTAATCAAATAAAAACAACTAATAAGGAAACTGAAAGAAAAAGAATGAAGATAAAAATAAAGAGAAAGAAAAGAAACAGTTTCAGTCTGTTCTGCAGAGGGCGCTGTGGTCTGCAGAGAGGGAGGTAGACAGAGAAACATAAAGGAGAGGGAGGGAGAGGGAGGGATGTAGACAGAGAGACATAAAGGAGAGAGGGAGGGAGGTAGACTCATAAAGGGTTGAGAGGAGCAGAGGACGCGTTCTGGATTGTATGAAACATTGACACAAAGAAGAAGCTGTTCTTTTTTACATCCATTCTCTCTCTCACTCATTATCTTGCTCTCTGTCTCTCTCTCACTCTCTCTCTCTCTCTCTCTCTCTCTCACTCTCTCTGAGGAGGACGATGTCTCTGCTGTCTGTCTGCAGGATTTATACTCAGCTGATCTCAGGTAAGATCTTTCTTTCTCTTCATCAGACATTTTAAATGACACAGACCTTTATTTCCTCCTGTCAGTGTGTGTGTGATCAATACTGAAATAATGCTAATAATAATAATAATAATAATAATAATAGTAATAATAATAATGCTAATAATAATAATAATAATAATAATAATAATAGTAATAATAATAATGCTAATAATAATAATAATTAATAATAATAATGATAAAGAAGAAATGACAGGAAACACAATGAAAGGATGAAACTCAAGAAGAACATTGAGGAGTTTTTATTGAACTAAAGTTTCTGGTTTATTTGTTATTGATTGTAAACATCAGGTGACCTCCTGAAGGGTCTCGATCCAGAGGTTGAGAAACTGAACGCGTATGGATTTATTGATTTTGTTATTTCTAAACATCAGATTTATTTTCATTTCTTCTGCTTTTGGTTTTGTTGTTGGTTCTGTTGGGTTCCCATGTTTCTGTTATTCCTCCTGATGTCGGTTCTAGTGGTTCTAATGTTGGTTCTTGTAGTTCTGTTGTTGGTTCTAGTGGTTCTGTTGTTGGTTCTAGTGGTTCTAATGTTGGTTCTAGTGGTTCTGTTGTTGGTTCTAGTGGTTCTAATGTTGGTTCTAGTGGTTCTGTTGTTGGTTCTAGTGGTTCTAATGTTGGTTCTAGTGGTTCTGTTGTTGGTTCTAGTGGTTCTGTTGTTGGTTCTAATGGTTCTGTTGTTGGTTCTAGTGGTTCTGTTGTTGGTTCTAATGGTTCTAATGTTGGTTCTAGTGGTTCTGTTCTTGGGAACAGAGATTGTAAATTAAACAGGAGCTTCACGCTCATGCTCAATGATTATCTATTATTACATCCATAAGATACATTCATTATTAAATTAATAAACAGATCTGATTACCAATGCATTATACTTTGTAGATGAGCAGAGGTGTATTCAATGTTGTTGTTTACCTCCACAGCTGTGCTGCTGATGTCATCGTGGTGCGTTCAGGGACTGCATGTGGACGTGCTACCCAGAAGGCTTCTGTTGAGACTGGGGCAGCGTCATCAGCTGGTGTGCCGGGTTCAGGACTGTCCCATGATACCGACCTTCTCCTGGTCTCTGCTGGGGGACCGACCTCTGACTGCATCCGTCAGCAGCAACAGGACTCACTCTGTGGTGACCTTTGACCCTGTGACAATAGAGTACGACGGCACTCTGCTGTGTAAAGTCAGCTGTGGAGGAGAAAACAAGCAGATTAGGAGCTCACTACAGGTTTACTGTGAGTTCACACTCAAACACACACATAATTCACCCTGCTAAGCCCCGCCCCCTTTGCTCTGTGCTCCAATCGCAGTTGAGCATGTGGTCAACTTCCTCCTTTCCTGTACTTAGATATGCTATGTGTAAAAGAAACATTCTTTAGCTGGCTAGTTCGCTAGTTAGCTAATCAACATTAAAGTGTAGCTCCGCCCATAGGTTCTGTTAGCTCCTCCCTCTCAGCTAATGTGAAACCACATCAGAGACTTTAGGGGGCAGTGATTGACAGACTGACCACAGCAGTGTGACAGGAACAGCGAGCTGGTAGTAGAGCTAACAGAGCTAACCAGCTATGAGCAGCTGCTTTCAGACACTGTCATCGTGCTGGAAGCACAAAGAGTCACTAGAAGCACATTCACACTGTTTGTAGCTAAGCTAGCGGGTCAGAGAGGCTAACTCTCCGGTATGTGTGTGTATCTGTGTCAATATAAACATACTGAGTAGAGGGTTAGCAACAGCTAGCATAACCTCCTCTGAATGATGCGCCTCCATCAGGATACATTTGAAAATGAGCGCAGCGGTTCCACAGACCTGTACTGTGGCTAGCTAGTTAGCTAGTTAGTTATAATGAATCTGAGGACAGAAACACGAAGCTGCTGAGTCATTTTAACACCTGGTCTGTTAACAAGGTGTTTGAAGAGGCGGTGAGTCATCAGCCAAATGTTCTCTGATTGGTCAGATTGGTTCCGGGTCTCTTCGGCATTAACATTCATGTCTGTCCTCTGTGTCTCTGCTGCGTCCAGCCTTTCCATCAGCCCCTGTGGTCAGAGGTCAGGATGAGCTGAGGGTGGGGGCGGCGAGCACCCTGACCTGCCAGGTGTCTGATGTTTACCCCCCTGAGCGTCTGACCCTCACCTGGCTCAGAGGAGACGCTATCCTGAAGAGCATTATAGGAGATTCTGGATCCAGCTCAGTCCAGTCTGAGTACAGGTTCACTCCTCTGAACCAGGACTCAGGAGGAAACATCAGTTGCAGGGCCACGATGGACCTGCTAAACCTGCCTGCTGAGGACAGGACCAGACAGACCACCGTCCCCCTAAACCTGCTGAGTGAGTCCTCCAGTCTGATCCTGAGTTTATCTGGTCCTGAGTCAGTTAATCTGGTCCTGAGTCAGTTAATCTGGTCCTGAGTCAGTTTATCTGGTCCTGAGTCAGTTAATCTGGTCCTGAGTCAGTTTATCTGGTCCTGAGTCAGTTAATCTGGTCCTGAGTCAGTTAATCTGGTCCTGAGTCAGCTTATCTGGTCCTGAGTCAGTTTATCTGGTCCTGAGTCAGTTTTCAGTCACATTTCAAAGTGTTTTCTCCTCCTTAGATGCTCCTGTTGTCAGGTCGATATCAGACCCTGGGTTGTTGATGGTCGGCTCTCCACTCACTCTCACCTGTTCTGTGGAGGGAAACCCAGAACCGAACATCACCTGGAGCCTCAGGACGGCAGCCGGTCGGTCTGTCCTGCGGGGTCGAGGACATCAGCTGGTCTTCACAGTGGTGAGTCTGTCTGACGCTGGACGCTACGAGTGCGAGGCCCGAAACAGCGAGGGAAACAAAACCACCGAAGTGGAAATCATTGTTCATGGTGAGAGTGAAGCTCCTGTTTCCATTTATAATCTCTGTCCCGTTGTTGTCCCGTTATTGTCTTGTTGTTGTCCCGTTGTTGTCTTGTTGTTGTCTTGTTGTTGTCCCGCTGTTGTCTTGTTGTTGTCCCGCTGTTGTCTTGTTGTTGTCTTGTTGTTGTCCTGTTGTTGTCCCGTTGTCTTGTTGTTGTCTCTTTGTTGTCTTGTTGTTTTTTCTTCTTTGTTCTCTCATTGTTGTCACGTTGTTGTGTCGTTGTTGTCACGTTGTTGTGTCGTTGTTGTCTCTTTGTTGTGTCGTTGTCTCTTTGTTGTGTCGTTGTTGTCTCTTTGTTGTCTTGTTGTTGTCCCGCTGTTGTCTTGTTGTTGTCCTGTTGTTGTCCCGTTGTCTTGTTGTTGTCTTGTTGTTGTCTCTTTGTTGTCTTGTTGTTTTTTCTTCTTTGTTGTCTCTTTGTTGTGTCTTTGTTGTCTCTTTGTTGTCTCTTTGTTGTGTCATTGTTGTCTCGTTGTTGTCTCTTTGTTGTCTCTTTGTTGTGTCGTTGTTGTCTCTTTGTTGTCTCTTTGTTGTCTTGTTGTTTTTTCTTCTTTGTTCTCTCATTGTTGTCACGTTGTTGTGTCGTTGTTGTCTCTTTGTTGTGTCGTTGTTGTCTCTTTGTTGTGTCGTTGTTGTCTCTTTGTTGTCTTGTTGTTGTCCCACTGTTGTCTTGTTGTTGTCCTGTTGTTGTCCCGTTGTCTTGTTGTTGTCCTGTTGTTGTCCCGTGTCTTGTTGTTGTCTTGTTGTTGTCTCTTTGTTGTCTTGTTGTTTTTTCTTCTTTGTTGTCTCTTTGTTGTGTCATTGTTGTCTCGTTGTTGTCTCTTTGTTGTGTCGTTGTTGTCTCTTTGTTGTCTCTTTGTTGTGTCATTGTTGTCTCGTTGTTGTCTCTTTGTTGTGTCGTTGTTGTCTCTTTGTTGTCTCGTTGTTGTCTCGTTGTTGTCTTGTTGTTTTTTCTTTGTTGTCTCTTTACCACCCTCCTGTTTACTAGTCACCAGCTCTGACACACCTGTCTTCCCTTCCCATAGGTCCGCCCACTAACACCTCCCTCTCAGTGAGTCCAGGTGAGGAAGTGGTGGAGGGTCAGCAGGTGACGGTTACCTGCCGCTCAGACGGAGCTCCACCCCCCATGCTGGTGCTGAGGAGAGAGGGGGTGGAGCTTCAGAGGACTGACCCCGCCTCCTCCACGCTCTCCTTCAGCCTCTCCTCCGCCCTGCTGGAAGACTCCGCCCACTACCAGTGTGAAGCCTCCAACCAGTACGGATCCCAGCTGGTCACCAGCTTCGTCACTGTCACTGGTACTGCTCTCATTTTTATTCATTAATACATAACATTATTATTATTATTATTATTATAATTAACATTATTATTATTATTATTATTATTAACATTATTATTATTATTATTAAAATTATTATTATTATTATTATTATTATTATTAACATTATTATTATTATAAACATTATTACTATCATTATTATTATTATTATTAATAACATTATTATTATTATTATAATTATTAACATTATTATTATTATTAACATTATTACTATCATTATTATTATTATTATTATTTTTAACATTATTATTATTATTAACATTATTATTATTTTTATTATTATTGTTAATATTATTAACATTATTAATATGATTAACATTATTATTATTATTATTAACATTATTATTATTAACATTATTATTATTATTAACATTATTACTATCATTATTACTATCATTATTATTATTATTATTAACATTATTATTATTATTATTAACATTATTATTATTAACATTATTATTATTATTAATAACATTATTATTATTATTATTATTAACGTTATTATTATTATTAACATTATTACTATCATTATTATTATTATAATTATTAACATTATTATTATTATTAACATTATTACTATCATTATTATTATTATTATTATTTTTAACATTATTATTATTATTAACATTATTATTATTATTATTATTATTGTTAATATTATTAACATTATTATTATTATTAACATTATTATTATTATTATTATTATTATTATTATTATTAACATTATTATTATTATTATTATTATTATTGTTAATATTATTAACATTATTAACATTATTATTATTATTAACATTATTATTATTATTATTATTATTATTGTTAATATTATTAACATTATTATTATTATTAACATTATTATTATTATTAACATTATTATTATTATTATTAACATTATTATTATTATTAACATTATTACTATTATTATTATTATTATTATTATTAACATTATTATTATTATCATTATTATTATTAACATTATTATTATTAACATTATTATTATTATTATTATTGTTAATATTATTAACATTATTAACATTATTATTATTATTAACATTATTATTATTATTATTAACATTATTATTATTATTAACATTATTACTATCATTATTATTATTATTATTAACATTATTATTATTATTAACATTATTAACATTATTATTATTATTAACATTATTAACTGTCCTGTTCAGACTGAAAGAAGGTTTGAACTGTTTGTTGGACAAAAGAAGTAATCTGAAGACGTCACACACGTTTTGTTCTGGTTCTGGTTCAATGTCGGGGGGGGGGGAAGTTGTGACAACTTCCTGTTTCATGGTGACATGTGACAGCGCACAACATGAACTTCTTTAGTGAACTTAAATTCCGACTTAAAATGTCCGACTTCCTGTTGGGTTTAGGATGTGGCTCTGAGAGGATTTTTTCTACGTCTGGTCCTGATACACGTGCTTACTGACTTTCATACATACCAGTGAAATGAGACTCCTGGAGTGCTTAATTGAACTTTTCTAGGGGCGCTAGGGAGCCATCTTGCTTCACCCTTAAGTCCCAATTCATATGTAAAATGTTTCAATGTCAAAAGTTTGATTCATTTTGTTTCATAATAACAAAAAATAATAAACTGAGCAGTTTGAATAGTCGCTGCTCGAGTCCTAATAAAGAAATCAATAATGTGAGGGGATTGGATGATGAATGTGAGTGATCAGGATCAATAGCTGTGGATGAGGCTCAGTCTGGTCTCCTTTCAGCTCACCCTCTGCAGGTGGAGGTGAGTCCTCTAGTCTCAGCAGCAGAGCGGGGTTCAGATCTGGTTCTGACCTGCAGAGCGTCCGGATGTGTCCACCCTCCCACCCTCACCTGGAGGAGGACGGACCAGAACCGGACCTTCCTCCAGAGGACGCAGCAGCAGGGCGGACTGTCCCTGCTCCACCTGCAGGACCTGGACCTCCAGAATCAGGGAGGATACAGCTGTGAGGCCGAGTGTGACTCCGTCATCAGGACCGGAAACACCCAGATCCACATCCTCTGTGAGTCTGACACACCTGAGACACCTGAGACCAGGTCTTTATGACATCACATCATGTTGTAACATGATCCTCTGTAACGCTGTCAGCTATGTTCTGTGGTTCCCATCACAAAGTTAAACCAGCTCCAATAAAACCTGTAAAGGCCTCATGGATCAGGTTATCAATAACCATCAATCGCTCTCTTCATCTGATAACATCAACACACTCTTCAGTTTCCCGTTCTCGGTGCTCATCCTAATAATGAACGATGTGTTTACAGTGTTTAAACTGAGATCAATCTTTTAGACTTGTCTACATTTTAGTTTGTGTTCAGTGGACGGTGCGATCGGTCCCCAGAACGTCTCTGCTCAACTCGTGTGTTTGCACAACAATCCAGATGTGAATCATCAGGATTAAATCTGATCCTGAGACATTCCTGCAGGTCTCAGTGGGGGTTCAGAGCCAGTCTGAGTCCTGGTCTTTGTTCAGAGCTGCTGTGTGATTGCACAGATTTACTGCTGTTGAGGTCAAAGGTCAGAGAGCTCCACTCCATTATTGTAGTGTTGTTGCACTTCCTCACACAGATCTGTCTTTCATCTAAATGGAGCAGGACAAACTCCAACGCTCTCACTGACAGGAAGTGACACAGCAGGGGAGAAAGAAGCCAAATAACTCACCCCCCCCCACCTCCCCCTGCTATGAAGTCCTCCCTCACAGAGACAGAAACAAACACTCAGGTTTATCTTCCTCTGTCAGGAGTTTATGTACTCACACAACAGCAACATGAACTCCTTCGAGACTTTATCAAACCACTGCAGACAGACGCCATGTACCTCCTCCTCGCTCCGTCCTGCAGGAGTGGGGGACAATGAGCAGTGATTATAGTAATATTAGTGACTGTAGTAATAATACTACTACTAATAATAATAACAATAATATCAGTGATATTAGCAATGGGAGTCAAGCAGGACCATGGCAGGAGGCTCCACCAGGATCATGCTTTCTGCGAGATGAGAAAGCACAAGAACTCCGGGGAAGAAGTGAAGTTAGTAACATGCATTAATGGAACATGAATGAGTGCAGAAAGAGAGAGGAAGAGAGGAGCTCAGTGCACCATGGGAAATCCCCGATAGTCTAGGCCTATAGCAGCATAACTAAGGGATGGTTCAGGACTCACCTGATCCAGCCCTAACTATAAGCTTTATCAAAGAGGAATGTCTTAAGCCTACTCTTTTAGAGACTATAGGAACCACAAGTAGCCCAGCATTCAGAGAACGTAGTGTTCTTGTGGGGTAATAGGGTACTATGAGCTCTTTAAGATATGAAGGGGCCTGACCATGAAGAGCTTTATAAGTGAGGAGGAGGATTTTAAATTATACTCTTAATTTACAATACAATACTTTAGTAACAGCTGGAGACCCAGACTGAACAGTTCAATGTGCTGACAGATGGACCAAGTCTAAAAGTTACCAGACATAAATATGTGATTTGAACCTGGACGAGGCCCCAAACGTGACTACTCTGGTTCAAAGGAAGCAACAAGAGTTCCTATGTCTTCTACATGTGAACGTCTCCATTTCCTCTCCAGCATTTCCATCTGATCCGGTTCTGGAGGATCCTGGTCCTGTCCTTCTGGGTCAGGCAGCAGTCCTTCGCTGTGATGTCAGCAGCGTCTTCCCGGCCAATCAGATGAGGGTCCAGTGGCTGTCGGGGAACATGACGCTGATGTCAGAGTCCCTCAGATTCCCTGGTTCCTTACAGAACGTCTCGTCCGTTCTTCAGCACCAGGTTGAGGAGGATCAGCAGGTTCTGAGCTGTAGAGCCGAGCTGCTGACGGAGGATGGAGACGTGTGGAGGTCCAGGAAGACCAGCGTCCGCCTGCAGGTCCACTGTGAGTCAGATTTAACATACAGTGTAAATTAAATCTTAAGGTTTATTTAATAGTTCAAACTCAAATTCCAGTTTAATAGTTCATAATTTTCCAAAGTTATGTAAAAAATTGGAAGTAAATAAAGTATTAGTTGTGTAACTTTAATGTATTAGTTAGTTAACTGACAGATATGTTGTATAATGATGGAAGATGAATAAATGTTGTTTATCAGTGTATAAGCATTGGTAAATTGTCCAAATACAGTTGTTATCAGTGTAAACAGCAATAATTACTGTGATCTCACAAATAATGACTTTTATTACAGTTCTATAACTTTTAAAGTTCACATTAAAATAACAATCCAATAATAACAGCACTCTGCTGTAAATGTAAGCCTGATTATTGTATTATAGCAGAGTTCACCTGTATTTATAGTTCATTGTTTTACACTGTAAATATCTTTAAACATTAAAAAGACAAGAAAAATGTTTTATGTAAAAATAAAAAAATAAAAAACTGTATTTTTGGTTTAGGTTTTATTAATCCAGTCTTGGTCTGTTTCAGATCCTCCGAGGAGAACCTCCCTCTCAGTGAGTCCAGGTGAGGAAGTGGTGGAGGGTCAGCAGGTGACGGTTACCTGCCGCTCAGACGGAGCTCCACCCCCCATGCTGGTGCTGAGGAGAGAGGGGGTGGAGCTTCAGAGGACTGACCCCGCCTCCTCCACGCTCTCCTTCAGCCTCTCTTCCGCCCTGCTGGAAGACTCCGCCCACTACCAGTGTGAAGCCTCCAACCAGTACGGATCCCAGCTGGTCACCAGCTTCGTCACTGTCACTGGTACTGCTCTCATTTTATATTAATAATGATAGTAAATTTAATTTATTATATATTATTATTTATTATAGTTATATGGAACTTTCATAAAGAATCAGCTCAAAAGGCTTCATAACAGTAAAGAAGAAGTAAAATAAACAGTTTTAAAAAGAAATCTGTGCGTTAGAGAGATGGTGTGTTTTCATTAATGGCCACAAGGTGGAGCTATTGCTGCCATGTTGTGTAAAGACAACAGAAATGTATGCACACTAGCACTGTAGCGCCCCCTGGGGGTAGAACTGTATCAAAGTGGGCGTGGCCTATCTCCGACGCCATCAGCCTCGGTGACCGCAGCGGAGCTGGAAACCTCAAAATCACTCAGCGCTGCTCTTTAAGCTCATTGCTGTAAACGCACTGTAAAAAATAGATCTTTTAGCAGCTGGACAGAAAGAGACTGAAATGAGTAACTGGGACTTTAACAGCTGACGTTTATATAAAAGACAGAGAACTGCTGTTCCCAGGACGGAGCCTTGCAGAACGCCATGTGTTTGTTCTTTGTGATGAGAAACTGGAGATTTCAGCTTTTGTTTTAGTTTCTGACAGCTGTTATCTGAGAGCTCAACCTCCTTCACACGATGCTGAGTGCTTCCTGAAATAAACTCTGACTCCACTGCTGAGTAATGTGTCCGACACTCAGAGCCTCATTCAGACCGGCTCAGATATTCATTGATCAATATTCAGTCCAGGTGAGTTAACAGTGTGCACACCTGAGGGCCACAGTTTTATACGAGCTGAAAACTGACCTCACTTTGGGACAGTGAAAAATATCAAAAATTATATAAATTCCTGCTTTTATGGGCCGAATGTTAAAATGATGACGCATTTAAAGAGGAAGTGAACCCAGAACAACAACCTGCAGAAGGTCAACAGGTCCTACAAAGACTCCCACAGCCTGAGGAGCTCTGTTCCTATCTCATTGATTATATTGATCACAGTGATCACATGATCTCATTGATCACATTGATTTCATTGATCACATTGATTTCATTGATCACATTGATTTTCACATTGATTTCATTGATCACATTGATCTCATTGATCACATTGACCTCATTGATCTCATTGATCTCATTAATCACATTGATCACATTGAACTGTAGTGATGTCTGATGTTCGTGTGCAGACGTCTGAGCTCCACTTTACTGTAAACTCCCTTCCAGTAAATGTGACTTAATAATCCTCCTACACTCTGTATCAGGGATCATTCCACACTTTGTGTCAATGTTTCATTAACATGAAGCTCAAAACAGAACTTGATTCATTAATCAATCAACAGAAACTATTTTTATAATTATTTCAACATTTCAGTAAAACCTTCTCTGCTATTGTAATATTGTTATTACAGTTTGATATTAATTTAGTTTTTATTTTCAGTTCAGTTTAATTTCAGTTTCCTGAGTGAACACGCTCATACAGTACAAACATACTCACTGTCTCAGTTAACGAATGAATCAAACTGACAAAAACTAAAACTGAAGACATTTCCTGTATATTTTGATGGGTAAGTGGTTAGCAGGAGTATCCAGCTAGCTAACTGTAGCTAAGCTAACTGGTGTTATGCGGCTGGCTGTGTCTTGGCGTTGCATTGTGGGTCTGGTGTTGGTTGCTTCGTGGTGTTGGCTGATGGGCTGATTTGTAAACGACGAGCTAGTTAGTAGCATGGAGCTAATGGTCCAAATAAAATATAGGAACATTGCAGATAGTAACGTTATTCTAAATATGATTGTCAGTTATTTTACAACGTTCAGTGTTTGTCTCTGTTGGCCGACGCCCAGGATGATGCAACAGGGCGCTGACTGCAGTTCACTGAACGGCCAATGGTGGCGCTGTTAGCTACAGTTCACTGAACATATAGAACCTTTATCAGTAACTGTAATCTGGTTTCTTGTGGTGCAGCTCCTCCAAGGAACACCACTGTCCTCGTCTTGCCGTCCCCGGTGGTCCAGGAGGGACAAAACGTCACTGTCTGCTGCCAAACCATCAGCTTCCCACCGTCAGCTGTGGTACTGAAGAAACTGACCAATGGGACGGAGCTATATTCCCCAAACGGCACCTTCCTATTGGTCAACGTCACAGCTAGAGACTCCGGGCTGTACCAGGTCAACGTGACCAACAGCCTTGGATACCAGGTCAAAGTCTTCAGCATCAGCGTCAGAGGTCAGTTACACCAGTTCAGGCTCCGGTTTCTGTCTCTGCCGGTGAAACTTAAACCCCTGAATTTCATTTTAGAATCATAATTTAATGAAACAGATGTGTTGGTAGAAAACAGTGTTTTAGTTTATTCTGAAGTGTTTGTGTCCTTCCCTTCATGCAGAAAGAAGCACCAGCCATCCTCCCAGTCTCAGCGGCATCATCATCCTAGCCATCTGTGTCACCACTGGGCTAGCAGCCTCTGCTCTGGTCCTCGACTACCTGAGGAGATCCAGAAAGAAAGGCTTCTATCAGCTGCCCCAGTCTGCTCCGCCCTCAGCCTGAGGCTGACACGTGGCTACCACCTCCCAACACGTGGCTACCACCTCCCAACACTGGGCTACCACCTCCCAACACGTGGCTACCACCTCCCAACACGTGGCTACCACCTCCCAACACGTGGCTACCACCTCCCAACACGTGGCTACCACCTCCCAACACTGGGCTACCACCTCCCAACACTGGGCTACCACCTCCCATCAGTGGCTACCACCTCCCAACACTGGGCTACCACCTCCCATCACGTGGCTACCACCTCCCAACACTGGGCTACCACCTCCCAACACGTGGCTACCACCTCCCAACACTGGGCTACCAACTCCCATCAGTGGCTACCACCTCCCAACACTGGGCTACCAACTCCCATCAGTGGCTACCACCTCCCAACACTGGGCTAACACCTCCCAACACTGGGCTAACACCTCCCAACACTGGGCTAACACCTCCCAACACTGGGCTACCACCTCCCAATATGTGACTTTGTACCTACCATGTGCTGACTCGTGGTTTTGACCTCCCAATGTGTGGCTACTAATTAGCAACGTGTGATTTCAGTATTCCAACATGTGACTACTACATGCTACCCCCTCAACTAATTTCCACAATCCAGTGCTGGGCTACCACGTCCCAGTTTGTGACTACTACAGCTACCACTTCTCAACACGTGGCTACCTACTTGCATGTTACATGTAGCTGCCACTACCAACATCTGGCTACCAGTCCTCCATATGTTTTTACCGGTGTTCAACATGTGGCTACAACCTTCCTACAAGTGGCTACCAACTTGCAATGACCCATATGTGGCTACCACCTCCTAGTCTGTGGTTAACAGTCCTCAACATGTGGCTCTAACAGTCCATCCTGAGAAATACAGGTGGTCCCTACCTGTTGCTACATAGTGTAACATATGAACAGCAGCTAACATCATTTAATCAGCCTTGCAACTCTTTATTTGTTTTTGGAATCAGTGACTTTTTAGCAGCTGTGAACTTTTAAGTGCTCACTGTCCCTTTAAGTGCTCACTGTCCCTTTACATGTTTACTGTCCCTTTAGGGGCTCACTGTCCCTTTACGTACTCGTTGCTGAACCAGAGCATTGGATCCAGCTTCCCACTGCAACCCTCCAGGGACGGAGGAGGAACTTTAAGTGTCTCTGTTGGTTTGGTACTGTTGCACCTTCAGTGTTTCTGCGTACAGAACCACATTGTTTATACGTGTTTATAATGAATTATCTGCTGTATTTCTGTCCAGTGTGAGTTGAATGTGTTCATTCTCTCACTGTGTGCTTTTATTAAAGATATTTATTTCTTCACTTCTGTCCCAGAGCGTGTTGGAACGTGATTTGATTGGGACTTTCCCAGTTTTCTCTTTCACTTCTGTGAGATTCAGCGTTTACTGGAAGTCTTCAGGAAGTCTCAGCCATTGCCATGGTGACCCCTCAGCTGCTGTTTAAAGTATCAGTCCTGAAGTCTCACACTGAGTCTGTTTTTCTGGTCTTTCCCAGAGTTTGGAGGAAATGTGTTTAATGCTTGATTAAAGCTGCTGTAACCATCAGCTGTACAGGAAGACCCACAACAGCTCACCTGTTTTAAACCCCAGCCAGAGTTCAGCTGGAAGACTCACAGCTGTGCAATAATTTATATTATTATATATTATTTATATTATATGATATTATAATATATTATTATATTAATGTTCTTTGATGCTTGCTCTCTGTGTGCAGCAGTGGGTTCAGTCTAATTCCTGGTGCTCTCAGGAATCCTCTGAGCTGTTTAAGGAGCTGAGCACATTAATTAAATGTTCTGGTGGTTTTTGTCTTTGACTTAAAGCCCGTTGGCTCCTCAGCTCGTCGTCATGGAAACCAGAAGGCTTCAGATGTGAGGTGTGAAGAGTCTCTTGCAGCCTCTCTGCTCTCGCAGCGTTTGTTTTCCAGCAGATTCTTTCAGGATGAAGCCACAGTCTCTGATTTCAGTTTGAAGAGAGACGAATGCGTCCGTTCTCGGTGTCGTCTACGAGGCGCCTCCTCGTGTCAGACTTTAAAGGTCAAAGGTCAAACGAAGCTCAGAGTGTTTGTGTGGATGCAGATTCAGCTCAAAGTGTTGATAAATGTCTTTCTGCTACATCTGCTGTTTTTCATTTATGTGGCGTTCAGGGTCCTACTGGGTCCCGTGACCTCTGCGCTCTGTTGTGTAAGAGAGGACGAGCGTTCTGCTGCGTCTTGTCATTTTAATCTGCTGCTCTGCTGGTATTTCCTGTCCGGAGGAGGAGAAGAAGAGTCAGCAGAAACCAAAAGGAGTCAGTCAGAGCTGCAGGAACCATCATCATCATCTTCTTCCTCGTCTTCATCCTCTAAAACAACTTAAATCTGTCAGTAAAACAGACATTAATATCTGGGTCCTGATCCCAGAATATTGATCATGATCAACCTGATCAGTAATCAATACTCACATTATTAAAGCATTAATCAAACTAATACCGTCAGACAACCTTATCAGACTTTAGCAGGTAGCTAGTGTTTCTGTAGTGGAGACACTGTGTATACTGATCAATATCATCCATAAAGATACATCGTATACTGATCAATATCCTCCATAAAGATACAGTGTATTCTGATCAATATCATCCATAAAGATACATCGTATACTGATCAATATCCTCCATAAAGATACATCGTATACTGATCAATATCCTCCATAAAGATACAGTGTATTCTGATCAATATCATCCATAAAGATACATCGTATACTGATCAATATCCTCCATAAAGATACATCGTATACTGATCAATATCCTCCATAAAGATACATTGTATTCTGATCAATATCATCCATAAAGATACAGTGTATACTGATCAATATCATTATTATTAACATAATATTTATATAATATTTATTATATTTCTGAGAGTGACTATGATGTTCACAGTGAGCTCATTAGTGGAATCAGTTTATACATTTATGGAAAACAAAAGTAAATAATGACTTACCGGATTGATCCCCAAAGTATCAATATTGACTGCCATTGCTAATATTACTGATATTATTGTTATTATTATTACTAATATTATTATTACTACAGTTACTATTATTACTATTGTCACTGCTCGTTGTCCCCGATCGTTGCTGTTGTCGACGTCGCCATCATCTTCTCCATGTTCATCATCAATCACTACTATTAGTGTAGTTGTTGCTACTGTTGTTGCTGTGCACCTGTCTGTCTGTCTGTCTGTCTGTCTGTCTGTCTCTCTCTTTCTCTCTCTCTCTCTCTCACCCCAACTGGTCGGGACAGACGACCACCCACCTAGAGCCGAAGGATCTGTCCTAGGTTTCTGCTGATGATGTGACCCACACAAAGACCATCATCACTCGGGCTAACCAGAAGCCATGGCAGACAGGAGCTGTCCATCAGCTGCTGAGGGCCAGAGACAAAGCCTTCAGAGCCAGGGATGAAAATGGCCTTAGAACAGCGAGAGCCAACCTGTCCCGTGGCATCAGGAAAGCAAAAGATGACTACACAAAAAAGATAACCTGCCACTTCAATGACAGCAGAGACAGACGGAGCCTGTGGCAGGGCATTCAGACCATCACAGACTACAAGCCCACGCCCCAGATCTGCGACCACAACATCTCTCTGCTTAACAACCTCAACAGCTTCTTCGCACGGTTTAAAGCTACAAACAACACAAGCCCACAGAAATCCCCCCCCCACCCCCCCCACGATCAGGCTCTGTGCCTGTCTGCTGCCAGTGTGAAGAGGTCACTCTCCACCATCAACCCTCGCAAAGCAACAGGCGCAGACAACATCCCAGGCCGTGTGCTGAAGGACTGCTCAGAGGAGCTTAAGGACGTCTTCACGGATATCTTTAACACTTCTCTGAGTCAAACTGCTGTCCCATCACATTTCAAGGCCACCATCATCATACCTGTACCAAAGAAACCTGTTCCATCCTGCTTCAATGACTATCGCCCTGTGGCACTAACCCCCATCATCATGAAGTGCTTTGAACGGCTAGTCATGTCTCATATCAAGTCCATCCTCCCCCCGACCCTGGACCCAGCCAAACGTTCCACAGAGGATGCAATCTGCTCTGCTTTCCACCCAGCCATCACCCACCTAGACACAACCGACTCATATGTGAGAATGCTTTTCATAGACTTTAGTTCAGCATTCAACACCACAATCCCACAACAACTCATCTATAAACTAGACCAGCTGGGGCTCAACATCTCCCTTTGCAACTGGCTGCTTGACTTCCTCAGTGAGAGGCCCCAAGCGGTACGAGTCGGCAACAACACCTCGAGCAGCATCACGCTCAGCACAGGGGCCCCCCAAGGCTGTGTGCTCAGTCCCCTGCTCTTCACCCTGCTGACTCGCGACTGCACACCAACCTACAGCACCAATCACATGGTGAAGTTTGCGGACGATACTACTCTGGTCTCATCACCAAGAACGACGAGACCCACTACAGGAAGGAGGTCAATCTTTTGACCAAATTCACCAAAGCACCAAATTCCTCGGGGTGCACATCAGTGAGGACCTCAACAACACTGCATCACTGGCGAAGAAAGCCCAGCGGTGCCTCTACTTCCTCCGCAAGCTCAAGCGAGTGAAAGCTCCCCCACCCATCATGTGCACATTCTACTGGGGCACCATTGAAAGCATCCTGTCCAGCTGTGTGGGGCGGGAGCTGCACTGAATACAGCAGAAAAGCACTGCAACGTATAGTTAACACAGCTGGTAGGATCATTGGTGCCCCACTCCCTTCCCTGCAAGACACCTACATCACCCGCCTCACCCGTAAAGCTACCTCAATTGTGAGCGACGCAAGCCACCCTGCACACAGTCTGTTCAGCCTCCTGCCTTCTGGAAGAAGGTATAGGAGCCTCCGTGCCCACTTCACCAGACTCACACATTTTTTTTATTTAAAGCTCTAAAATTTTATCTTTAATAAAATAAAATTTAATTGCTATAATAAACAACTGAAGCAGACATCATTACTGAATATCCCTCGCGGGGTAAAGAGGAGGGCGTTGGGTTTGATTGACAGTTGTTTCCACTTCCTGTCTCTGCTGCTCAGGGTCGCCTCGCTGTGGAGGAGGACGGAGCTGCTGCTGATGGAGCGCCGGCGTCCTTTTCTGATGAGGTCACTGAGGTTTGTGGTTGCAATGGGTGATGATGAGTCTCATCGCTGCATCTAATCAATTTCTTAATGATGTACATAAACGTCATATTACACCAGCTTCTTATTTCTGTTCCATCAGAGACACGTTCTGTGACAGCCTTTATATGTTAATAATAATAATAATATTACTATTATAGACCTCTGCCCTGTACCTACAGCACTGACCTATATATATATGCCCTGTATCTGTCTTGACTTCTGTGACTTAGGTATTATTGTCACATGGACTCAATCGAATCTTTATTAACTGTCTTTGAATATTGATCAGAGATGAGTGTTCCTGATATTCTTATACAATTCTCAGTATATATTATATGTTTGTTATTTAACACTCATACATACTATATAAATTATCTAAACTTAAGAAAAATACAATTTCATTTAGTTTTCTTAACAGAATTTAAACTGCTGAGCTATAGGTCCGACCCTCAGGATGGGAACTACTGTTATAGTCATTTTATATTATTATATTTAACGTGTTGCTTTAATATTATGATACTTGGATTTGGTTATATTTCATTATTATATTATTTATTATTATATATTTACAGGTAATTATATCTGATTACATTGTTTGTTAGCGTCCCAACCGTAATGTAAACCAAGAGATTAAAGAAGAGCAGTACAATAAGCAATAACACTAATATCAGTGATATTGGCAATGGCAATCTAGCAGGACCATGGCAGGAGGCTCCACCAGGATCGACAAAAACCTGCGAGACGAGAAAGCACAAGAACTCCGGGGAAGAAGTGAAGTTAGTAACATGCATTAATGGAACATGAATGAGTGCAGAAAGAGAGAGGAAGAGAGGAGCTCAGTGCACCATGGGAAATCCCCCGATAGTCTAGGCCTATAGCAGCATAACTAAGGGATGGTTCAGGACTCACCTGATCCAGCCCTAACTATAAGCTTTATCAAAGAGGAACGTCTTAAGCCTACTCTTGAATGTGGTGAGGGTGTCTGCCTCCCGAACCACAACTGGAAGCTGGTTCCACAGGAGAGGAGCTTGGTAACTGAAGGCTCTGGCTCCTGTTCTACTTTTAGAGACTATAGGAACCACAAGTAGCCCAGCATTCAGAGAACATAGTGTTCTAGAGGGGTAATAGGGTACTATGAGCTCTTTAAGATATGAAGGGGCCTGACCATGAAGAGCTTTATAGGTGAGGAGGAGGATTTTAAATTCTATTCTACATTTTACAGGGAGCCAGTGCAGAAAAGTACAGGAGAGATGTGATCTCTTTTTCTAGTTCCTGTCAGTACTCGTGCTGCAGCATTCTGAATTAATTGGAGCGTTTTAATGGACTTATTGGGGCAACCTGATAATAAAGAGTTGCAGTAATCCAGCCTTGAAGTAACAAATGCATGGATTAGTTTTTCTGCATCTGTCTGTGATAGGATGTGTCTAAGTTTTGTAATATTAGGTAAATGAAAGAAGGCAGTCCTAGAGGTCTGCTTCATGTGGGAGTTAAAAGACAAATCCTGATCAAAGATAACTCCAAGATTCCTGACAGTGGTGCTAGAGGCCAAGGTAATGCCATCTAGAGTAACTATATCTTTAGACAGTGAGTCTCTGAGATTTTTGGGGCCAAGAACAAGAATTTCGTTTTTTTCTGAGTTTAACATCAGAAAATTGCAGGTCATCCAGGATTTTATGTCCTTAAGACATGTTTGTAATTTAGATAATTGATTAATTTCATTGGGCTTGATCGATAGATATAACTGCGTATCATCTGCATAACAGTGAAAGTTAATGGAGTGATTCCTAATAATATAGCATATATAAAGTAAATAGTATTGGTCCAAGTACAGAACCTTGTGGAGCTCCATGACTAACTGTAGTATTTATTGAAGATTCATCGTTAACATGTACAAACTGAGAACGATCTGATAAGTATGACTTAAACCAGCTTAGTGCGGTTCCTTTAATGCCAATTTGATGCTCAAGTCTCTGTAAAAGAATATTATGGTCAATGGTGTCAAATGCAGCACTAAGATCTAATAATACAAGTACAGAGACAAGTCCATTGTCAGAAGCAATCAGAAGGTCATCATTAACTTTAACCAGAGCTGTCTCTGTGCTGTGATGAACTCTAAATCCTGACTGAAAATCCTCAAATAAACTATTGTTATGTAGAAAGTCACACAACTCTTTGGCGACTACTTTCTCCAGAATCTTAGAGAGGAAGGGGAGGTTAGAAATCGGTCTATAGTTGGCTAAAACCCCTGGGTCAAGAGTGGGCTTTTTAAGAAGGGGTTTAATTACAGCTACTTTAAAGAACTGTGGTACATATCCTGATAATAAAGAAAGATTAATCATATCCAGTAAAGAAGTGCCAATTAAGGGAACAACTTCTTTAAGCAGCCTAGTTGGGATCGGGTCTAACAGACAGGTTGATGGCTTCGATGAAGAAATGATTGAAGTTAACTGATGAAGATCAATAGCAGAAAAACAGTCTAAATATATATCTAAGTTTACATTAGTTAAAGTTCCTGAACTTGGAGAGCCACTGATAACTGTTGATGGCAGTTGGTGATTAATTTTTTCTCTAATAGTAATAATTTTATCATAGAAGAAGCTCATGAAGTCATTGCTACTTAAGTTTATGGGGATATGTGGCTCGATAGAGCTGTGAGTCTCTGTCAGCCTGGCTACAGTGCTGAAGAGGAACCTAGGGTTATTCTTATTTTCTTCTATTAGTGCTGAGTAATAGGCTCCTCTGGCATTACGGAGGGCCTTTCTATAAGTTTTAAGATTATCTTGCCAAATTGAGCGATATTCTGATAATTTGGAAGAGCGCCATTTCCTTTCAGATTTCCTAGCTATTTGTTTTAACTGGCGGGTTTGGTGGTTGTACCAAGGTGCTAGTCTCCTATGTTTTAATAATTTCCTTTTTATAGGAGTGATAGAGTCTAATGTTGATCGTAGTGAGCCTGCAGCACTATCAACAAGATTATCAATTTCAGAGGGACTAAAGTTGTTATAGGACTTTGTTAAATTCAGACATGGCATTGAATTAAACACTGAAGGAATCTCCTCCTTAAATTTAGCTACAGCACTGTCAGATAGACATCTGCTGTAGGAAGTTTTGCCTAATGGCTTATAATCTAATAGTATGAATTCAAAAGTTATTAAATAATGGTCAGATAGGAAAGGATTATGTGGGAAGACTATTAAATGTTCAATATCAATGCCATATGATAGAACAAGGTCAAGAGTGTGATTAAAACAATGAGTTGGTTTATTTACACTCTGACAGAAGCCAATTGAGTCTATTAATGATATAAATGCGTTACTAAGGCTGTCATTGTCAACATCCACATGAATATTAAAATCACCTACAATAATTACTTTATCTGATTTAAGGACTAAGCTTGATAGAAACTCTGAGAATTCAGATATAAAATCAGAGTACGGTCCAGGAGCGCGGTACACTATAACAAATAGAACTGGCTGCAGTGTTTTCCAGTTTGGGTGAGAAAGGACTAAGAACAAGGCTTTCAAATGAATTATAATTTAGTTTAGGTTTAGGGTCCATTAAAACGCTCGAATCATATATGGCTGCTACTCCACCTCCTCGGCCAGTGCCTCGAGGAATGTGAGTATTAATATGACTGGGGGGGGTGGATTCATTTAGGCTAACATACTCCTCGTGGGACAACCAGGTCTCAGTAAGACAAAGTAAATCAATATCATAATCTGATATTAATTCATTCACTAAAACAGCTTTAGAGGACAGAGACCTGATATTTAACAGCCCACATTTCATTCTCTTATTTTGTGCTACTGAGGAGTTAGTTTTAATTTTTATTAGGTTTTTATGTTGAACTCCTCTTGTTTTTATTTCTTTAAATAGTTTAGGTGGTCGGGGGACAGACACAGTCTCTATGGGGTTTTGGGTTACTACAGTTACTATTATTACTATTGTCACTGCTCATTGTCCCCCATCGTTGTTGTCGTCATCATCATCATCTTCCTCATGTTCATCATCATCAGTCACTACTATTAGTGTAGTTGTTGCTACTGTTGTTGCTGTGCACCTGTCTGTCTGTCTGTCTCTCTGTCTCTCTCTCTCTCTCTGCCTCTCTCTCTCTCTCTCTCTCTCTCTCTCACCCCAACTGGTCGAGACAGACGACCACCCACCTAGAGCCGGAGGATCTGTCCTAGGTTTCTGCCTTTTAACAGGCAGTGTTTCCTTGCCCTTGTCGCCAAGTGCTTGCTCATGGTGGTACTGTTGGGTCTCTGTAATTAATGTTAAAGAGTTCGGTCTAGACCTGCTCTATTTGAAAAGTGTCCTGAGATAACTTCTGTTATGAATTGGCGCTATACAAATAAAATTGGAAAAAAAATTGAATTGAATGAGGAGCTTTTAGGGGTCTCGTTCTTGTCTTATTGGTTCACTCATAATCAATCACTGATCACAGAGCAGCAGATGTTTGAATCAGTCTGATTGAGGCTGTAAGAATCTCACACTATTGATGTATTGATGACTGATGCTGGTTTTGAAGCTCACTTTGTGGATCCAGATCCAGCAGCAGCTCAGACTTTGTCCCCCATGATGAAACCTCAGAGTCAACAAACAGAGAGGCTCCACAGAAGGAAGTTCACCGACTGACCGCCACACTCTGTCGCCCTCTGCTGCTCACATCCCGGCAACACCCTTTTATTTTGAAATACAACAGCTACATAATAAATGAGAAAGAAACACTCCGGACTACAGAATGTTGTTATTTTATATCAATAGATTATTATTTACTGATTTTACTGTTAGTTTACTATTTTATATATAACTGAACTTAATCATCAGATAACAAAATGAAATATAATGTTCAATCTCACATCTGAAATGTATTTCATCTACAGTGCTCTCTCCCAATTCCTCCCAGTTCCTCCCCCTATTTTCCCACTCAGTCCTTATTCAGGAAGCATCAAAATACACATGAAATAAAAAAAGAATAGAAAAATAAGAGTTATATTTACACTACATAAACCTTTTATATACAGATGTGACTGATGGGACATTGTTGTGTGTCGTTATAATATTTATAAATCTATAAAAGATATTTTCATTTAAGTGGACATTGTTAGTAAGTAACAAGAAATCTATCATCTCCTTTAATAAGTTATCAACTGTTTATTTATGTGTCTTTGTTTTATTGTCTTTGATTTTGCTATCTTATATTTTATGTGTGTATTTTATGTTCTTCTCTGTTATGCCTATTTGATTATTGTTGGTTAATACTGGACGGTGCTCATTGATTACACTGATACAATGTAATGCAATCATTTGATCAATAATGATCAATAATGATCAATAAAACAACATTATTTCCTAACTGATTATTGTTGCCTTCAAAATGAATTAAAGTGGATTAAAACACAGATTTATAGGACGGTGTTAAACTGTCCACAGGGGGGCACCCCGACCCCCCCAGGCTCCGGCCTTTATCAGAGCGACTGGAGCTTTTATTGTGAAAGGTCGCGCAGAGCGGAAGTTGACAGTTAGCATACGCTAGCTCCAGTGAGTGTGTGTGTGTGTGTGTGTGTGTGTGTGCGCGCGCTCAGGTGAGAAGATGTTACCTTTATCGATTAAAGACGACGAGTACAAACCTGCGAAGTTCAACCTGCTGCTCAAACTGTCCGGATGGTTCAGGTAAACTCACCGCTGCTAACTGCTAACAGAGCTAACAGAGCTAACAGCGGCTAACGGAGCTAACGGAGCTAACAGAGCTAACAGAGCTAACGCGGCTAACAGAGCTAACGGAGCTAACAGAGCTAACAGCGGCTAACGGAGCTAACAGCGGCTAACAGCGGCTAACGGAGCTAACAGAGCTAACAGCGGCTAACGGAGCTAACAGAGCTAACAGTACCAGCTGACTGTAGCGCTGAGCTGTTAGCCTGATGCTAAGCTGTTAGCTGTCTCTCATCAGTCTCTGTATTAAAGTGTGTTTCTCCCGCTGTCAGTCAGTAACCGGGTATCGGCTGTCAGCCGGTACCAACCCGGGTTATTACCGGGCTGGTACCGGGTTGGTACCGGGCTGGTACCGGGCTGTGGCTCCTGTGATGGACTCTCGTGGTTGTGGTTTTTCAGGTCGATCCTCGCGGATAAAACCTCCCGGAACCTGTTCTTCTTCCTCTGCCTCAACCTCTCCTTCGCCTTCGTGGAGCTCACCTACGGGATCTGGAGCAACAGGTAGCTAACGGAGGCTAACGGAGGCTAACTGTAGCTAACTGCTAGCATCAGCTGTTTGTTCTCTTCAGGATGTGCCACGTATGTGTTAACTTGTGTGTGTGTGTGTGAGTGTGTGTGTGTGTGTGTGTGTGTGTGTGTGTGTGAGTGTGTGTGTGTGTGTGTGTGTGTGTGTGTGGTGTGTGTGTGTGTGTGTGTGTGTGTGTGTGTGTGTGTGTGTGTGTGTGTGTGTGTGTGTGTGTGTGTGAGAGAGATTGAGTCATATTGATCTGATATCGATTGAAGCTCTGATTCTCTTTCTAAAGAGAAGCTTTAGATAAATGAGACACTAAAGTCCAACTAATGAATTCAATTCAATTTTATTTGTATAGCACCAATTCATAACAGAAGTTATCTCAGGACACTTTTCAAATAGAGCAGGTCTAGACCGAACTCTTTAACATTATTTACAGAGACCCAACAGTACCACCATGAGCAAGACCTTGGAGACAAGGGCAAGGAAAAACTGCCTGTTAAAAGGCAGAAACCTAGGACAGATCCTCCGGCTCTAGGTGGGTGGTCGTCTGTCTCGACCAGTTGGGGTTGAGGAGAGAGAGAGAGAGAGAGAGAGAGAGAGAGAGAGACAGAGAGAGAGAGAGAGAGAGAGAGACAGACAGGTGCACAGCAACAACAGTATTGGCAATGGCAGTCAAGCAGGACCATGGCAGGAGGCTCCACCAGGATACATGCTTTCTGCGAGATGAGAAAGCACAAGAACTCCGGGGAAGAAGTGAAGTTAGTAACATGCATTAATGGAACATGAATGAGTGCAGAAAGAGAGAGGAAGAGAGGAGCTCAGTGCACCATGGGAAATCCCCCGATAGTCTAGGCCTATAGCAGCATAACTAAGGGATGGTTCAGGACTCACCTGATCCAGCCCTAACTATAAGCTTTATCAAAGAGGAATGTCTTAAGCCTACTCTTGAATGTGGTGAGGGTGTCTGCCTCCCGAACCACAACTGGAAGCTGGTTCCACAGGAGAGGAGCTTGGTAACTGAAGGCTCTGGCTCCTGTTCTACTTTTAGAGACTATAGGAACCACAAGTAGCCCAGCATTCAGAGAACGTAGTGTTCTAGAGGGGTAATAGGGTACTATGAGCTCTTTAAGATATGAAGGGGCCTGACCATGAAGAGCTTTATAGGTGAGGAGGAGGATTTTAAATTCTATTCTACATTTTACAGGGAGCCAGTGCAGAGAAGCTAGTACAGGAGAGATGTGATCTCTTTTTCTAGTTCCTGTCAGTACTCGTGCTGCAGCGTTCTGAATTAATTGGAGCGTTTTAATGGACTTATTGGGGCAACCTGATAATAAAGAGTTGCAGTAATCCAGCCTTGAAGTAACAAATGCATGGATTAGTTTTTCTGCATCTGTCTGTGATAGGATGTGTCTAATTTTTCTAATATTACGTAAATGAAAGAAGGCAGTCCTAGAGGTCTGCTTTATGTGGGAGTTAAATGACAAATCCTGATCAAAGATAACTCCAAGATTCCTGACAGTGGTGCTAGAGGCCAAGTTAATGCCATCTAGAGTAACTATATCTTTAGACAGTGAGTCTCTGAGGTTTTTGGGGCCAAGAACAAGAATTTAATTTTTTTCTGAGTTTAACATCAGAAAATTGCAGATCATCTAGGATTATATGTCCTTAAGACATGTTTGTAATTTAGATAATTGATTAATTTCATTGGGTTTGATTGATAGATATAACTGCGTATCATCTGCATAACAGTGAAAGTTAATGGAGTGATTGCTAATAATGTTGCCTAAAGGGAGCATATATAAAGTAAATAGTAAATATAGTGAATAAAAGCAGTGTCCCAATTAGAAGCAGGTCTGCTGTGGCTGCAGGTTTTAAGACCCACCCAGTAGAGTCCGGGTCCGGGTCCCTAGTAGAGACTGGGTCCCCAGTAGAGTCCGGGTCCCCAGTAGAGTCCGGGTCCGGGTCCCCAGTAGAGATCGGGTCCGGGTCCCCAGTAGAGATCGGGTCCGGGTCCCCAGTAGAGACCGGGTCCCCAGTAGAGTCCGGGTCCCCAGTAGAGTCCGAGTCCGGGTCCCCAGTAGAGTCCGGGTCCGGGTCCCCAGTAGAGTCCGGGTCCGGGTCCCCAGTAGAGTCCGGGTCCGGGTCTCCAGTAGAGTCCGGGTCCCCAATAGAGTCCGAGTCCGGGTCCCCGGTGGAGTCAGAGTCCAGGTCTCCGGTAGAGTCCGGGTCCCCAGTAAAGACCGGGTCCGGGTCCCCAGTAGAGATCGGGTCCGGGTCCCCAGTAGAGTCCGGGTCCGGGTCCCCAGTGGAGTCCGGGTCCGGGTCCCCAGTGGAGTCCAGGTCCGGGTCCCCAGTGGAGTCCAGGTCCGGGTCCCCAGTAGAGTCCAGGTCCGGGTCCCCAGTAGAGTCCAGGTCTGGATGTATAAAAGCTCTTAAAGCTGCTCAGATCGCCTCCTCAAACAGAACTGTTAAACTGTATCAGTAGTGTAATAATAGTAATCTGATTACCTCCATTATGATAGTGTAATAATAGTAATCTGATTACCTCCATTATGATAGTGTAGTAATAGTAATCTGATTACCTCCATTATGATAGTGTAGTAATAGTAATCTGATTACCTCCATTATGATCAGAGGCTTTCAGACGAGGTTGTGAACATTGTGGCTGTTAGTGGTTAACGTTGCTGTAGAAGCTCAGCAGCAGCAGTTGGTGCTGGACGAGGCCCCAATAAACAGTTCAAACTTTATCTCAACCTTCACTAATATTCATGATCAATAGCAATAAAGTTTCTCATTAAAATAAATTACACAATCTTTTTGGTCAAATTGATGATGTCAGAAGCTCCTCCCCTTCCTGTCAGTCAGCTGTTTCAGAGGAAGAACAAACGCTGGTTATTTTTATTTTGTGAGGTTCACAACGTGTGACCAAAACAAACAAACAAAGACAAAAAACTGTGTGTGTGTGTGTGTGTCATTTATCTCTGTGCTAATTACAAAGTTTAAACTTAGTTTGAAGTGTTTGTGTTGAAGTGCATTGTGGGTACTGTGGGCTGTACCTGCTCTTGCTCTCAGCCTGTGTCAGTGCTGGAAAGTAACTAATTACTTTTACCTATACTTCTACTCTATTACTATTGATTTAATAACTTTATTACATTATTAATAGCATAGAATCAATAATAAATGACGTATTATTATTGATTAATCTACCAGCAGGTTATAGTCATTGCTCAGCTTCACATTCACCAACTGTTGACATTAAAGTGATGAACACATTGATCCAATAATATATATTGTTCTGTATAATCAATACTTGTAATATCAGAGTATTTCTACACTGAAGTACGAGATCTGAGTACTTCTTCCATTAACAATCAAACACAATGATGTTATAGATGCTGGTGTGTGTGTAATGTGTGTGTAATGTGTGTGTAATGTGTGTTCTCTGCAGTCTAGGTCTGATCTCAGACTCCTTCCACATGTTCTTTGACTGCACTGCTCTGCTGGCAGGTCTGGCAGCCTCCGTTATCTCCAGGTGGAGATCCAACGACAGCTTCTCCTACGGGTGAGACATCACTCTGTGTTCTGTTAGTCAGGTCTGATACTGCTGCTCTACATCTACCTGCAGTCAATTAAAGGTTTTTTAGGTATTTCTGCTAGTTTGATGACGGGGGATACAGTACAGCTAGACCACTGGGTCAGAACATCTCCAAACCTGCAGCTCTTGTGGGGGGTTCCAGTTCTGTCAGTACCTATCAAAAGTGGTCCAAGGAAGGAACAGAACCAGAGACAGGGTCATGGGGGGCCGAGGCTCATTGATACAGGTGGGGAGTGAAGGCTGGCCCGTGTGGTCCGATCCAACAGACGAGCTACTGTAGCTCAAACTGCTGAAACAGTTAATGCTGGTTCTGATAGAAAGGGGTCAGAACACACAATGCAGAGCAGTCTGCTGGTCTGGGACCAGTCAGGGAGTCGAGTGATCAATATATCAGTCTATATACTGTTAGTGATCAATATATCAGTCTGTATACTGTTAGTGATCAATATATCAGTCTGTATACTGTTAGTGATCAATATATCAGTCCATATACTGTTAGTGATCAATATATCAGTCTATATACTGTTAGTACTGATCAATATATCAGTCTATATACTGTTAGTGATCAATATATCAGTCTGTATACTGTTAGTGATCAATATATCAGTCTATATACTGTTAGTACTGATCAATATATCAGTCTATATACTGTTAGTGATCAATATATCAGTCTCTATACTGTTAGTGATCAATATATCAGTCTATATACTGTTAGTACTGATCAATATATCAGTCTATATACTGTTAGTACTGATCAATATATCAGTCTGTATACTGTTAGTGATCAATATATCAGTCTCTATACTGTTAGTGATCAATATATCAGTCTATATACTGTTAGTGATCAATATATCAGTCTATATACTGTTAGTGATCAATATATCAGTCTGTATACTGTTAGTGATCAATATATCAGTCTATATACTGTTAGTGATCAATATATCAGTCTGTATACTGTTAGTGATCAATATATCAGTCTGTATACTGTTAGTGATCAATATATCAGTCTGTATACTGTTAGTGATCAATATATCAGTCCGTATACTGTTAGTGATCAATATATCAGTCTGTATACTGTTAGTGATCAATATATCAGTCTATATACTGTTAGTACTGATCAATATATCAGTCTATATACTGTTAGTACTGATCAATATATCAGTCTATATACTGTTAGTACTGATCAATATATCAGTCTGTATACTGTTAGTGATCAATATATCAGTCTGTATACTGTTAGTGATCAATATATCAGTCTATATACTGTTAGTACTGATCAATATATCAGTCTATATACTGTTAGTACTGATCAATATATCAGTCTATATACTGTTAGTGCTGATCAATATATCAGTCTATATACTGTTAGTGATCAATATATCAGTCTGTATACTGTTAGTGATCAATATATCAGTCTATATACTGTTAGTACTGATCAATATATCAGTCTATATACTGTTAGTACTGATCAATATATCAGTCTATATACTGTTAGTACTGATCAATATATCAGTCTATATACTGTTAGTACTGATCAATATATCAGTCTATATACTGTTAGTGCTGATCAATATATCAGTCTATATACTGTTAGTGCTGATCAATATATCAGTCTATATACTGTTAGTGATCAATATATCAGTCTATATACTGTTAGTACTGATCAATATATCAGTCTATATACTGTTAGTGCTGATCAATATATCAGTCTCTCTAACTTGCTCTGATGTTTGTTGTGTGTGTGTCAGTTATGTCAGAGCGGAGGTTCTGGCCGGCTTCGTCAACGGACTCTTCCTCATCTTCACAGCCTTCTTCATCTTCTCTGAAGGAGTCGAGGTAACACACACACATACACACAGTTACACACACACACACACACTCTGTCGCTATATGAACCTGTCTGTCTATATGAACCTGTCTGTCTATATGAACCTGTCTGTCTATATGAACCTGTCTGTCTGTATGAACCTGTCTCCCCTCTCAGAGAGCTCTGGAGCCTCCTGACGTTCACCACGAGCGGCTACTTCCTGTCTCTGTGGCCGGGCTGCTCGTCAACCTGGTTGGGATCTTTGTTTTCCAGCATGGAGGCCACGGACACTCACATGGAGAGGAAGGTAATATCTGCTGATCAGTAGAACCTCAGTGTGGATCAATACAACCTCAGTGCGTGTGCGAACAACCTCAGTGCGTGTGCGAACAACCTCAGTGCGTGTGCGAACAACCTCAGTGCGTGTGCGAACAACCTCAGTGCGTGTGCGAACAACCTCAGTGCGTGTGCGAACAACCTCACTGCGAACAACCTCAGTGCGTGTGCGAACAACCTCAGTGCGTGTGCGAACAACCTCACTGCGAACAACCTCAGTGCGTGTGCGAACAACCTCAGTGCGTGTGCGAACAACCTCAGTGCGTGTGCGAACAACCTCAGTGCGTGTGCGAACAACCTCACTGCGAACAACCTCAGTGCGTGTGCGAACAACCTCAGTGCGTGTGCGAACAACCTCAGTGCGTGTGCGAACAACCTCACTGCGAACAACCTCAGTGCGTGTGCGAACAACCTCAGTGCGAACAACCTCAGTGCGTGTGCGAACAACCTCAGTGCGTGTGCGAACAACCTCAGTGCGTGTGCGAACAACCTCACTGCGAACAACCTCAGTGCGTGTGCGAACAACCTCAGTGCGTGTGCGAACAACCTCAGTGCGAACAACCTCAGTGCGAACAACCTCAGTGCGTGTGCGAACAACCTCAGTGCGTGTGCGAACAACCTCAGTGCGTGTGCGAACAACCTCAGTGCGTGTGCGAACAACCTCAGTGCGTGTGCGAACAACCTCACTGCGAACAACCTCAGTGCGTGTGCGAACAACCTCAGTGCGTGTGCGAACAACCTCAGTGCGTGTGCGAACAACCTCACTGCGAACAACCTCAGTGCGTGTGCGAACAACCTCACTGCGAACAACCTCAGTGCGTGTGCGAACAACCTCAGTGCGAACAACCTCACTGCAAACAACCTCAGTGCGTGTGCGAACAACCTCACTGTGTGTGCGAACAACCTCAGTGCGTGTGCGAACAACCTCAGTGCGTGTGCGAACAACCTCAGTGCGTGTGCGAACAACCTCACTGCGAACAACCTCAGTGCGTGTGCGAACAACCTCAGTGCGTGTGCGAACACCCTCACTGCGAACAACCTCAGTGCGTGTGCGAACAACCTCAGTGCGTGTGCGAACAACCTCACTGTGTGTGCGAACAACCTCAGTGCGTGTGCGAACAACCTCACTGCGAACAACCTCAGTGCGAACAACCTCACTGTGTGTGCGAACAACCTCACTGTGTGTGCGAACAACCTCAGTGCGTGTGCGAACAACCTCACTGCGAACAACCTCAGTGCGTGTGCGAACAACCTCAGTGCGAACAACCTCAGTGCGTGTGCGAACAACCTCACTGCGAACAACCTCAGTGCGTGTGCGAACAACCTCAGTGCGTGTGCGAACAACCTCATTTGTCCTACCTCTCTTTCAGGTCATGGTCACAGCCATTCTCTGTTTAATGGCAGTCTTAATCACGGACACAGTCATGGCGGACACGACCACCATAACAAACATTCAGACAGACACGATGGACACGGACACAGTCACGATGGACACGGACACAGTCACGATGGACACGGACACGGACACAGTCACGATGGACACGGACACAGTCACGGTGGACACGACGAGCTGCACTGTCACGGTGAGTCTGTGGACGTGTGATAAGAGACGTTAATGGACGTCACCTTCATGTATTATTTTAAATGTATTTATTTTTCTTGTCTGTTTTTCTTGCAGACGAGCTGCTGCACACTCCGGGGAAAGGTTCCAGTAAACAGATCCTGCAGGGTGAGAACTGATCACATCTGTACATCGTCAATAACAGACTACACAGATACTTCATTAGCAGAGAAACTGCTCCTGCCTCTATGGAGGCACCATTAAAATCATCACTCACTGAATTCCTCAAAGACTTTGGTTCAAATGTCAGATGTGTATTTATGATGCAGGAGAGCAGTAACAGCAGTTGTCCTATAGTATAATAATTGATATGAATGTATTCATGGCAGTTAGTTTCTAAGTATATAACTGCATCTAAAATGGCTGCCATGATGCAGTTTAGTTTATAAATATAAAATAATTAATAAAAAAGTATTTGCAACACACAATTTGAATTTTACGTCACATAACAAGTATAAGCTGTTTATCCAGTGTCTGAGCAGGACTGTGCAGAGAATCATTTACTTAAAGCAGCAGTGAAATGACTGAGAGCTGTAATAAAGTTTAAATAAGGAAATGAAGATCCAGCTGAACAACCAGGTCTCTGAGCTCAGTGTCAGCAGTGACCACTGGGGGGCGCTCACACTCCATCACAGCCTTCATCCAACAGCAGCGTCCTCTGACAACCACGTATCTCCACAGCTGGGATCTGTTTTATACACAAACTGATCAGATTCAGTCAGTCGCTGATACAGGAAGCAGCAGTTTGACTTCAGGTCACATGATGTGTGTGTGGTGTGTGTGTGTGTGTGTGTGTGTGTGTGTGTGTGTGTGTGTGTGTGTGTGTGTGTGTGTGTGTGTGTGTGTGTGTGTGTGTGTGTGTGTGTGTGTCTGTGTTTTAGGCGTCCTGCTGCACATCATCGCTGACACTCTGGGCAGTGTGGGTGTGATCATCTCCGCTCTGCTGATGCAGAAATACGACCTGATGATCGCTGATCCAATCTGCTCCATGCTGATCTCCCTCCTCATCGGAGTCAGGTGACTCTTCATCACTGTTTCACTGTCAAACAGGATTTCTGTTTGATGGGACGATGCAGACATAAATCAATATATATTGTATATGAGGTATTCCCTACAGGAGGTTGTGTGGGCTCACAGGGATTGGTTGTGTTGAACGCGATCAGTTTAGTCCAATCAATGCAACTTCATTGATCAGTCTCTGAGCCACATGTCCCCAAACTAAAGTACTGAACATTTATTCTACTAGTCTGTCTAGTAGTAGGCAGTGCCCGTAGGAAGTATATATTGCTATTGAAAAGTGGGAGGTTAAGTAGCTTTTTCATGGATGGCCAAATGAGGTTGTGTTTGAAGGTGGGACGTCAGGGACATTTAGGTTTGTTGTGAAAGGTGTAGATTGATAACTATTGTGTTTTCATATAATTTGTCTTTTAGCAAGGACACTGTAGGGAGATGAACCCCATTCCACTAATGTGAAAGTACCACACCTCATGGTCAGCACATATAAATTCTGAAAGAACAAAGTGAACTACATCTGAAATGGGATGAAACCTGGCAGCATAAACAGACTAACTTGTTGCATAGCCTAGGAAATGAACTGGGCAGGACATATTATTTAGCCCTGTAATATATATATGAGAGAGAGAGAGAGAGAGAGAGAGAGAGAGAGAGAGAGAGAGAGAGAGAGAGAGAGAGAGAGAGAGAGAGAGAGAGAGAGAGAGAGAGAGAGAGGGGAGAGAGAGAGAGAGAGAGAGAGAGAGAGAGAGAGAGAGAGAGAGAGATTTTGAAACTACCAAAACAGTGTGAACGGATAAGCCGACGGCGCGGAGCGAGGGCGTGTCTGCACAGGTCTCTCACTCAACTTAATAAAGAGAAATGTCACACAAAGCAACGTTACAGGACCAAACAACAGTAACGTTGTAACTGTCTTAGTCATGGAGAAGCGTCTGTCCTCCTGTCTGTCCTCCTGTCTGTCCTCCTGTCTGTCCTACCGACTGTTTGTCACATTTCTGCCCAAAAAACAGCGTCTGTCAACAGCGAAAAACTTGCAGAGTGTTAAAACATTCTCCGTGTTGTGAGTGAGGGAGTCAGTTTACTGCTGGTGATTATTATGTAATAATTGTGTACTTTAGAGTGAAAAATTTAACTTCGTCACTTTCCTGGATGTTTGGTGGGTCAGGATCTCAATCACTACACATTATAACAGCATCCATATGATTATAAAGTGTCCGCGGGTTTAGATTGACAGGGGGAGACAACTGGGAAACACCTTCAACACGGGCTCTGCAGTGATTGGCTCTGGTGCGCACGTGGCTACGGTGGCTACAGTGCAGTGCTAGCGGAATTCGGAAATAATTTATTAACGGTATCTTTGTAGTCCAAACAAAGCCGACGATGCACACCCTTAAACCACACAGCAGCCATGTGGAAACACTCAGGTCAGTCTGATCCTGATCTGCAGAGATATTTGAGCCACACACACACACACACACACACACACACACACACACACAGACAGCTTTGCTTCATAGATAGATTCAGAAGGAATTCTACAAACATTTCACTTCCTCCCACACAGGGAAAGTCTGTTTACTTCAGTTCTCTGAACAACCTGCAGTCTGAATACAGTCTGTTTAAACTCTGAAGAACCCTGAAACATCCCAAAAGAATGTCTTTACTAACCCCTAAAAGACCACCAGAACCTGCTAGACCCTCCTCATAAAGACCACTACAACATTTCTAATGGACTTTCTGACACAATCAAACATAGAAACAGAGAATTATTATGTAACTTTGGTCATTTCTTACATTGAAAGCAGATTTAAAATGTCCGAGCATCCATGAACTCACCACTGAGGGAACGTTTGTGGACTGTCTCGGCTGTATTGTGATGGATTATCTGTCAGGTTTCAGGCGGATTCCTCAGAAATGGAAACACAGACATCGATGTTTGGAAAACTGTTTCCACGAATTCAAAGAATGTGCAATTAGTAGTTAATGGGCCCAACATGCCAAACCACCAGTGTGGAACTGGACGGGGTTCTGGATTCTGGCCTCGCCTCGCCGGTCCTCTGGATGTAAATGCAGCGGTCAGATTTCCCAGAAGCCCCGGTGATAAATGGGGTTGATGTGATGTGGTTTGATAGGCTGGAAGTGAACGCAGCTGCAGATTTAAACAGTCGCAAGAGCACAGCTGTGGTCAGCTGAGAGGCCTTCACTCAACCACTGGCATCAGGTTACTGCAGCTGGAAAGAAACTGCCCTTAACCATCTCTTACTGACTGTACGGTTGCTCCCAACTGTCCTTAAACATCTCTTACTGACTGTACGGTTGCTCCCAACTGTCCTTAAACATCTCTTACTGACTGTACGGTTGCTCCCAACTGTCCTTAAACATTTCTTACTGACTGTACGGTTGCTCCCAACTGTCCTTAACCATCTCTTACTGACTGTACGGTTGCTCCCAACTGTCCTTAAACATCTCTTACTGACTGTACGGTTGCTCCCAACTGCCCTTAAACATCTCTTACTGACTGTACGGTTGCTCCCAACTGCCCTTAAACATCTCTTACTGACTGTACGGCTCGCTCCCAACTGCCCTTAAACATCTCTTACTGACTGTACGGTTGCTCCCAACTGCCCTTAAACATCTCTTACTGACTGTACGGTTGCTCCCAACTGCCATTAAACATCTCTTACTGACTGTACGGTTGCTCCCAACTGCCCTTAAACATCTCTTACTGACTGTACGGTTGCTCCCAACTGCCCTTAAACATCTCTTACTGACTGTACGGCTGGCTCCCAACTGCCCTTAAACATCTCTTACTGACTGTACGGTTGCTCCCAACTGTCCTTAAGCATCTCTTACTGACTGTACGGTTGCTCCCAACTGCCCTTAAACATCTCTTACTGACTGTACGGCTCGCTCCCAACTGCCCTTAAACATCTCTTACTGACTGTACGGCTCGCTCCCAACTGTCCTTAAACATCTCTTACTGACTGTACGGCTCGCTCCCAACTGTCCTTAAACATCTCTTACTGACTGTACGGCTCGCTCCCAACTGCCCTTAAACATCTCTTACTGACTGTACGGTTGCTCCCAACTGTCCTTAAGCATCTCTTACTGACTGTACGGCTCGCTCCCAACTGTTCTTAAACATCTCTTACTGACTGTACGGTTGCTCCCAACTGCCCTTAAACATCTCTTACTGACTGTATGGTTGCTCCCAACTGCCCTTAAACATCTCTTACTGACTGTACGGTTGCTCCCAACTGCCCTTAAACATCTCTTACTGACTGTACGGTTGCTCCCAACTGTCCTTAAACATCTCTTACTGACTGTACGGCTTGCTCCCAACTGTCCTTAAACATCTCTTACTGACTGTACGGCTCGCTCCCAACTGTCCTTAAGCATCTCTTACTGACTGTACGGTTGCTCCCAACTGTTCTTAAACATCTCTTACTGACTGTACGGTTGCTCCCAACTGCCCTTAAACATCTCTTACTGACTGTACGGTTGCTCCCAACTGCCCTTAAACATCTCTTACTGACTGTACGGTTGCTCCCAACTGCCCTTACACATCTCTTACTGACTGTACGGTTGCTCCCAACTGCCCTTAAACATCTCTTACTGACTGTACGGCTCGCTCCCAACTGCCCTTAAACATCTCTTACTGACTGTACGGCTCGCTCCCAACTGTCCTTAAGCATCTCTTACTGACTGTACGGTTGCTCCCAACTGCCCTTAAACATCTCTTACTGACTGTACGGCTTGCTCCCAACTGCCCTTAAACATCTCTTACTGACTGTACGGCTTGCTCCCAACTGCCCTTAAACATCTCTTACTGACTGTACGGCTCGCTCCCAACTGTCCTTAAGCATCTCTTACTGACTGTACGGCTTGCTCCCAACTGTCCTTAAACATCTCTTACTGACTGTACGGTTGCTCCCAACTGCCCTTAAACATCTCTTACTGACTGTACGGCTTGCTCCCAACTGTCCTTAAACATCTCTTACTGACTGTACGGTTGCTCCCAACTGCCCTTAAACATCTCTTACTGACTGTACGGCTCGCTCCCAACTGCCCTTAAACATCTCTTACTGACTGTACGGCTCGCTCCCAACTGCCCTTAAACATCTCTTACTGACTGTACGGCTTGCTCCCAACTGCACCGAACTGCCTTAAACGCATCAGTATCAGTAGTAACTGTATCTGTATCTGCAGTGTGTTTTGGGTGCGTTGGTTTTTGTGTCCATGTTATGATGTCAGTGAGGGGTGGAGCCACTATGAGCTGTTACTGTTCACACATGCTCAGTCCACCCATTCTGACCTTTGACCTCTGACCCTCAGCGTGGTGCCCTTACTGAGAGAGTCTATCGGGATCTTGATGCAGAGAACTCCTCCGTCACTGGACCAGGCCCTGCCAGAGTGTTATCAGAGGGTGAGCACACTAAACCCCACCTCCAGCTGGACCCTTGCTGTCTGTCTGGTTTCTGTGTCACTGTCTAATTCCTGGTGTGTTGTGTTCAGGTGCAGCAGCTGCAGGGAGTCTACAACCTGCAGGACCCTCACTTCTGGACCCTGTGTACTGACGTTTACATCGGAACACTAAAGCTTCTGGTTGCCCCCGACGCAGACACCCGCTGGATCCTCAGCCAGACCCATAACATCTTCACGCAGGTACCTGAATGCACCACACCGCATCTTTCCACGTCTTCATATAGTATTATTAGTTGTATTATTAGTTGTTATTAGTTGTATTATTAGTAGTATTAGTTGTATTATTAGTAGTATTAGTTGTATTATTAGTAGTATTAGTTGTATTATTAGTAGTATTAGTTGTATTATTAGTAGTATTAGTTGTATTAGTAGTATTATTAGTTGTATTATTAGTAGTATGTATTATTAGTTGTTTAGTTGTATTATTAGTAGTATTAGTTGTATTATTAGTAGTATTATTAGTTGTATTATTAGTAGTAGTATTAGTTGTATTATTAGTAGTAGTATTATTAGTTTTATTAGTTGTAATTGTTAACGTGTTGTCTCTGCAGGCGGGAGTTCGTCAGCTGTACGTTCAGATCGAAACGGCTGCGATGTAGAAGCTCCTCCCCTTCTGAACTCCTGGGACCAATCACCCTCAGTCTGCTGCTGTAGGTGACCTCTGACCCCCCCAAGTCACTGAAGGTCGCACTCAGACCAGAGAGAGAGGGGGGGGGAGGGGGGGGGAGTAAGAACTTGACTGATCTCCCATGATGCTCCAGTCCAACACATCCTGGATGAACTCAAACTGCCCACCCCCCCTCCCTTTTTTTTAAGTCTTGCCTGTCTGTGGCAGTGGACCCCCCCCCGGCTGCACTTTGTAGACTGGAGCAAAGCATTCTGGGTAAGTGCCTTCATCATGAATCAGAGACAATCTGAGCCCGCTTCCTGCCCCTCCCCCTTCCTCCGCTGTGACATCACCGCTGACCAGACAGCTGCCAGCTGATTGGGCCGTGGTGTGCGAGTGTGTGATGTCACGTTGTGTTTTTAACGTGCCAAACCATGTGACCAAACCATGTGACCAAACCATGTGACCAGCCGGTGGGTTTCAGTCTTTTCAACTGTAATAAATAATTCTGTTTCTCTGATTATTGATCTCTTTATTGATGACATCACACCAGACAAACAACAACAAGTGTTTATTATGACGATTGAGTCCTGCAGTGTATTGATGTTTGAGGACCGTGAGGACCGTTAGGAGCAGGAGGTGGAGCTGTCGACCACGAGCAGCTGATCCAGTGCGTTTGGTTCTGCGTTCACTCGCAGCATGTCCACTTCCAGCGGGTGGAGTCGACCGGTGACGACCAGCGAATGGAGCGGACCGCCGAGGTCACATGACACCAGCTGACGCAATGTCGCTGTGCGGATGGCCTGGTCGTCGGCGCCAAGCCGGGCCACGCCCACACACACCGTGTCCTCTGTCATACCTGTAACATGAGCTTCCAGTGTGTTAGCATGCTAACAGACGTTAACCAGCAGGTTTAAGGATCCTGTTAGCATCCTGTTAGCATCCTGTTAGCATCCTGTTAGCATCCTGTTAGCATCCTAACAAGGTTAACTGTGACTTTAACGTCCTGCTGCTCCGTATACTGATATTTTATAAATATTTAATCTTTTTAATGTTCCAGAAAGTGTCAATATTAGTTAGATCTTAAAATATTACGACTTGGCTCTAATCCTCTGAACAAATGATATCACCGTGTACTCCAGTATACTGTGACATCACATCTGTGTGATTCTTTAAACTCAGTTCTTTTAATCTAAATAATGTTATAAAGAGTTCGGTCTAGACCTGCTCTGTTTGAAGTGTCCCGAGGTAACTTCTGTTATGAATTGGTGATGTACAAATTGAATTGATTTAATTTGGTTGGTTTGGTAAATTGATGTTTTTAGACCATGTTTGTTAATAAATGTACTTCCAGCTGTGTGTGTGTGTGAGAGAAAGAGAGTGATCAATCGATCTGTGGAGCCAATCAGATGAAAGCTGATGAGCTGTCACTCACCTAGCTCCGCCCCCTCCTTCCTCCTCCTCTGGATGATCTGAATCAGCTGATCTGCAGCCTGACTGACCGTCATGAAGCGAGGAGGCTCGTAGATCTTCTTCCCTCTGAAATATTGTCAGAAATATTACGATTGTACACAATGATAAACAGTTTGTTCTGTTCAGACTGAAACGTCTGAGTCTACACTGCCACCTGCAGGATATCCAAGGTTTCTGAGATGGCTGTCAATCAGAGCTAAGGATTTTTAGCCTTGGTCACAAAATGATCCATATTAACAGTTTGAATCCAACTAAAAGCTCCCTGCACCAAACTCCCTTTAAGAAATATCACATTTTAACAATTCGTAACAACACGTAACTCTAGAAACACGAGCTAAAGGCCGTCATATGTCCACAGTCTGACTGTCAATACAGGATCAATATGTGCTCTACCTATCGGACCGAACTCGGGGCTGTTCCCGCCGGACAGAACTCGGGGCTCTGCCCGCCGGACAGAACTCGGGGCTGTACCTCTCGGACAGAACTCGGGGCTCTACCCGTCGGACAGAACTCGGGGCTCTACCCGCCGGACAGAACTCGGGGCTGTACCCGCCGGACAGAACTCGGGGCTGTACCCGCCGGACAGAACTCGGGGCTGTACCCGTCAGACAGAACTCGGGGCTCTACCTATCGGACAGAACTCGGGGCTGTACCCGCCGGACAGAACTCGGGGCTGTACCCGTCGGACAGAACTCGGGGCTCTACCCGTCGGACAGAACTCGGGGCTCTACCCGTCGGACAGAACTCGGGGCTGTGCCCGCCGGACAGAACTCGGGGCTGTGCCCGTCGGACAGAACTCGGGGCTCTACCCGTCGGACAGAACTCGGGGCTGTACCCGCCGGACAGAACTCGGGGCTGTACCCGCCGGACAGAACTCGGGGCTCTACCCGTCGGACAGAACTCGGGGCTCTACCCGTCGGACAGAACTCGGGGCTGTACCGTATCCTGTAACTGAGTCTTTGGTTCAGAAGAATCAGGAATCTGTTTCTGTGAGCTCAGTCTGCCGCCACTGCACGTGCTCACTGAGGTTCGCCTGAACACTCAGAACATAACAGCTGGATTACATCAGTATGACATCATCAGCTGAGAGCTGCAGAGGAGGATCTGGTTCTGGTTCTGGACGTGGTTCTGGATCTTACCTCATCATGTTCTCTACGCTCTGCTCTTTGACTTTAATGTCTGTCAATGAAAACAGAA